AGGCGGCTAAGTTACGTAGTACTTAGTTACTAAGCCGTATACGGTTCCTAGCGTATAAGAACCGTAATACTTAACTATTAGATAGCGAGTACCGTTATACTAATTTATTTCTAGCTATCGACTCTAAGCTCCTTTTATTTCTAGATAGCGAGTATATAGTCTATCGATCTACTTTTTACTAGGTCGAGGAATCGAGGTTATAGAGAAGAGGTTCGGTATCGAAAACGGGACTCGAGAATAGCGTATCTCGAAAGCGAGTTCTCGCGCAAATTTAGGTAAAACCGGGTAGCTGTACTTCGATAATTTCGAGATCTACTTAATAAGAGTCTGTTCTTCGGCGGTAGATAAGTATTATTCGTATTTATACGCCGTAGATCGAGAAACGCCGCTAGAGAGACGCCGGGTTAAAGTAGAGCGGTCTATAGAAAACACGCCCGTATACTGTCGTATCGAGGAATATTCGTTATTCTTATATATAGATATAGCGTCTAGTATACGCTACTCGAGATCTATATAGTAAGAAAGTAAAAGAGAAAGCGTGTCGCGTAAAAATAAGAAGAAACGCGAGAGTAACGCGGGTAAGCGGCTCACTTCCCTATCTAGCTCACTTCCCTATCAAGTACGTTAAGATATACCCCAGGGTGCAGGAGAAATCACACACAGTATTCTAACATGTTCTCTAGGCCGAAACCATCGAAGACAAGGCCTCCCAGCTTGAAGAAGCCCGCCGCACGGCCATCGACCGGATCCGCAAGCTGACGAGCAAGCAACCCCAGCACTGCATCGCTCCCAAGTACCTGCCCGAAGGCAATCTGGTTCTCCCGTCGGCAGCAACCTGCACTTGGGGCAAGAAGTTCCTCGAGAAGCTCGCTGAGGTCTACCTCTACGCCTCCACCCAAGAGCTGAACGACTGGCTGGCCAGAACGGAGGATGAGCGGATGGGACATAGGCGGGCAACCCAGAAGGGCTCGCATACTTCATACAACGACCTCGCCGCGTACTTGGCTAAGTGCAAGCAAGAGCACCGTGAGGGAAAGCGGCAGATGACGCAGATCGAGGACTAGGAGCGATTGGGACGTTGGGGAAGATATGAGGGCGAATTGGCCCCTACAAAGTGGAGATATGAGTGACTCTCCCTGAAATGCAAACTGAATCCTGCCGTCTCCCATACTTTCTAGAGAACGCGTCCCCGCGAATGCCTGTTCTCATCCAAGGCTCTGCGTCTGATCGTTAGCACAGACAGGTCTTGAAGGATGGAGAACGATTGCTGTAACCTGAGAAGTTTCGCACGCACAGTTGGGACGTGAATGGCATTGCTTGTTGAGCATGGAGTGTATCGTGTCATGAAGGAGATGGGACTGCCCTGTCTATGTTTCCATTGCCATATCGATGTCCACGCTGACCATCTCTTCATACCAGCTTCTCGTGCCCATAACATTCATTCGTCGACATCATCTCAACATCCCCCTCTAAGCGCCATCTCCCCAAACCCCAATCACCCCCATCGTGAACCCCAACCCAGCCACGCCCGTCCTCACAAACTCCAAATACTGCTGATCCCTCGCCCTCTTCTCCACCTGCTCCCCATTGACATCCCCGACCTCATCAATCGCCACATGCTGCTTCGCGCTCTTATCCATCGCAAGGTTCAGTGCTCCACTCGCTGCCGCAACCAGACCCGTCCAGACGAGATAAGGATGTCGAATTCGGGGTGGCGAGAGGTAAAAGGCGAGGAACAAGCTGGCGGCGGAGATGGCTGATAGTGTTCGGACGTGGAGGGTTGCCAACCGTGTCGTTTGGCTGAGCGTATATGCCGCGGGCTTCGCGGAGGGGAGGGTGAGGAGTGAGGGGAGGGACTGCGTTGAGAGGGTGTAGGAGACGCCCTGGAGATGTCGTTAGCGGTGGGTTTAATGATGGATGTTCGGATGGCTAGCGTACCGTCAACAGGCCCAGGCTGATGGTGCCCACGAACTTGCAGAGGGCGATTGCCGTTGGCATCTTGGCGGTCTTTTCGAAATGTCCAGGCAGCTTTTGATGTAATACAACGTGTTTGTCGTTGGGTATAGATGAAGGGAAGCGGTTCCTGAGCTCGAGTAACAGGTGAGGTGATGTCGCTGACGTCCCGCGATGCCCGATCGGTGCGGTTCATTCACCCAAGCTCCCCCGCGACATCATGACTCGCGTCGCGGAGCACGACCTCGGGCTCGGTATCGATGGGACCGTCTTTATTTGTGATCAGCCGAATTGCTCTGCCATGTTAATCAGGTACATGAGGCGAGCATTGGGTGCATCGCACGAAATTCCCAATTCTATCGATTGAAGCGTGTCTTTCATCTGCGTCAGACGGTAAGGACGGCGAGATATTGAACAACTCCCAAGCATCTACGGCCGTACCACCATACCATCACTTGGACCCCGTATAAGAACCAGCGAGTCGTCTTACATCTGTCAGCATTCATCGCCCTTCGCCCTGCGCAGTCCTGTTTGTAACATCCTCCCACCGCCAACATGCCAGTCCCACGCGAAGAGTTCCTCAGCAACGTCTGGCGCGACGGCATCTTCTCCAACAAAGTCATCTTCTGCACAGGAGGCGCCGGAACGATCTGCTCCATCCAAGTCCGAGCCTTCGTAGCACTGGGTGGTAACGCCTACATCATTGGCCGAAATGCAGAGAAGACAGAGAAGATGGCCAAGGATCTCGAAACAGCACGGAGAGGGTCGAGAGTGATAGGCCATGGCAATGTGGATGTCAGGAACGCAGTGGCATTGAAAGAGGCGGCAGACCGATGCGTCAAAGAGCTTGGAAGTCTAGATTTTGCGATTGCTGGTGCGGCAGGAAACTTCCTTGCGCCGATGAGCCAACTTTCGCCGAATGCGTTCAGGACGGTGATTGAGATCGATACGATTGGGTCGTACAATACCGCGAAGGCAGTGCTGCCGCACCTTGTCAAGAGTGCGAAGACATACCCCAACACTGGCAAGCACTCACCTGCTGGTACTGGCGGCCGTATGATCTTCGTCTCTGCTTCATTCCACTTCAAGGGCCAACCTCTCCAAGCGCATGCACAAGCCGCGAAGGCTGCGGTCGACCAGATCAGCAACAGCGTAGCGATCGAATACGGACCGTACGGCATCACCAGCAACGTCATCACACCAGGCCCAATCGCCAACACCGAAGGCATGGAGCGGCTAGCGAAGCTGGATGGAGGCGCTGAGAAGGAACATGCAAAGATCATCCCGCTTGGTCGATGGGGTCAAGTGAGAGAGATCGCCGACGCTACGATATATCTGTTCTCTGAGGCAGGCAGCTACGTCAACGGCAATATCTTGGTAGTAGATGGTGGACAGTGGAGGACAAGTGGTGCTGGTCAAGGGAAAGGCTTTGCTTATCCTGACTTTTTGCTATCAGGCGATGTTGTCGAGGGTGTAAAGGGTGGTAAGAGAACAGACAGTTCGAAGCTCTAATCTAATAGCACGAGTCGAACTGCTCCAAGCTCTCGCTATTCTCACGTTGATGCTGAGTGATTGCCGCAACAGATGTCGAAGGCGCAGGCCTTCAACCACCTGCAGCTTCAATGTCTCCCTCAGCAAACCTTCTCCAGAGAGCTCTCTCGCTCTTGACTCTCACGCAGCAACAGCGGATCAGACTCGATCGTCCGATGCACATTTCATATCGAAACTATTTCCGATATCACCACAACCCCCACCACGATAGCCCATCATCGGCAGTAGTCGGTATTGAAGCCTATGCTGTCTCGCCAAATACCGCAAGAAAAGCATCCTCGACAAACTGGTATCCGAAGACGTTATACACCGTCAACGCCGCAAAAGCCCTCAGAGCCCAGAGACATTTGGACTCCAAGTGTTCGATGAGGTCCTCTGCCGGTGCAAGCTCCGTGTGCGTCTCCATATTGGTGCCAACCCAGGGCCGGGCCGACTGCAAGACCAACTTGATAAGAGTGACGTTCACAAGCATCGACGCGAATCTGGGGTCGAAAGGTATGGCCGCAAGGCAGCATAGGTAGGGTGCGAATCGAGAGAGTCGGCCGGCGAGCTTGTCGTAGCCTGTTGCTTGCTGATATGATGGGTGCTGGTAGATGTAGTGATCTAGACTGCAGAGGACGAGGACGACGAGGACAATGAGAGTGATGTTGAACATAGTGTCGCCGAGGTCGTCGTGGTAGAGTCCGATAATGAGGCCGAAGAGGAGCGAGATGAGGCTGGTGCAGGTGATGGTGAGGACGAGGCCGCGATTCGTGAAGACGTAAGTTGGATCGGTGGGCTGTTCCGATTCTGTGTTAGCAATGTTGTTGATATATGCGATGCTGCGTACCTTGGTCGCATTCTCATGCTGGACGTCGCCTGGGTCCTGCATCTCGCTTACGGTCTTCTCTCTGGAGGTGAAGGAGAAAGTTGGGGCCTGATTGTTCTCCTTGAATGGTCAGCTCGGTATGTCATCATTGAGAATAAAAATGACATACCTGGTCCGCATCCTGCATTCGTGCGTTCTGCGCAGGCTGGGAAATGTCGTCTTCCTGGATGTTGAGCGACATGGTTGAATCAGTATGTGGTGGTATCTTGGATCTTTGTTGGTGCTTGTTCAGCAAGTTGTGAAGAGTTGAAGGAGGAAAAAGCAGAGGATTTAAGTAGCGCTGGCTAGGCGCCAAGACTCACATGCAGCAAACTGCATGAACGCCCCTTCACTCGTTTCGGGAAAAGTGTGGAAGGCTGGAGCATCAAACAGGATAGAACACCGAACTTTCCAGCTACCAAGCAACATTGCTTCACTTGACATTCTGCCAGGTTCTAGTCCACGCTTTCCATTATTTCGTTATTCCTCTGTATCTTGCAGCACCTCAGCCTACTGTCGAAACAATCTATCAATACTGCTGCGCCAATAAAGGATTCCCCTTCCCAAAGTACGGCGCCTCCACCCCAGGCCCCATATTATGCACATAACTCTTCCACATCTTCCACTCCCCGCCCTGACAGACCCAGATATCATCACACATATAGTAGATCCGATACGTCTTCTTGATATCCTCCAGAGCCGTATCATGCCAATGCGAGAGCGTGATCCTATCATAAACATCAGTCAATGAGGCCATATATAATAAGCAGGGATAATGCTCACTGTGTAAGCACTCTTGCCTTCCCCGGTGCAACCATCTCCTTCAACCACAAATTCGTCACGATACGTTCTGTCCTGGTATCCTTGCTCGAGGCTTCGAGTGCAGTTCTAGCCTCATCGATGCCATTGCTAACGCCGCCGTAGGAGCCGAGTTCTGAGCTGTCGTAGTAGAGGTCTTGGGCGAAGACTTCGGGCAGGGCAGTCCAGTTCTTGCGGTCGAGGATCCAGCCTGTCTTGTAGCCAGCTTGGGTGAGGCCTTCGATGTTAGAGGCGTACGTGCCGCAGTGACTGTTGTGGTTTTGGTCGACGGCGAGGGCCAGAGACGCCGTGGTAAGGAGGATAGTGAGGAGATTCATTGTCTTAGACGTTTGGCTTGTAGAATGACAAGATCGGTGTCTCTTTGAGGTTCAACCCAAACTCTACAGCGCGGGCGCATCAGAACTTTATAGCATTCGGCTCTCCAACATCAGTCCTTTATAGCGACCTCTCTCGAACGGGAACCCCTGTCAGCTGGTGCAGGTACGGCGCATTGATACAACCCATCGACCTGACTCTGCATACGGGTTTCTCGCTCGGACCCAAAGGAGTTGCAGGATCAAACGTTCTCGCCACGAGTGTCGCTCCATGGTATGCCTATGCAGAGCTATACAATGGTGCCGAAATTGACAGCGTCACAATGCTGGCTCGCAAGCAAAGAATGCAACCATGATTCGTCCCATGTTCATCTTTGCTGTTTGTTTGGCTTCACCAAGGCTGTTGTGTAGCTTGTGCTGCCATCTGAGCTGATGGGGGGCTGAAATGCTCAGAAGTTTGGACATCGGGTGACGGATGCTAATTCGTTACACGACTTCCTCAGCTCAACGCCATGTGTTCGTAGGTGGCTTCAGCAACCATCTCAAAGTCGTATTTAGACTCACAAATCTCGCAATTTCTCAAGGATGGTGACAAACCTTCGGAAGTCCACTGATATTCACTTTAGACGCTTTTCGAACAAGCCAAGCAAGGAGAGCCAAAGCCTGTCGAGCTACGAAGACCTTGGTCGGTGGCTTCCACCTCCTGCCGGGTCGGTGTACGCCATAAGCAGCCGCGACCACAACCTGCTATATCGTGACTAGGATGCTTTGCTCTCCTGACCATCTCCAACTCCTCAACGAGTGAAAATAGATTGAAGCAAGCGATGTTTGCAACAACAGTCAAAGTCGTCGAACGACAATTTAGGTTTCCACGGAGACCCGACTTCAGTCTGAAACGCAGGGATGTGTCGCCAGCATGTTCATCCCGCGTGGTTCATGCTAGATTGGAAAGTCAATCTTCGAAACTTGCTTGCTGTGGTCAGCTGCATCGTCACATCCAGTTTCGTGTCTCATTGGATGCCATTCTGGACCTCGTTAAAATCCGAGCTGGCACTGCCTTGGTTGTTCCATTGCTATGGTCGCTGATTCACGCTGTGTCATTGGGAGATCGATTCAAAAGCTGATGATGAAAGCTTTCGACTCATGTGTGTCGCAAAAGCCAAGGTTGTTTTTCCACAATGTGGCGTCATAGTATAGGTACACTCTACCAGGCCAGGGTACATCGTTCCGGTCCCGCAACTGGGTGACTTTGTCGAAGCTAGTCTGAATGTATGAAAAATGGCGGTCAGTCGCTTGAGATGATGTTGACATGAATGGACGCCTGCAATGATATGAATGTTGTGCAAGACACATGTATAGCAGGAACCTCTTATATCGAGGCTCTTATTACTGATGCAATGTCTGTATATACACACGATTTAGCAAATACAACAAAAAGCAACTCAACAAGTCTAAAATCTTTGTCTATTGGGTACAAGAGCTGAAGTGATGTAAATCATCAAGGCTCTGTTGGTATCTCAAAACACCTGATCTGTCGAACCTCGTTCATGTTCGTCGATGTGGGGGGTGATTTAGTCGGAGGTAGTGAGGTTTGCAAGCGCACCGATGGCAGATTGGATGCCGTCGATGGCCGTCTGGATGACGGATGAGAAAGTGTTGTCCTGTCTGGCCTTGCTGTTGGAGTTGACTAGGCTGCCAAATGCGAGCGTGCTGTTTTCAAGGTCTGCACAGGAAGAATAGTGTCAGCCACCGTCCTTGTGTACCGCAAGTGGGACTTGTTTTCTTCACTTACCGTCGATTGCACGGGTAATGGCATCGAGAACGTTGTCACGCTTTGTGTCGACCGGATTGGCGGAGGACTGAGCAGTGCCTTGGGTGTTGTCGGTCGCTTGTTGTGCAGTCGAAGTCACACTGTTGTCTGCTTCGCGCTTGCTGGAGGGGTTGTTGGCGAGCTTGCCAAGGAAGAGGATGGTGTTCTCAATGTCGTCAATCTCGCGAGTGATGACATAGAGGGAGTTGTCACGCTTCTCTGAGCGATCATTGAGTAGATTCGCAGTGTCCTGGACCGTTGTCTGATCACCATCCTTAGCCTGGTCGGCGGCCGACGTGACACTCTGATCTCGCTCTGTAGGTCCGCCATTTGACCAGGCTGCCGAGGTTTAGTATGCTGTTCTCTAGGTCGTCGATTGCGCGGGTGATGACATCCAGGAAGTTGTCACGCTTGGTAGGACCTCCAGAGACAAGATCAAGGATGCTTGTCAGACTGTTAGCGTCTGGCTTGGTGAGAGCTGTCGAGTTGGCCCCAGTTGGAGCAAGAGCGGGAAAGGCTCCGGCCGCGACGAAGAGCGCCGCAGACACTGCGAGGGAATGCATCTTCGCGGGACGATTAAAGACTGAAGGTCTGTAAAGCTGGTAACGAAATAATACCCTGAACGAGTGAAGGGATCGAGAGCAGAAGTGAATGGAGATTGAAGGATGTAAGGTGCGAGTGCAAGCCGAAAAGTATATGAACTCGCAAGTGAGGCCCCAGAGCTCGAGTACGCTATGCCTTGATGAGACCTGTTGAGATGTCTTCAAGCATTTGCAATGTTGAAGCGGTATTTCATTATCCTGTGAAGACGGACTGTCGAAGGTACCAAGTATTGAAGCGATTTGCGAAGCAGGGGTTGGTCTTGGCACGAGTTTAGCTGTATTTGAGAGGTGCAACCATGGTGCGGTTCGTGTTGATCGGCGTGAAACTTCAGCTTTAAGTATTTCACGGACCGAAGCGAGGAATATCTCTCGGTTTGGACGTCAATGCCACCATTGTTGGGCAAGAACTTGAGTTCGACCGCTCTTTCATCAGGACCTGGGTCCTGACAGGCGACACGTCCGCTGCGAGGGTGGCTTTCGTTGTCTTGATCATGGAGTTACTGCATCGCGGCATTGGATTGAGCCGTGAGGAGGCATCCCCATTAGGTTGCGAAGCTTGGCAGGCTACATTGACAGCCTATCTTCACGGGCGCGTTCTCCTGACATCCAGTGCTCATACAGTGTGCGGTGCAGCGTTGTCATTATGTGGCATGCGTTAAGGAGCTATCAAGTGATGAGGTTTGGATGCGGACCGAGGCTGGAAAGCAAAACGAGTGACTGCAGATGTGCAACTCCAAGCGAGGGTCAGGGTCATATGATAAGCCGACATGTATGGCGCCCGCAGTTCAGCGGATTAATGTTGTTGTTGATGAATGGATCCCTTCGCGCCGCGCAGTGAAGTGAAGTCGACTTCGCACCGAGCCACAGCGGGCCAGGCCGAAACTGGAACTAGCGTGTCTACTTCTGGCCTAGCTCGCCCCTTTCACATCACCCCAGTGCCCTCAAGAATACATGTACATGTACTACCTTATTCTGCACACCAACTCCTGAAGCCATCATATCTTGACTATGACTTCAGTGGAGCATATCACCCATGGTGCTTTGTCCCACCTCGCCTTTCTGTTCCATACCCCGAACGCCACGTTCAATCGGGCGGAGCGAATTGTCCAGTTTCCATTGCGAAGGGAATTGCTTATTCACAGGTTCCAGTATGCTCCAGCGAACGGAACAAAATCTTGATAAATGATCCAAGATCACTATTGCTGTGCTCTACCAAATTGATACAAGACTTTTAGCCGCCCGCCTCCAGACAGAAGAAAGCCTCTACATCTCGAACTCAAAGACCTTTATCCAACACCATAAATCCCTTCCTACCCTTTGCAAAACGCCACGACGACATCGATAGACTAATTCGAGTATACATGCTAACACTAGCTCAGAAAGTCTTCGTAGAGGGGTACATGAAACATGTTACACTTGATAGTGGCCGCGTTCTTTTGCTGACTAGCCTGGATCAACGTCAAGTTGTAGTTCAGAAGTTGAGACCCGCGCTCTTAAGGTCGCCAATCGGTAGCGACTTCGAGTTGCCTCCTCACCGGCATTGGCATCGAAAGACTGACGTCGTTGAAGATGAGTGATGGTGCTCCTGCGCCTTGGCACGTCGATGGTTGTCCAGGCATCGGGATTTGTCTCCCCGGCCGGTTCGTTGCGCGATGCATTTCGTGCCTGCTTTTGGAGGAGAATGTTTTCATAGCTTGATGGAAGCTGTGTCCGGAAGTCTGGCATGTTCGCCACCTGATCCTGTAAGGGCTGCACCCACGACTGGCCCTGTGAATCACCTGAAGGCGGGCTATGAACCATGAGCTCTGGCATTTCCCACAATCTGGCTTGATCTCTTTCTGCGATTTGATCAGCTTCAAGACGAAGCTCGGGAATGTCAGACTCTGGATCAATGGATTGTTCTTCATCTGGTAGCTGGGAAGCCCATCGAAGTACGTCCGCACTTTGAGTAGGATTTGATCCACGAGTGTGCTCTGGTCCGAAAAGCTCATAGTCATTGTCAAAAGGCTCGTCAGGATCACGGAAAACAGGGCCACCTCTAAAAAGACTGTCAGGCCCGACCATTCGCCAATTCGTCAAACTGCCGGGCGGCGCATGGTTGAAACGTATGTCGTCAGAATCCAATACCTCGCTACTCCGATCCAAAAGCAAGACGTCCGTGCCTTCGGATTGTGCTTTCTCCCTCTCAGTCAAGTCAAGGCCCTCATCGATGCAACGCTGTCCGAGCTCATTCGCTTCTTGAAATGCACGACCCAGTCTCTGCTCGATCTGCTCTCGGGCGTGCCTATAATTGTCCTCGAACTGGCTATCGCTTATGCTCAGGCTGTCGTCTCGTTCAGCAATGAACAACCGAGCACCACGCGCCTCCTCGTACTCGATGTCCAAGTTTGCCAACTCTTCTCCAATCAGCCCAACATCTCCAGCCTTGTCGTAATAGCCCTCCAATGTGGGATGCAAGGTGTTGCCTCCCGAGGCCTTCGACCATTGACTGAGACTGCTGGATATTGCCTTGGCCACAGAACCAGACGTTTGCCTCCTCGAGGCCGCAGACATGGGCCACAGGCTGGCCATGTCATGGCAGGACTCCATGAAAGCCTCGTCGCGGCGATTTAGGTGGAAATACACGTTGCTCAGTCTGTCCTCAAGGTTTCGAGTTATGTCGGCCTGTACATTCATTGCATTCAGATCCGCCTGGGTCTGCCGATGGAATTGCCGAAGGCGTTCCAGCTCCTCTGCAGGATTTTCGGCAGACAGTAGGACTTCAGCTTGTTCCATGAAGCGCTGTTGCGATTCCAGATAAAATCGTCGCATATCTGCACATCTGGCCCACTCCACCTGCTCCATATTTTGAACTTCGAGCATCTCATCTCGAGCCTGCATGAGCTTTCCGTATCTACGGCTCAGACGGTCGAGCTTATCGTGGATTTTTTCGAGCGAGACTTCTTTGCTGTCCTTCTGATCAAGCCCCGCGATATTAGCGTCCTGGGGAGCGTTTTCGTCCGTTATTGCAGCATCTGGAGCTGGATTTGATAAGGCAGAGATGAGTGCTGACAGGAACCCTCCACCTCCAGATGTGCGGTTCACGGCCTCTCTATTCTCGGGTTCCCAAAGACTTGGTGGACGCTCATCTTGACGCTCGTCTTGAGGAGCAGCATTTCTTTGAGTTCCAGCATATGTCCAGATGGCATTTTCTCTTAACAGCTCCAGGAATCCTGTCAGCGACCACATCGTGTTACCAAGCCAGGTTCAAGCTCTAGCGAGCTGGCGATGGCATCTTCATCAGTCTCCTGCTCTCACTTGTGGATTTGAGGCTGTCATCGGTCTCTTTACCCCGGTGCTAAATGCCATGTAGCCTGACGTGACTCCTGAAATATAGCCGTGTGCCAACAAGGGTACAGCTTATCGCTACATTTCGCGTGTCTTGGCTGCATGAGTCTGGCCGAGCTGTGTAGCCTTGTAGTTGGCGCCCCTCCACCTCGGCTTGTTGCCGCTGATCACGAGCGATGCCAATCACTATCGCGCGATTGAAGATCGCGTATTGACTGAGCCTTTCTCTCCTCCTGCAATAAACATCATCTATAGAGCCGCAACCCTCCTCCTACTTTTATACCGTCCTCTTTGCGTAGGAGGCTGTTTGTCTACTTGTGTTAGCCGACCTTATCGCCCCCAGCTCGCTAGGCTTGAACTCTAGGAGGGGCCTGGAGACACCACACCACACCACACCACACCAGATACGTCATCCACGGATCACGAAAGGCTGAGTACAACAACTTGGTTCTTTGCATGCTAGAGAACCATGTCCGGGCCCGGAAACAGGCCCGGTCCACAAGACTGGACATGGAGTGATCATTTGCAAGACTACTACTGGCGCAACCCGAGTACTGGGCAGTTCTGGGTCTCCAATCGTGGAAACCCCAGACCAATAACCGCACCACCCCAAAACCCCCGCCTGGAGCAGCCTGTTTCTCGCTCTGATGTTCGTGCCAGCTCCCATCCTACAAGAGCCGGGTCTGCGTCTGGCAGAGATCTATCCTATTCCCTCCATCCTGGCCCGCCTGGCATCTCTGACGCCTCAAACCCGACTCCGGGGCAGCAGATAGCAGGCAATCGATCTGAAAGCCAGTATATCACCCCCAGGGGCGGCTCGACGTACAGCGCAAGTCCACCTGCAAGGGAATTCAGCAGAGCTAGATCGGGCTCAGTCCACCCAAGTGATGCTTCTCAAAGCCCGAGTCAGAGACCGCGAGACAGGAACGATGGTCCCACGCAGCAACGGATGCCGCAAACTACGGGTGGAAATCCCATTCCTCGCGCAAGCGAGGCCACCAGCTCATACTCCCCTCAAGCTCGTCCCTTCGTCCCAGGATCTCCGCAACAGGTGCCTATGACAACTGACCCAGCTATGAGGTTTGGAAGCTCTCACTCGAGCCTCAACAATGCTATGGCCAAACTAGATATTGGAGCAGGCTCGGGCAATCAAACTGGAGCGTCTCCGGGAGCCGCCACTGGTGCTGGTCGGTCTGGCGAGTACGTCAACCCCGACACAGGGGTTCGTAGTGTTGTTCGTTTCGGCGATGTGATCACAGATCCGTCGCTGGGGCGGATGGGAGTCGTTGTGAACAGTCAGTTAGCCGGAACAGTGGGCGACAAAGAGCAATTGTATCCAGGTAAGCTGCTTTTTGTCTCCATCTGATGCTGTGACTTATGCATTTTCCAGAGTTCAAAAAGCGGACGAAGCCGAAAAACTTTTTCACAGTAGGGAAGGTATGTCACGAACGATGACCGCAGTAGTCAGGTTGCCGTTCTGACCGTCCTAGGTCTTCATGATGCTTTGGGCTGAGCCAGCAGGGGATTCTGGCAGAAGCAACACTCTGATCACCAGTCAAGAACGATCGACAATCCCTGGCAAGTTTGGCCAGATGGTGTTTTCGAAAGTTCGTAGGTTTGTCGTAATTCGCGAAGGAGAAGGATACTGCACCGCCCTGTGAGTATTTACCTGGCACTTGCTATCTCTTACTAACTTTTGCAGACCGATCGTGTCTTATGATGGCCAAGGCGCAGCGAAACCTGGTGTCTTGAAGAGAGAACATGGGATTGCATACATCGGCAAACAGCCACCAGAACCGACTGAAGGCGAACTCCCTCGACGTGGTGAGGAAGGCATGCTTCCCAGGCCTGTTCGAATCGATCCGGACCAGAAGACCGAAAAATTGACCACTATGTCCCGGATCAATTATGGCAAGGTATACACCGTCGAGCACAACGTCAAAGTCCGATCCCTGGGTACCGTTAGCGGTAGGACGCTCCAAGCCTTGCTCTATCAATTCAAGTACGTGTGGGATTACGGCACTTCAGGGCGGCGAGGTTCAGTCGGCCGATCCGAGCAGGATTCGTCCAGCGGATCGCGCATGCGTCCCATCAGCGAGCAAACAGATTACAACGCTGCGATCCGGTATTTCATGTCGAAGGGCCTGACGAAAGAGCAAGCTGAAGCGACCGTCAAGCAGCGAAGTAAGGCCAGCGCCGCGAGAACCAGTATCAATTCAGATAGCGGAGAAGAAACGGAAGCATCGGACGACGACGAGGAACAGGACCCCGCTCAAGATGCGAGTAACGCACAGATGGAGAAGACCATTCGCCAACTGCAGAAGTACAGTGGCCTCTCCCGGGGCGGAGCCATTGCTGTGTTAAGGGGAGCGCAGAGAACGTCGCAGCAGGCGAAGTCCAAGACAGGCGAAGCAAGTGACGAGGAGGAATCCGATCAAGGCGAAGCTGCGTCCAAGAGAGGAAAGTCGAAGGCGACCAGGAGCAAGCAGCTTGAACTACAACAAGCAGCTCAAATCAAGGCCTTCCACGACAGAGTGGCGGCCCTTCATCAACAAGGAGTATCATATGAAGAAGCTTACAGATCTGTGCGAGCGAGCATGTCCCATGGTAGAGGTCTGCCCGTAGCGAGCACTTCGCAAAGCGGAAGCACACGTCGACCACAAGCGGATGAAGAGGGTGAAAGCGAAGACCAAGACCCCAGTTCCGAAGAGGCATCAGAAGATGATGATGACGACGAAGAAGATGACTAAAGAAAGACGCATTAGCATATGCATGGCATTCTAGCGAGGGTTTCAGGGCGAGCGAGTTTTTCCAGTCATGTTTGCCCGGATGTTGATGTTGCATTGTCTTTTGATTCATACGCTGCGGCCTGGGGCGAAGAGACCCGGCCAGACTCACACGCAACGGCAGATAGGCGGGTTTTTGGTGTTATCATGCGTTTGTGCTCAGCGCCTCCAGCGTCAACGAGATCACTGTGTTCAACTCCTATGTGTGTGTTCCATGCGGCGTACTCGTACAGCGTTAATACGCACAGCTTACGAAGACCTGTGGGACTGATGAGGTGATGTTGAGTGGTGACGTCCGTTTTAAGTCCTGGTACTGTGCGAGACCGCGTGTATTGGTGTCTCCACCGGTAAACCTTGTCCGCTTTGAGGCATGAAGGCTGGGGAACACAAAGGCCGTGCAGATTCTTGATGCGATGTTGGACGAAGAACACGCTTTTGCGTATGCGTTGTCTTGATTCCAAAGTTGTGGTAGATGATTGTCCCGCTCTTGTGCCAACGAATGGCGCATTACTGCACATTTGTAGCTGTTTCCTGCAGGCTTCATGGACCACGTCAGAGAAGCAGGGAGCTTTCGCCCTGCTGGCGGTCAGTCGGCATGATCGTTGTCGAGCATAAATTGGTCCAGGAGTGCTTGAACAAGAATGGACAGGACACGAGACGGTGGAACCTCGGGTAGCAAGGACAACGCAGAGGGCAGAGGTGGCCCCTAGCTCGTGAGCCTCACGCTATCCATTCGTCGACGGCAGTGAACGTTGGCCGTCGGGTGATTGTGTCTCACGATCCGGGAAGGCGATGCCATAGCCGTGAACTTTCTGTCTAGTCCAGAACTGTGAGTCTTTTGATTAGCACGAATCGGATCTAATGGCGGCCAGTAAGCACGGCATCTTAACAAGATGTGGCTCATCCTTCGCAGTCCAGCACACTTCGTTGGACTCCTTCGACTCTTGATGAATCACTGCTCTCGAGCAGTTGTGCATGACGACTCTGATCAGCGAGAAGAGCAACTTGGCCGGATCGCGGCATGTACTGTGTGCTCATTGTTCCACCATCGGTTTCGAAGCTGATGTTCAACAGTGCCAGAGACCTTCGATACTGTTAGAAGAGAACCACCAGTCACCCAACGAACAACGCATCGCCCTGGTGAATTCTTTGGTGGACAGAGAGTAGCATTCAAAGAGAAGGGAAGCGTGACGGCGACCTCAGGCCTGTCAATGCTGTACAGGACATCGCAAGAGCTTGGAACCAGAGATGAACATACCTACGGCTTTGACGATGAGCGTGATCAACCGTCGGTGGGTGTGTACATCGATGAACGTTCACCATCGACAATGGCTCGTTTCAGTGGCTACACTACGATGTCAGACTTCGAACAATACTTATCTAAGCCTTTCTCTCACATGCGGCCCACTCCAGAGCCTCTCCAACCCACCAACGATCTGCGGTCAGCGATTCACTCAATTCACTCATGCATTTGATAGAGATGGGGCGTGTCGGGCACAATCCCTAAGACATGTCCTGCCACCAAGGGCCGACATATCCGATGCTGACGAGATTGCACCACGCTCTGGTGCTAATGTTTCTTGGTGCTGCATGCCGCGCAGCTCGTCGTGGCTTAGTCTCGTTCCTTTACATTTCGGAGACCGTAATGTGCCCTATGTAATACACGAGGCGCGATACATGTGCGTAATGGCGGGCGAACTGCTGGCCGGTGCGGACATGCAGCAAGAAGACGCCGTCCGATGGCCCAGGCGAGGCCGAAGCCGATCACATGTGACAGATTCTTGCCTACGTGGCAACCTGAATGTGAACAGGAAGCTGGATCCGAAGAGGGCGAAGTACTGCCTTTCGCTGCAGAAATAGCACTACCTCGTGCGAGATTTGTTCATATCGGGGTTCAAATCGTGGCGTCGCGGCGGGACCTGGAAAGAGTAAGTAATGTCCGCGTGGAGGTTTCTTCTTGCGACACCCCCATGACTTTCGGGCTGTTATCATGATAATATGTGCAAATTGAAACTTAGCTGAATGCTCCTGGCGGGTGGGCCGGTCATCTACACGGGGTGGAAAGATCCGGTCTTTCCCCAAGCTCGAAGAGAGGCCCGGTGTGAAATCTTGGAGCATGTAGTGAGAGTGAGCCCAAAGCTGTATTCCGGGGCCACGGTCATCACCTCCAGTGCGGTCGAGCTCGTCCCCGTGACACGGATCGTCATCTAAGCTGTTCAAAGTCTCAAGGTAACTACGGCGGTGCCCCGCCGAAGACTGCAGTGTTAAGAGATGGGTCCCATGTCGGTCAGGACCGGACGTATGGAATATAATGAGCCGCCATCTAGAAACCACAATGGGTTTTTTGAAATCCAAGAACATAATATACATCCTCCCAACGTAATGCAAAAGGGTATAATGCTTTGACCACGAAGCAAAACTGCCGCCCGACCGAAGTGTGGAGCGCAATATATCCTGAAGCGCCTAAAGCCTCACTTTTGAACCCCCCGATAAGATCGCCGTTGACATGCATTGAGTTGATGGTATACAGCCTTGCCAGCACAAGAATGATTGGGAAGAGACCAGTGCGCTGTCGCCTCACCGCTGAACAAACTTTTGTGAAGCGCTGTTGTCCGAGCTCGTCACAATGCCATATCTCGTTGCACGAAAGACATGTTCTCGAGAGAGACGACGATACAGTAGCTTGGTAACTGAGTCCGCAAGAAACGCCATGGTCCAGTTCCAGAAAGTTTGAGACATTGGTTTGCATGAAAACCAAAGCTTGCGAGACGTGTTGCGAGAAGCCTGTACCTCGCATCCTGATAGGCGCGAGAAGCAAGGGAAGTGAATGAATGCTAGAATTCAGGCGTCAATTGCGGAGACCGAACAACGCCGATGTGAAGCTCGATGGAACGCGCGCACAGCTTTGCGGCGATTGAAAGCCGACCTTGGAACAGCCATGCTGTCATTCTGGTCGAAGTCACCGCCCGCTGCATTCTCGTGATCAGGATGGCGGGTGTCTCCAAGCCAAATCCTGCCATGAGCCTCCGCAAGCTCTACGAGGTGTCCTTCGGCGACCGCTTCTCCATCTACGGCGCGCGAGAGCCAAGACTCTATGCGCTCAGAGTTTGGTCTACCGTTGCCTTGGCCATCAGTAACCGTGACATCTCCTTGTTTCACATCCACCCCGCTGGCGGTGAGAAAAATCTCATCGACCTGGGGCATGGCGAAATCCATGGTGTCTGGTCGATCGAGCCATAGAGATTGTGCATGCCCGTCAGAAGCGTCATCATCTGCCTGCGAAGTTTCAGTGGGTTGTCGATGTCGCAAGCTGTCCAAATCGATGCCCTGGTCATCGCAGGCTTGCTTCGCCTGATCGGCAGTCATCATGCGGTCTTGAAGACTGCGAATGAGCTCAGAGCGAGAATTGTGGTACAGATTTTCGAACACAGAGTCAGACGTGCTGAGCTCCCGTTCTTGGTCCACGGCAAGGTCTCGTCCAGTCCGTGCCTCTGCATGCTCGTCGTCAAGCTCGAGAAGACGCTCTTGTAACACGGCGATGGAACCGACAGCATCAAAATAAGACTGTGCTTGCTGGGGTAGGTCGTCCGTTACTTCAGATGGAGTCAGCAGTTCTGCGTTGAACTCATTGTTCATTTCCGCGAACACTGCCGTCCCGCCTGGCAAGGACTTGTTGTGCTTGGCCAAAGCATTCCTGAGCTTTGACTGTACAGCAAGAAGCCTGTACTGGGTAGTGCCAGTACTTGCGTGCACATTCAAGACAACCTGTGATTGATCCCGCAGCGTAGCGCGATCGGTGGCCAATTGTGCCTTTAGGTCTTGCAAGACCTTGGGCCCGGTATTTCGCAGATTCTCCTCACGTTGTCCTAAGAACCTCTCCGCAATTTGCAGAATAGACTCTTCAGTGTGTCTCAATTTGTCTAGGTATTTCGCCATCTCATTACTCCGTTGCGTCGTTTGAAACAAGAACTTGTTGCCGAGTTTTGAACTGGCAATGGAGAAGCGCTGAATGTTGCTGAGTAACTGGGACCCGCCGGGATCGAAGGCATCGCGAGAAGGTTGTTCATCGTCGGTAATGGGGACATCGATTTCTATCATACGTGAGCAGTGTTCAAACAGAATCCCCGCCCGAAGCTCCAATCTGGACGCTGCTTACCTATGCCACTGTCGCGTTGGTCAATAATCTCTTGGTCGTTTGGCGTAGGTGTAGACTCGTGCGGGTCTTCCATAGAGGCTGTACTTGCTTGCAGCGGCGAGAGTCTCCCGCGCGCCTAATGGGAGCTAGGGTCGGTGTTTATGATGGGTTTCCAAGACTTGGAGTGGCTCAAGCGTGGACGGCAACGCCCCTGCATATGCGCCTCGTCACGACTCACAACAACAGCGGGTTTCGAGGGCGCGCGCCGCGCTTGAGCTAGGAGGTAGCCCGAGACCTTTCGGCTCGTCGGGCGGCCAGTCAGCTAAGGCTAAGCCACAATTGCAGTCACCAGTTCACCGGGTTCAAGCGTGGGGACAACACATGTTCGCCCTGTAATGGCAGGAGTCTCGTGTCCGTGTATCTGTGATGACAATTCTGATGACACCGTGATGCCAGGCCACCGTAACTGGCGAGGGCGCGGGAACGATGGTGTTGATGGTGTTCCGCCTGGAATCGGCCGGCTTGAAGAGCGAGACATCGCAAATCCTGAATCTGTTGGGCGCCCGGCAGACAATTTCTCATCCGCGTTGCGCAGGTGGGTGGACTGGCCGTTGGCTTTCATTCCGGGCACTTGGGCAACGTGTATCAATGGTGCCACTGTGAAAATGCATCCACCCAAGGTGTGATGAACTCTATGAGTCCGCGCCTGCTGATAGGCCCTTGGTCCGTGTCGCGGTATCTCGTTTGCGCGGAGGCAACACCAAAGTGCCAGGTCGCAGTGCCATCGTCCATCTGGGTTGCTCTCGATGTCGTTTCCCTCGGTCGTCTTCGTGTATATTCCGTAGTGGCAATCAGACTCGCTCCTGTAAGGCTCGCCCAGGCGTCATGTCATGTTGCTGGCTACTGCGTAGGGACCCAATGAGGCGAATCATGGTCACGTCCAAGCCGCTGAAACATGAATGCCAAGGACATCTGCTTTCGACTTCAAAGTCAAATAGATGCCCAGCAATTCGCAAAGACCGTGTCGCGATTTCACACATGGAGTACATATGATCCTGACCCGAAGGGATGGACCGTGAACGGGTTGACTTCCGCGGCCATCCAGACATCTTCGCGGACATGGCATGGCAGGCCGTTCAGCATCGTCTTCCCGACAAGATTGACTCAGAGAGCCGGCAGATGCGATGCAGTGTGTCGCAGATGGTTCCTGGGAACAATGAGGCGCCGGAACTCCATCTCGTCCGAAAAGTCGTCACGTCGTCGCCGGTTCGGAAGGGACTTGAGGCCGATCCAGACTGCCTGAGTAAGGGAATGGCGAGTGCGCCAGGTTCGCTCCAAACAAAGTAGACGTAATCAGAAGAAATCCTCGAGGGATGCATATGCGAAGAAAACAGCGGTGTTGATGGGTGAAGTGAAGGCGCAGGAACTGAGGGGCTCGGTGGGGAAGTAAATTTTGGATGACATCTTAAAATTCTAATAATAATATATGTATCTCTCAGTGGCCGCCCTTTTCTGAGGGCGTCAGACTTTCTGCACCACTTCACAACATCTGTAATTCTACATGACTTGCATTAGATCGTCGGACGCAGGTACTTCTGCTCTCATTTGCGCGGATTCAAATGATGGTACGACCGAGCAATGATCAGACACTGGGTAAAGACTTCTCAACTTGCTCAGGTCCACCTATCAACTAATATCCATCAATGCACTATTCAAGTCCGACAAACTTCTCATTCCTGGTATCGAGCTCTGTAACAAAAAGGCTCATTGCTTGCTACGCTGTCCAAAAATATCCGACAAGCTGCCATGCCCCGAGTCCTGGCGCTTCTCCATAACAGCCACGTTCGACTCCGACGAAGATCGCTGACCGCGTACAAAAGATTTACCCGTGTCTTCACTCAACTGCGTAGAAGGCCGCAGGTCTAAGCGTTCTCTAACATGTGGAGGAATGCTTTCGATCATTTGCTGATCAATAGAGATATTCCTCAAATCGTGCTCAGATCTCCGCGCGTACTTTATTGGCCTGGATCGAGGATATTGCTCAAAGGAACTCTCGTCAAACGGAAACTCTTCGCCAGTGCTTGTACCTATCCACTCTTTTATACGATTCCCGGTGTCCTCGGCATGCTCGGTACTCCGACTTGAAAGTGGTAGTTCTGCGTGCAGATTGCCGGTCAAGGTACTCAAGAGGGCCGATGACTTGCCGCCTCCGCTGAGTACATCGGCGCCGGTAGGAGGAACCGTAACAAAATGTATTGACGGCGGTCCTGGAGTGATTGGGCCGTTGGATGATTCAACCCATTCATCTAAAGGCATCTTTCGAGCAGCTCCAGGATCCAGGTTGGCGTCGAGGCACGCATTTTTTGCGTCTTCCGCAGCCATGACCGCGGTCTGCACTGCAGCATCCGCATCGGCTAACATCCGTTGGTACTTCGCGTCAAACTCCTCGTCGCCGTCTTCCAGCACTTCGTCATGATCCTGCTTGAAAATCCTGATGCTACTCGCCTCTCCGTACTCTCTCCTGATATCATCTGCGCGCTCTTGTCGCCATCTGATTTCCCCGACCTTTTCGTAGTAATCCTCGAGGAGGGGATCGATTTCCCGAGATGGTGGCAATAGAGACAATGTAGAACTTCGAGCGGCACACGGCTCCACGCTATACCCTGGCGCTGTGGTAGAGGGGATTCCCAGCTCTCCCAGCACTCGCAGTAAGTCATCGGAAGCCTTGGAGAGTGCCTCTTCCTTGGCTTGCATGTAAAATTCAGTGGGCAACAGCTGACCAGCCCGCAGCCGCTCCTCTTGCAGAATTAGTGCAGTGTGGTCGGCCTCTACTTGCTGGTGTTGTGAGCCAAGCACATCGAGACTTTGCTGTGTTCGGAATTGACGGATGTATTCATCTTGCGACTCTCTAAACAGCCGTCGGCGTTGAAAATACTGTTCTGTGTCGTTGAAAAAAGCACTTCGTTGCAACATGGCTTGCTCTCGTGCAGGTGCGAGTTTAGCATGTGTCCTACTGAAGTGGTCGGCAGCATTACGTAGTGCCAGGAGGTGATCGAGAGAGACTTTTACGTTGCCAACTGCAATCTGAGACTGCTGCTCGTGGGGTGCCGGTGTAGAGCCCGCAGAAAGTGTTTCCGATCTTGCTCCCGACTCCCCATCAAGCGGCAAGTCTGGAGGGATCTCGAGTTCGTTCGCCCACGATAGATCCGTGATGTCCTGGTCACTTTGAGGCCCTTCAAACTCATATCCATCACGTCGGACACGTAGATGTGATTCACGTTGCATGGGAGGCGCGGCAGATGCGCCGAAAAGGGGTGCCGATGAATTCAAAAAGCTCTGGTCTCATGGCCAGATAGGATGCAGCGTTGGGAAGGGGTCAAAGCCGTCGATGCTGAGATGCGTGAAGTCTTGTAGCCTTGTCTTGTGCGAGAGGCTGGCCTCGTTTGCCGAAGTGATGATGTTGTTCGAACGGCGGGGCCACATGCATGCCAGTGCGGGAACTCGCTAGCTCTAGAGTACTCTAGCTGTCCCACGTCCGGCTGCAGCATCCCGTCACCTCTCAGCTCCAGCACCACACAACAGGCCGACGAGCTGCACCTCGACGTGGACCTCCCACCACGAAGGATACGCAAGGCCGCCACCAAATTGCGGCTGCTGGTGCTTTCGCCCTCGGCTGCTCCAGCAAGGATGTAGATCCCAGATGAGTCTTGTCACATGCCGCTCGGCTGACCAAATGCAAGTCCCATGCAGTAGCCGCCGATGCTGCATGTCGATGCTTGCCGACCGCAGGTGTGTCCACGTCGGTTGTGTCTATCTGCACGCCATGCCGTGCCCTTGAACTGCAGAGCCGCGCGGGGCATAAAGTGCAGCTGCCATCACGTTGTGTAGCCGCAACGCTGAGCTGGCCTTCGTGGTGAGCATTCACCATGGCAGAGCAAGGTGGTGGCGGCGGCGGTCGTGGCCCTTTCTTCTTCGATCCTGCACGACAGCAGCGATACTATTACGACCGTCGTACGAATGAGTACGTCTACGAAGACAACTACAGAGTTCCAGCCCAGCCTTCGCCCTCTGATCCACGCACCGCAAATCGTTCTATACCGAGGGGCGGCCAAGCTGCCGTGGCATCTCAGTTTCGGCTGCAAGATGCGACATCACCTACAAGAGCGCGGGAGTATGCACATAATGCGGTTGGCGAGCAACCGCCATATGGTGGCCGAAGGCAATCCCAGTCTTCCAGCCTTGAGCAAGATATGGCGAATATGAATCTGGCAACCCCCGCTGCCCCCTCCACGAGCCAATACGAACGCAACGGAATACGGTTCACGGACGTGCAGAATCCAATAAGTCAGGTGCGGACCGTCGTTGGAACGTATCCTCCAAATCGGATTACCGATCCTTTCTTTTCTCAACGCGGAATCCATGCACAGCAAATGCTCATGGCGATCGACGGTCCCGAAGCCGAAGACTTGTGGCCGACTTTTCGCCTTCAAAAACGCGGCTTCTTCAAAGTCGGGCGGGTATTCCTTGTGCTCTGGGCTGAACCAGCTGGCGAGTCCCGTGCCAGTATCATTTCGAAACCGGAAATCAGCGACCGCTCTCTTTTCGCCGGGGCATACAACACGAAAGTGCACTCCAAAGTTCGAAGGTTTGTTGTGATTCGTGAAGGCGAGAACTATTGCAGCGCCCTTCCTGTCACAACTTACGGGGGCCAGGGCGTCGCAAAAGCGTCCGTAAAGAAGTCGGAACACGCTATCATCCACACGACTCGTGAGGCACCGCCAGCACTTTCATCTGAGCAGCCAAGTCGCGAGGAGCACGGAGGGATGAGGCCAATTCCCATTCGTGTAATACCGGACGAAAAGACTGAGACCCTTGATCCCATGTCACGAATCGATTTCGGCAAGATTCATACTATTCAACATAACCTTAGGGTACGATCACTGGGTAACGTCCACGCTCATTCGGTCAATGCTTTAAAGACTCAATTCGCCAATGTTTGGAGTCAAACAACAGCCCCTGATCCTCAAACAGTGGTAGCAAGTTCATCGGGGTCTCGTGGCCAAGCAAATCTTCCCGCAGCACGGTCTTCCAGCAAGCAACCCGTAAGAGGCGGTCGAAGCCAGGCAAGACACCCAGCCGCAGAGGAAAGTGAGGGGGAGAGTAGCGGCGAGGAGAGCGAGGACAACAATGGCAGCAGCGATGATGATGATAGCGGACCAGAGGACCAGCGCAAGCAAAGTCGACCTGCACTGCCGCCGCCCACGATCGCAGGTGCGTCGTCCTCTCAGCGCAACACTCAAACACAAGCAGGAACATCCAGCGGCGCAGCCCAAGTGTCATGGGACATGCGCGTTGCACAAGCTAGGATTTCTTATCGTAACAGGATTCAAAGAGGCTACACACCAATCCAAGCAGTGGCAGAAATGGTCGCAGGTCTCCAGCAGCAGGGTAGATCGAAGCTGGAGGCCGAAAACGAGATTCGTGCCTTGCTCTCGACGGACCAGTCTTAGGAAGCCCCAACACTTTACGAAACTCGTATATCGACAGCGTTCCGGCTTCCAGTGCCGGACTCCTTTTCGGCTTCTATATGCTTTCATGATACGAACACTACCTGCCAGCAGACTGCTCCTGGCACACCTTCACAGCGTCCAGGATGATGAAAACTACGTCTCGGTCCACGCCGACTTCTGAGGACGGCTGTGCTGTGACACAATTGACGTTTTGCTTTAACACTTGGAGCGACTGGGGTTGCTTTCTCTCCATTTCTTCTTGAAATTGTGCCTTGAATTCAGAATAGCGATTCACTTGACTGCCCGCGACTGGCGTGAGCAGGTCTTTTTGCTTCGCACCTATTATTTACTTCACGCCATCAACTGTTACATTTTATCCTTTCAAAGCAATAGAAAAACATCGCTCTTTTCCATGTCAGATCGCTCTACATCCAAATTCGCACAAACTAGGTTTCAATGAGCTCCACTTACCGACGGGCATATCCTAGTTACCACCAGAGCATAACTCGACGTCAGCAACAACAAGAAGACATCTCCCGCTTCAAAAGACACCTTTTTCTGCAGGCCCAGACAGCGGAGGCGCTGATTGTGGGCTCTCCCACTGCACGCGAGCCTGACGAACAAGGTGCACTTTATCCTTCTGATCCACAACACCGAAGCTTTTTACCCTCACATTGTGCTCAACGGTTTGCTTTTTGCCATAGTTGATGCGCGACTTGGGCCACAGTCTGTCCAAGACCTGGTCTGGGACGACTTTGATGGGTATTTCCTGCATGCCATGCTCCTCGGGATCGGCCTCGGGAGGGGTTTTGCCTGTGTAGACCATGCCGTGCTCACTCTTGACGAGCTTCGTATGCTTGACCCCAGAGTTTCCATAGGACATGATGGGGCTTTGATGGGTCAGCAGTCCATCTGGCAATCACAAGGTCACGCTGGGTAGAATGCTTACACGACATTGCAGTAATTGTGAGAGGCTCTCACGACAACGAATAAACGGTACTTAGAGTAGTAGAGCTGGTCATTACGGCCGCGGAAATACTCTGCACTGTACTCGGATTGGCTTCTGTTGTTGTCATCCGAGGGCTCTGTCCAGAGCATCCAGAACACCTGTGAAACGTCAGCCGGTGGCCCCAAACCTCAGTCTGATGCGCACCTTTCCGACGCGAAAGAAGTCGGTGGGGTGTTTGCGCTTCTTGAACACTGTGCTTGATTAGAAGTGGGACAAATTATTGGGTGTCGCGAAACATACTGGAGTCGGTCAGCTTCTCCGGTTGTTGCGGATGCGTGGGCAAATCGAACAGTGGTGTGTCCGGAAGGAAGCCTCGAGCGGTCGTCAGACTGTGAGGTAGACTCGATGAGCTGTTTGAACTCATTGGCATTTGGGAGCCCGGAACGGGAGTGAACGGCGAGGGCGGTGAGATTGGTGACAGGAGACTTCGAGCCGAACGGGAACTGACTCCCGTCGAGGCTGTACCCACGCCGTATGTTCTTGGAAACGCCGATTCTGTTTCGCTCAGGCCACCCATAGAGCTGATGTCCAACATTGGGACCGTGTAATGACTTCGTACTATTGTCGGAGTGTCTGGGAGAGTGTACTGTGCAGAGATATCTCTCAGGGGTAAGCCGACGACCTCATTCGCATGTTGCGATTCAGAGGTCTCTCGAACGGCCACCAGCACTGATATCATTCTTTGCAACGCGGCTTCGAGGTCGAAACAGGGCTTCAAGCCAATGCTTTCGAGATGGTCTCGAACTTGTGACTGTGCTTCCGTTGCCGTATCCATTTCGTCGAGTCTAGCAACATCGTCCAAGTGCGCAGAGCTGTCGTCGCGGTAAGCCTCCTTCGACTTTGGCGCGTTGTCATTGTGTCCCTGCGAAGGCTTTGTATGTGATTCTAACGCCTCCACCAAGGCCTGTGCTGTGGTCCGCCATGCTTCACTCTGAACAAGCTCTTGTAGGGAGATACCAGTATCTCGTCTGTCCGTGGAAGCCCTCGGACCTCTTGCACGTCTTACCGCCTCTTGTGCTGCCGCTCGTTGCATACCCCAGTCCATCACCGCCGAATTCAATGGTTCATGTCGGCGAGATGGGTCGCTGTAGTATGTAGAGCCAGCAAGTTCGTTCGTCAACGAGCGACAAGCTTAAGCTTCATCTGTGGCCAATCCTACGTTGACAGCGCAGCGACAACATGCCGTCCCGTCGGGCATCACTCGTTAAGCACCGGTGAAGCTGCGCAGAAGTTTGCCTTGTCTCGCTCGAGGCGAACCACGGCCCAGCCTGCCGTTTAGCTTGCCCTTACCTCAGGATCAGTAAGTTTTCTTGCTCGATGATCGAGAGACTTGAGCACATGAGCATGCGTCTACAGCCTCCAGTCTCCAGATGTGTCTGGATGTAAATCACGTCGATGCGGCGTGGCTTCAGCTTGTAGCCACTTGTGCAGCTCTAGTACTGTCTTGCAGACCAGCATCTCATGTGGCGTAAAGACTCTGCATGGGCTACGCATAGCTACTTTTGCCACAGCTCGTTGGATCACATTCGGCGACTTTCGTGTGGAGGAAAGCACTACTTTTACTTCACGGCAACGAAACTGACATGGTAGCCAAGTCTTGAGTTCACAAATAATCAATCGATCAGAAAGTCACAGCCTCAGGTACCCTTCGAAGCAGCACGCCCGCCGTTGCTGATTGTTGGAGTTGGTAGAGCTGACCTTCATACATTCATTTCCGGCTTTTACATTTGGACTATTCTAACATCTGCCGATGTACCTTTTTTACCCTTGGGAAGATACTTGTATAGGAGACGTTTCCGGAGCTATGTTATCATCGTGCCGTTGAAGACTGGAGTGACTCCAGCTGATCGAATCGTCAGGTAGAGATGCTGGGCTAGAGTTTGGCAAGTCCTCCAGCCAGTCCTGAATCGCTTCTCCAGTGTCGATGCTCGTAGACTCAGCGCTCTCACTCTTCTTTCTGTAGAAGCTGGGATCCGTGTTCAAACCCTGTGCGATGCACAGTCCATGAAGATACTGTGCTCGCTCTTGCAAGCGCACAAGCTCGTGCCTGGCCTGCTGCACCCTCGACGTCCAGATTTCATTGAATTCATCGTCAGATACCCCAAGTGGAATATCTTGTGAGGCTTTTCGTTCCCTTTCAGATATTTCCTCTCGAAGTTTTGCGGGAAGTTCTTCTTCAAGATTGGCAATCATAAGCCTAGAATCTCCGACGGCTTCGAAATAGTTGCTGACAGCCTCCGGGATGCCGTCCGAGTCTGCATCGAACTGCCCTGGTGGCTCTCGTTGGATCTCTTGGGGGTCGTGTTGGGCTATGGCCCCGGTAAATGCAGGCTGCTGGTCAGGTATCGCGCTCTTGTCGTTCTCTAGAAAGGCATGTTCTAAGTGACCCAATTCTGGATCCAGTCTCTGAGCTCGTACAATCGACTCCGAGAGCAGTGCTTCATCTCTTTGCAACACGTAAAACAAGCTTTCGAGATGTTTTGTACTGTTCGGGAGCTGACCTGCCATATGAATCGACTGGACGGCGGCCATAAATTGGGATTTTGAATCGGCGAAGTGCTTAAGCCTCGTTTGAAGGCTCTGCAAGTCGTTCCACCATTCGGTTCGTGATACCGTAGCGCGATCTCGAGAAAGTGCCAATTCAAACTCTTCTTTCGTTCCAGCGGCTCCATCATTCTGCATGTTGATCTAAAAAGACTTCAAGGCTGTCTGTGCGAAGTTTGCGTTGACTGTAGCAGATAGGGGTTATCGCGAGCTTCAGGAAGTGAGGCTCTCTCCCTTCGTTCAGTCATCCATTTTGTAGCTTCTGGAGCGAACGTCAGAGAATTGATGCCGACGGACAGAAGAACAAGTCCGCTTTCGCAGTGCATGTGCGCAGCCTCGAGCAGTGGCGTCATGCTGGTCAGCTGCAGCTGCCGCCGCCGCCTCGTCGGAATTTGGTGCTTGTGCCAGTGACGACCAACACCTGCGACTCGACACACATTCTTCTTATTTTAATTAGATGTGAGCTATAGAATAGCTAATTATTTCACGTATATTCTGAGAGCTAGCACTGTACCATATTCACAACGCCTCCAGCTTCGATCCTCAGGCGTAAATTTAACGACTCTACCTCATCCTGACCTCTTCGCCAAACTGTCCTGCGCAGGCACACACAGTCGCAATTTTCGGTCCTACATGCTCTCTTCACACCTCTCCGTGGCACACTGTCCCTCCAGAGGACCTAGAGAGCATCATGGATGACCCTGGACAATCAGGTCCTCAAGGTCCTGGCGAGGCCGATACGAAGCATCTCGTTCCTACTCCAGCATCTCGTGGGAAAGGACATAGCCACAAGAAGTAAGCGATGTTTCTGCTCCAAGATATGCCCTCACTTGAAGCTGATGGCCGCCATAGTTCTTTTAATCACCAGGACCATCCAAACAAGGCTGAGATCTTACCTCTTTCCACTGAAATCAAGGTCGAGTCCTACCGAAAGATTGTACCTGCTACATTCGGCGATACCTCTCGACAGGATGGTAAGAGCCGATGCCAAATCACATGAGATCTTGCTCAGTTATTCCAGAAGGCTTTTCGCGACCCGACTCCTTCTCAAAGTTCTTCAAACCTGGGCGGGTAGGCAGACCATACCCGTTACTTGATTACCGGACGACTAAAGTTTTGACAGGTGTTCACAGTTCCAGCCAACGAGCCAGCCGACCGACATACAGACTACGTAACACAAATTACAGCGTCGAAAGTGTATAGCGCTCTGGGCGAGCATGGTTATCAGAAAGAAAGGAAGCTCATAGTCGTCGAGCTCAAAGAAAGGTCTTGCCATGCGGTGTAAGTCGAGTTCCCTTCAACAAGTCTCTAGTGACTGACGCGCGATAGACCGATCATGACTTATGAAGGCCGAGGTGTCTCCAAGACTGGCGTCACGAAAAGTGATCATGCCGTTGTCCACACTGGCAAGCAGCCACCATCGTTGTTCGACAACGAGATGCCTGCCCGTGGCGAGGAACCGGTCAGGGCTATCCCTATTCGCGTCAAACCAAGTGACCCCACAGATAAGCTTTCCAACGCTGCGAGGATCAACTTTGGTAAAGTATACAAGATTGAACAGAGTATCGAAGTCAAGCGATGGGGCTTCGTTGTAGATCAATCCATGTCGGCACTGAGAGCTCAGTTCAGAAGTGTTGCTCTCGGGACAGGGTCAACTATCAGCATCCTTCCTACTCCAGGAAGCAGCTCGCCGACGATTCGCCCTGGGCAGGACGAGGCGAGCGATGAAGTCGTCTGAGATCGTTCACGAGAACTCAACAACAAACGATACCTTGAGCGAAGGAGATGGAATCATCGTGTCACTATGGTATAAACTTGTATCAAGCCGAAGCGCAAGTCACAGCAACATATAATTTCCTTCCACTTCCACCTATAGATTACTAGGTTGTCTAGATACCAATGCCTTGGCTAAGCCTACGAGGATCACCTTGTACGCCTGTACTTAGACTATTGGTCGTTCTGAAACTTGCCCATCCTGTACGGAGTTGCCCGACACGTCTTCTCTTTCACCGCTTCCAAGTTTGATCTGATGAAGATGATCTTCTAGTTCCAATGATCAAGCCAACATGCAATCGGCGGGCAAATCTATTAACCTCGTGCTTCGGGGTTAGACATTGCAAGGCGAAGACTTGCGAAGAATCAAACCATATCAGGCAATTACTTGATAGATGTAGGTGCAAAGGGACAGCAACAACTGGACCTTCCTACATACCGGCGTCGAGACAATTGAGCACTTCTGATTCACTTGTTTGCCATCTTTAACGATAGCTAGCTAAGTTCGACTTTTCTAAAGAGAAGCCACTACTACGTATCTCTACTTCTTTCCTAACATGTGTCCCGGTCCAGACTATCATAACGTCTCAGCACATATTGAAAGTGGTACCATTAAATTCCTCCCTGTGCTTCATGGAAGAAGTCACCAAAAATGGCTGAATCAGACCGCCTGCGTTTTCCCTGAATCCTGATCTTTGCCCGAATCTCTTGTTGTCTGGTCGTTGCGAAGCTAAAAGGTTCAACGTGGGCGATCTGAGAATCATTTATCACAGGTGGATCAGTCGAAATGCCGTTTAGTCCTGTAAGCCAACGCTCAACGCTGTTTTGGTCCGCTTCTGGATGTGATTCGAGGACACTGTCAGCCGTGGCGCCTTGCCCTTCGCCCAGAAAACCAATAGGTGCGTCCCTCATATCCGAAAGCAGATTTTCCAGATTCGAAGGCCGCAGAGTGAAGATCTCGCCCTGTTCATCATCCACAAATGCAAAGGAGGAGGACGAAGAAGTGGCCGATTGAGATCTATTTTGCTTGAATCTGTAGGCCTCCACGTCAATTCCGCTTTCCATGCATTGCGTCCGCATATCTTCCACATCTTTTTTCAGAACTTCCAGCCGGCCCAAGAGAGCGTTGTATTCTGTCTCGAATGCTTCGTGGAACTCATCATCAGACGTGGGAGGCTCCACTTCTTGGTCTCGGCGAAAGTCTCTGGCACCTTTCTCGTCGTTGTACATGTGCTCCAAATCTCCGATCTGCTCCATGATGAGCGCCATGTCACCTCGTCGGTCAAAATATGTCTGTACCAACTCAGGGATATCATTTGATGCCTTAGTCGACTGATTACCAATCCCACTCGCTTGCTCGATTTCTGCAAGAGCGGCGGCGAAGCTATCGCCTTGGGGTAATCTCTTTACAAACGCTCGTAGTGATTGCATGAACTTTCGCTCTGCCTCGTTTATAGAGTACTGTTTTGAACTTGCAGCTTGCTCGATATCGGCTGTGACGCTGGATTGCTGCCGTAAGTCATGCCAGTCCTGCAAGAGCTGGCCTTTCAGGCCCTCAAAGGATCCAGCGGCGGTGACTCGCAAGCCTTCCTCCGTCTGCGCCGAAAATGTATCCACCAGAGCTTCAAACGACTCTTGGACAAAGCGGCGTCTATTTTGATACTTTTGCATCTCATTAAGTCTCTGCGCCTGTGCCAACATGTAGTCGTGGCGTGCAACGACCAGCTTCTTGTACCGCTCCAGAAGTCGTTGGGGCAGCGGAACACCCATGCTGGGTTGCTGTTGAGGAATGGTGTTGTCGACCACTTGGTTCTCTTGGACATCTTTCCCGCCTCCACCTGGATCTGCCCCTTCATAAGGCGGGCGTGTGTTTTCCTCCGAGGATGGACCTGCCCATGTCCCAAGACTCGGCTCCTCAGTGGAAGCGGGTCCATTTGTGTCTGCAGCGGCTTGTCACTCAAAAAGGGTCTTGAAAAAGTCAGCCGCATGGGATAAAATACCTGCTGAGGCTGATGCTGGTGAGAAAAGTTTGCCTTGGGTGTAGTCATCGTTACTACTGGTTAGCATCGCACATGATTTCTGAACGCCAAGCTTGTCCTTGTATGGGGGGCAATTTAAAGGATGCAACTAGTGTAGTTGAGATGTCAAGAAGAAAAGCGCAGTAGGAGAAGAATGTGAGCTCTAAAACACAAAGCTGGAAGAGACGAACTCCAGGTGGTTTTTGGAGCTTCGCGGCTCTGCGATGTCGCCGATCAATGGCAGCCTGATAAGCCTACCACCATCAACGAGGTACTGCAGATACTTCCATCGATCACAAGAAGGTTGCCTTCCTCAGAGCGGCAGAGCAGGCAAATGAGACTCAAATTCAAACCTCCTCGCCGGACAATGCAGAGCTTTGACCAATGACAGCACGCCAGGTCGGGCAAATGACCAGCGGCGCAACGCCACTGGCGTCCACATGCTGCAGCAGGGGCATAACGCGGCCGCGCCAGCTGTGATCTCCTCAAGCTCTGTACCAGAGGCTGTGTACTGCACTGTGTCGTGGTGCTTGTTAATGGGTAGCCCTCCGCCGACGCAGCGGTACCAAAGCTGCACAATGCCGAATGCTGCCAAAAGCTACGAGCTGGCCACACGTCGAAGGCAGCTCGATGCAGCTTGCCGAAGCGCCGCATCACATGCGCCCGTGTCCACTATAAAAGTCATTCGTGCCCGAGTTTCCCACGGTTAGCTGCAGGCTTGACGTCGTACTCATGTTCGCCTACGACGATGTCCGACGCCATTTCCAAAGCACCTGAGACTTATCCATTCGATAACACGGTCGGGGCGTACTACTTTGTTCAGGACGATACAAAGATCTTTTTCGGTAAAGAGCCTGGAAATTACTTCCGACTTTATAATGGCATTCGTGTTTATACGGACCGCAACACCCACGAGACCTACACCGTCGCGGCAAATGGCGCGCGTGTTCCTTTCAACACCACACCACGCACGGTAGCCCGCGACACAGCCCTATACAAGTCACGTCAGGCACTATCACGAACAACGAGCTCATCTGCGCAGCAGTCCAGTCGCAGCCCTGGCGAGTCCACCGGTTCCCGCTCCCCAGAGGTCGTGGTGGGGTCTTTAGACAGTGGCTACGGCACTTCATACTCAACCGCTTCCCTCACCAATCCCGCCAAGCAGAGTCTCAGTACCAGAGACCGACAAAATGCATCCGATGACATGAACAACATAAAGTCACATCTCAAGGGCATGAAAATATCAGGAAATACACAGACCGCGGACAACAGCTTTACGCAAGAGGCCACAAACATTCCTGGCGTTTACGAGATTGTTATCAAAGCTGCTGACAATAAACCACACTCGACATATCGTGTGGGGGATTTCAAAGGCACTACTAGCAAGGCTGCAAGAGAAAAGGGCATACGATCCACCAAGTTGATTACAGGCACCGGGGGTCAGAATGAAGACCGAATCGACGCTCGTATGCACATGAAATCAAGCCTAGGTTTCTTAGCACTGACAACGTTCAAGGCTACAAAACTCGCTCACGCAAGGGCCATCGGTTCCGAAGCTATGAGGTCAGTCGTCCCAACGCTGCTGTGTACATTACACAAAGATGCTGAACGAAGCATAGGTCATCGAGACACTGGAAGCAGACCCGCCGCCTCCATTACAGAGTCGTCTTACAACGGTTACGAATGATCCCGCTTATGGACGACATCGAGTGAGACCACGGAAATGGATCGTCATAGAAGATCATGACACTTCATGTTCAGTGGTGTAGGTCTCTCTCACGCCTCTCACGGTGTCATGTGTACTGACGTGCATAGCCCAATACGCACGTACTTCGGCTATGGTGTTTCGTATCAGAATGTGAGAAAGTCGGACCACATGATCGTGCACAGCAATGACCCTGCGAACCCACCTCAACCCCTTGCTGCCGAAGAAGCAAGACGAGGCACGAACGGTGAACTCAGCGAAGACGGAATGAAAGTTCCGCCAATAGCTGTTTCTATGTCTGAACCGGGCGCCAGACTTGACTCGATGTCCCGAGTGGACCTCTCCAGAGTCTCCACGATCAAGCACGACACTCCGGTTCGTGAGCTCGGTAGAGTACGTTTGGAGTCACGGTGGGTATTGCAATGCAATTTCTGGCTTGTACAGATAGAGAATACGCCTCCAACAGATCCGAGACGCGAGTTGTTGCTTCACCAATACCGGAGCTTTCGACAGCGCACCCCCAGTATCACGGGTGCTGCACCTGCGGATAGTGCGACCACCTACCTCGGCAGATCCGGAGCTCCATCTCAGGCTGCCCGCAGAACGGGCAATCCAGACGACGACAACGACCACGCTAGCAGCGACGATGACGACGATGGCAAGGATGAAAATCACAATACCAGGGATCAGGACGCTATGATGAGAGCAAGGAGATTCAGGGATGCAATCCTTCAACTACGGCAGCAGAATAGAACATACGCAGCAGCACTCATGAGCCACTTACGAGACAATGGCTATACGTATGAAGCAGCATATCGACATATGCTGGCGAGCACTACACAAAACAACAGCCGCGCCGTGCCAAGCTCCACGCAGACCGCACAGCCTTCAAGGCGCCGGCAGAGGGTCGATCATGCAAGCTCAGAAGAGAGCTCAGAAGAGAGTTCAGATAGCTCAGGAGACGATACAGAACATGGCTGAGCATGTTGCAGTTTGTGCATTCCCGTGCATGGACTTGACGGTGTGTCGAAGATTGATGATGCTATGATGACTTGACGACGACTTGACAACGACTTACTATGATACCCATGGAACCAGGGCAGAACTTTACGGCACGAAGCGGAGCTTCAAACACTCGGCTTTGGATTTACCATCGACAGAACGACCTCGACGGCACAGTTTGTTCTTTCAACCCAGCGTTTTTGTACTTTTGTTCTTCGTTCTCGCAGCTACTTGGCCGCATCCTGGAGTAACGCATGGTGAATGAGCTTTCAACTTTAGCTTGTGGCACAGCGGCATGGAGAGACTAACGAAATTAAGATCAACTGCATACGATACGATCAACCCAGACAGCGCAATGCAACGATGTTTTGGTTTAACAATTGGTATTCATGCTTGTTGCTTCACGTGAATGATGTTGTAATATTTCAATGCGGCCATAAAAGGTGTTCTGATTCAACAGCGACGAGTCACTGCGTATGTTGATTCTACGTTTGCAACCATTTTATAGTGAGCAGGACTACCTACTTAGTAGCTGTCGAGTTTTCGACGGGGTATGTCGATCTTTATCAAACTCCAAAACTCTTGAGGTGTGTTGAAATTTCCCATCCACCGCCGAGTCCTAACACATTAAACGATGAAAAGTGTCGCGATATCGTCGCTCGTAAAGCTTTGGCAGTCGTTCTGATAAGTATGAGCTCAACCTGGACCGATCGTACAATGTTTGTTTATCCAGTGGTCAGAATGGGCTGAAGTGATGCTAGTCTCAGCAATACACAGAACGGTTGAGGCATTAAATGCTTCTAGAAGTGCACACTTAGGACAGTGGACTGGGGCATGACGTTGAAATAAGCGTGGCACCGTTGTGGTTGCTGGCTCGCTAGCGGAACGGCCCTCTTTGACTTGTCGCATTGTAGCATGGCCTCTTTGTGACCATAGGGGCAAAATTGGTAAGTTTACATGAGGATCGAGCAAGGCTGCGTAGCCTGCCTTGCGCAATGATCTATCCTCAAGATGCACCGCAGATGCTTGATATCTGTCGCGCAAGGCTGTGACGGTTCCGCCGAGTCCATGTATGGCGGCGGAGAAATAAAATGCCGAGAGTTCGATGACACCGTACAACTAGTCTCCCGTAGCCACGATGTTCCCCTCCGAAATTTGCGCCGTTTGCTGACGCTGAGGAGACTGTTCGAAGAGCGTACAATACACATCATTATCAGTCCATCGGCTTCAAAATGTGTTTGCATGTCGTTGAGTCTGTTCAAGTTCTCAGTCCGTCGGGCGCATTCACGACTTTCCGAAATGAACATATGACCAGCGGGGCGGATGTTCGCCACTTCATCATGACAGAAGACTTTGCGGGCTCTTTGAAGGAGAACATCACGTTGTAGCTGATGTTACGGACCAGGACAAAAGACGAATTAGCTCGTACGTGGCGGGCATCGCTTATTGTTATGTTCAGCTCGAGGCCCAACAATCCACCTAGCACACCCTTGCAGATCCTTCAGCGCCACGACCTGGCTGGAACGACGGAACCGATTCAGCTCAGCCTTGCTTGACAGCGCCACCATGCAATCGTGCCTAATCTTCGCGCTGCCTCACAAGTGATTGGACTATGGTCCTCTCGGTCATGAGAGAAGCGACTAGGGTCAACGGGCTGTGTCGCATGGCTGCCAGTCAAACATAAGTACTTGTGGTTTCGAACCATCCAGTCGCAGGGGACCTCCAACTCACACTTCTATCATCCAAAATCTTTCTCATAAAGTACCGTGTTATGGTCGCTAGAAACCTTAGCCCAAAGGACGCTTCCTGCTGATACCTATGTTAGCTCAGACAATGACACAGTAGGGTACCTCATCCAGGAACTTCCCTTGTTAAGGGTGATAGAACATGGCTCAGCCGGGAGGCCAGCCAAGATGGACCCATGATCCAACGCGGAACCTCTATTTCTACCATGACCAGCACACCGATGAGCTTGTCTATCAGGACGGAAATAGGTTACCAGCTCCCAGGCGCTCACTATCGGCCACGCCTCGTACTGGTGGAGGAAGCAGCGGAGCTCAACCGCTTCCATACTCACAAAATGGCTCAGGCTCGTACCCGCAAGACGCGCATTCTGTTGACGTTGCACGGAGACAACAACATCCAACACAGGCTACGCTAGATGCGCAGCCCACGCACGGGTTGCATGGCCCAACAATCAATGTGAGCACTGCACGACCATCTTCGCGAACATTCGATCGAGGAGGCGTCCAAATGGTGGTCGCAGAGGATCCCCAAACTCGTGTCAGGACAACTTTCGGGACGTCTCCAGCTAGTCGGATCACTGACCCGCAGCTATACAATGCCGGAGTACGAGCCACCCGCATGCTCTATGGGACTGGTGAAGGAGAGGCAGAGCATTTATATTCGAACTACCGCATGCGGCAGCGCGATTTCTTTTGCTTTGGGAGAGTCTTCCTCTTGCTGTGGGTAGAACCTGCAGGCGAATCCGGAACCCTTATAACCAGCGTTGAACCGAGTGATCAGGCGTTCAGTAACGGCGCTTTTAACGAACGTGTATACTCAAAGGTCCGCCGTTTCGTTGTGGTTAGGGAAGGCCAGAGCTACTGCTCTGCCCTACCCATCGCCACCTATGGTGGCCGGGGAGTCAGCAAGCCAGGGGTCAAGAAATCAGAGCATGCCATCATACATTCTGGTAGAGATGCACCCCAACCGAAAACCCACGAAAGACCACAACGCGGAGAAGACAGCATAAGGCCAATTCCAATTCGTGTGGTCCCTGACAACCGCGAAGAAGCTCTTGAACCCATGTCGAGGTTAGACTTTGGGAAGGTACATACTATCCAGCACAACATCAAAGTTCGTCCTTTTGGAATGGTTCATCCGGATTCGAAAACTGCACTGTACGAGCAATTCCAAAATGTCTGGTCGAACACAGCAACAATCGTTCCGGCATCAGAGGATCAGTCTTCCCAAGCGTCTGCGTCTTCGTCCTCTGGACGCAAAGCCAGAGCGCCTCCGTCCACCGCAGATGGAAGCTTGAAGGGACGCAGTGGCAATACAACAGTTGTTGAGGAAAGAGACGAAAGCGAAGAGGACGATGACGACGAGGAAGAGGATGAGTCCGACGAGGAAGAAGCTGCAATTAGCCCACGAAGCGATTATGGCAGGGCATCTTCATCACTGCCGCGCCAATTCCAGAGCGGCTATGTACCATCGGCGACGCAAGCACAACAGCGAACAGTCGCTTCATCTAGCGGTACAAGCCAATCTGAATCTTCAGCCAGGATGCAGTGGGCTAGAGACTGCGCTACACGACTGGTGCATCAGGGATACAGCCGGGAGCAAGCTTTCCAGTGGCTTGTCTCTCAGATCCAGAAACAAGGCAGATCGCAGCAGGCGGCAGATGCAGAGGTCCGCGCATTGCTGTCGGGAAAGGCGCCACACCCTCCGTCTCCACAATCGGGGTCGTTGGGCAGAGAACATACCAGCTCTTTCCTCCGTACAGCTCCTCGAACGCAACATCCCGATATTGATTCTAGCACATCTTCCTTAGGAGACCAATCCCTGGAACCGCCAGGGTTGAGTGAGCGCATCCAGAATCACAGGCACGAAACGACTCGTTCGCCTCGTGCCGAACCCGTAGATCACGAGAAAAACTCCGAATATCAGTCAAAGGGTGATACACACGGCACTCAACTTGAGCTTGACGAAGGTCAGTTCAAGAGTGATATACACAGGGTTCAACTTGAGCTTCAGAGACCGCCCTCGTCTTTGGAGACGGGACTTGATTCGACGACCTTGGCGCAGAAGGTAGAGACAAAAAGCATTCACGCTGTGCAGACGGACTCGGGTTATGCCAGTATGGATCGACAGAACAAAAACCCTGCTCAAAGCGGCAAAGATGATGAATCTGATAGAGGCACAGCCTACTCCGGTGAATCCGCCATTCCACTGGTGGGGAACGCCAGAACGAGATCTATCGAAGCGTTTGCGATTGAGATTATTGACCGGTTGTCCGGTAACCCATGGGTTCCATCGCATCAGCGCGAAGACGTTGAGAGGCTGCTGAGGGATTCATTGAAGGTATATACGCAGGATGTGAGAGAACAAGGACCAGACGAAAAGGTCGTCAACGGTGCTCGATTTATATCGCAGCAGAGACCGTACGTAAATCACCTTGAATTGGAATCTCTGCTGACAGTGCAAAAGACGAATTGCATCGCTTATTGTGGTGGGTCGCTCCGGTACCAGAATCAGCGATTCAGACGGGAGAGGTCCCAGCCAGAGCGCTTACTCGTTGAGAGAAAACATGAATAAATGGCTCAGTCAGGCAAGCACAGATGTGGACCCAAATACAATTCCGCCAGTGGAACCAGGAGATGTCTCGAATCTGGGCGAGGACGAGAATCTAGAGCGTTTCATTGACGAGTCAAGGCCCTCTTTGATCGGCCATCCAGCGTTTGAATCTCTACTGACCGACGTCAGAGCGATACTCCAGCCTTTCCTTGCTCCTGGTTTAGGCAACATCACCCAGTGCCTTAAGGATGCTATCGACGAGTCCGCAACACAAGCGGATTTCCGATTGCAATGGGATCCGGTTGCCTTCTGGAAGATGAACTACCCAGAGACACACGACATCGACATTATGAACGTGCTCGTCGTGATTCATGCAAGTGAAGGCAGACACCAAGCCCTAACATGCGCAGAATATCTGAAACAAACCTGGCCTCAAAGTTGCGCAACGACAGTACCACTGTTTAGGTCTTTGGTTCGCATTCTCGCAGCACAGGGAAGAGCAGTGCAATCAGGTACGTCAAAGGCCCTGCAAAGCATTCTGACGCAAGGTCTAACCTAAGCAGTCGATGGTATAACCATCGAGGCCACTACTACAAGCGGACAGTTACATTTGAACGTCTTTGCGAAAGCTTCGGACTTGATTCGCATCGGTGAGCAGTTAGCATGGCTAGGCGCTGCGTGCAGAGCGACCGACACGCCGTCAGACCCTATCTACTCTCAAGCGGTCATCGGATCTGTCCATGACGACACTCACACAACACCAATGTTCGACATTCGCTACGAGGATAAAGTCAGGTCCCAGTTTGATGGTACGCATGCCCTGGCTGGACACTGCTGGCAGAGTCTCTTCCAATGTCTTTTAGTAGCCGACGGATTTCCAGTACCAACACGAGATGAGTCGCAGCCAGGGCTCGAAATACCATTCGACATCATGGCTAGTCTTGGCGAGACAGACGAAGTCGCAATGTTTGACGGACGTCTTTTGCTAAAGGGACACTCTACGCTCTTTGTAGCCGTGAAGAAGGTGGACAGGTCGGTAATCTGGCATTTTGAGAAATTGGACGATGCGGATGCCAATCCTTATGATGCCGCTCTGAGCATTGAAACCGATGAGAAGCTAGACCTGACCTGCATCACCGACTGCAGACACTTTGTGGGCTGGACAGAGGAGGTATCCGTGAATTTTGGTACGTCTATCCACGTCGTTCTGAAACATTGAGCTGACGGATGCAATAGCCACGAAAGACGCCCACTACGACATATCACCCACCTCCATAGGACTGGAGGGCTCAAGTCTCGCTTTCACCTCGTTCTCGATATCAGCCAGCAAATACCTGGGGATCAGCGCCAATTTCATCAGAGGGAAGCGCGAAGCTTTATTCTTGAGCGGGCCATCGACATACAAGCTCAAGATGGACAACCTACAACGAGAGTTTATGATGATCTACGATGACCAAACGCAGAAGGTGTGGTTATTGAAGGCTGATCGTGTGTTGCTCCATTTGTTGCGGTGCCGGATTTCCACACGCCACCACGACAGCCAACATTTCGTCCTCGACGATTTCAATTACGCTTCGGAATCACCTGAAGAGAACGTAGCCTCCATACTCAAGGACGAGGCTTTCGTTTCTCGAAAACTGGATGAAGAAGTTTCGACTCCCTACGTGGAGTCGGAGCTCATTGACGGTGTGCTAAAAGTGAAGGAGGTCCGCAGATTCACCCCCTATACTGTCCGGGATGAAATACTGGATCTGTATGGAACATTTCAAAAGATCGTTGCGATGCAGGGAAAGATCAGCTCCGACCCCAAGATCAACATACCGTCATCACCCAAGCCTGTTCTGCAAGGATGGTCATTCGACAACGTTGCTCAAGGTCTCGACAGGCTCATGCCTCGCGCCCTCAACGTAGAATCGCATGCACAGGCCTGGATGTCACTGCGGGACATTTTGCTCACTCCGGTTCTGTTTGGGGGAGGATTCGGCGAGATTCTCCGGCCTGCCCGACCGACCCAGCTTTGCCCAGGTTGGACCGTAATGCCGGGAGGGTCCGACTACATGGCGGCATCCACTCATTCCTTGAGACAGATATTCCGAGATCACGGCGCCCACAGGGGTGGCCACGTTCAATTGGCCTTGGGACTTTCCTGGCACCAAAGCCAACTGCCTTTCGGAGCTTGCAGCTGTGCTGTGCAGAAAAGATCGCGACGATGTGATCGACTACAGGATCTTTACGACAGATCGGTCCTCAGCAAGGCTAAAAGCCCTTCTCGGGATATTTTCGACACCTTTCCGATGGCAGCATTCATCTTTGGCAGGACCTCGGGGTTGAAGAGATTCTTGCCATCAAAAGTATCGTTTGACAGCTCAGCAGGGGCAAACAGTGATAGTGCGGTTGGTGCCAGTTTGAGCAGCTCAGATCAGTCCGACGAGAGCCAAGTCCAACCTCAAGAGTTGGCTCCTGTGGCTGCATGAGACATAACATGTTGCAAGCATGAAGATGAAGATCAGCTTCGGCAAAATGAAGTGCAGTGTGGTGGGAAGAGAAGAAGAGAGGTGGTCGGCTTAACGTCTCTCGGCCCAGCCGGCCCGTCGGACCGATACATGACTAAGCTAGCGCCACCTCATCCAACAACAACATCACGACGTCAAGCTCTCTCGCCTCCCTGCCCTATTCTCCCAACCAAAGCTTGCCCGCCCGTCTTGCCCGGAGCAGCAATGCGAACATATCAGAAGCTTTCCGACTATCATGAGCTCCTTCACACCGGAACGCCTCCTTGGCTTGAGCACTTACAGAACCGACAGCAGCGATCATGAGCTCGGGTGAGCCCACCGTTCAGCCTAATGGGGCCAGTGGTGCATCGCCACCAGCTGGCAAGAAGCATATCCTGCTCAATGCCTTTGATATGTCCAGTACGCTGAAAGATGCTCCGTCAATGCGCTGTGACTGACAAGATGAAGCGATCGGCCATCTTTCTCCTGGACAATGGAAGGATCCATCTGACCGAAGCACAACCAAGCGCCGTCTTGACTACTGGATCGACTTAGCCAAGCTCCTTGAGAAGGGCGACATCAACGCTCTGTTCTTGGCTGACACCACAGGCCCCTACGATACTTATGGGCAAAGCGCGGATGAGTGTATTCGTCGAGCTGCACAATGGCCGATGACTGACCCCTCTATCCCGATATCTGCAATGGCTGCAGTAACGAAGAATTTGGCATTTGGTATTACCACATCGACCTCGTTTGAGAATCCATTCATCCTTGCGAAGCGGTTTTCGACGTTGGACCACCTGACCAACGGGCGAATTGCGTGGAACATTGTCACTTCCTACAAGAAGGGTGCATTCAAAGCAATTGGAATGGACACCCCCATCGAGCACGATGAACGCTACGCCCAGGCAGACGAGTACCTGCGGGCTCTTTATAAACTCTGGAACGGCAGCTGGAGTGACGACACTATCTTGGCGGATGCTGAGAAAGACGAATACTTCGACCCAACGAAGATACGAACAATCAACCACCGCGGCAAGTATTACTCTCTCGAGACAAGGCATATTGTAGATCCTTCTCCGCAAAGAACGCCCTTCCTGTTTCAGGCAGGCACTTCTTCCGCAGGTTCCGACTTTGCGTCGAAGCACGCCGAAGCAGTCTTCGTACAAGCCCACGTTCCCGAGATTCTGAGATCCAGAGTCGCAAACATCCGTGTTCTGGCCAAGGAGCAGGGACGAGATCCGCGATCAGTCAAGTTCTTTGCCACGCTTACCCCAATTCTTGGGAAGACAGATGAAGAAGCACAAGAGAAGTTGGAGCACATTAAAAAGAATGCATCGACGATCGGTGGACTAGTACTTTTCTCAGGCTGGACAGGCATCGACATCTCGAACATCCCGCTAGACAAGAAATTGACAGAGGAAGACTCCACCGAAGCCAACAAGGTCACCTCAATGATGAAGTCCGTGGTCGCTATTCCGGATCTGACCCCTAAGGTTGTCGCCGAGAAAGCTGCAATTGGAGGAATGTCTCCTTTAAGTGTAGGATCTCCCCAGACTGTTGCCGATGACATGGAGCGATGGATAAACGAGGGCGACATAGATGGCTTCAACATTGCCTACACAACGACGCCTGGTACGTTCGAAGATGTAGTTGAACTGCTTATTCCAGAACTTCGGCGCCGTGGTCTATATCCCGAAAAACTGGAAGAAGGTCTTACAGCACGCGAGAAAGTGTACGGTAAGGGTCAGGCGAGGCTCCGGGCTGATCATACTGGCAGCAGATACAACTACGATGTGTATCAGGAGGATCCGCCTTACGTGGCAGAGAGTGAGACAAACACGGGAGCACAAGTTGGGAACTAGACGATATCGTGAAGCACGACAATGCAGAGACTCACTTCGTAAGCGTTGAGTTCCAACGAGTCGGCATTGGGTTATGATTACAAGTGCCGTGAAGCCCCAAAATCCTTCTTACCGACATCCACGCCCACGGAACACGCGCAGACGACTACATATGTACGCATTCACTGAAGCTGTAGGGCCGACCAATTGTGATGAAGAGCACAGAAAAGCAACTCGACAGGGCCCACATTTCGACCCCGAATCCTACGACGCTCTCGCGTGCTGGACACCGCGCATCACGCGATGGCGCTAAGACCTGCCGGGCGGGTATCAAGATGGCTTGCCCTGCAATCGGATACCACGTTGCGCCTGCAGATGCCGCCGAACGTGAAGCGCACATGGAAATCTTCGCTTCGTCGCATGCTGACGGTGGATCGTTGGGACGGAATGCTGGGATGATCGAATCGCACCTCATTGCCCTTGTTGGATCCAAGAATTCGGCATATGTAGGTCGTCAGGCCTCGTCGTCTTGTTCTGTCTAGGCTTGTGGAATAAGACTTTGTCAAGATGGCTCTTGAACTCTTGACGCAGGCTGATGGCTATGGAGTTATTATTGGCTTGTCGGTTCTATTTTGTCTCATTATTCTTGGGGCTGTGAGGATTCAGAAATGGTATCTCTCAGAAGATTCCGATGCGTCAGAGATGGTATGTTCAATCATCTACTAGTTCGAGGTGTCACGAAGAGAGATCTGACATTGCTACAGTTCATGGTCGCCAACCGCTCAGTCGGCACCGGATTGACATGCTCTGCTGTCTTCTCCAGCTGGATGTGGATCAATGAAAGCGTCTTCTCTGCAGCATACACCTACAAATGGGGAGTTGCTCTACCTGTCTGGTGGGCTAGCGGTCTGTCGTTCCAGATTGCGCTCATGGCCGTCCTGGGCATTGTGGCGAAGCTGAGAGTTCCATACGCCCACACCTCGCTGGAGTTCATGAGAAGACGGTATGGCGGAGCCGTTCATGTCATCTTCATTGTCATGAACTTGGTCAACAACATTTTTGGCTGCGGTAGCATGATTTTAGCTGGCGCTCAGCTGGTGACTGGCATGACCGGCATGCATGTTGTTGCTGCAACTATTCTCATCCCTGCTGGAGGTAAGTGAAGCACAGCCTGACATGTATGACGGTACTGATGCGATGCAGTGGTACTCTATACGGCGGTGGGTGGCATCAAGGCTACGTTCCTTACGGATTTTTTCCATACCACGATAGCGTTGATTTTGTTGATCTACTTTGCCATCGCCGTCATCAGCAACGAGCATATCGGTGGTCCCGTGGGCTTGTACCAGAAAGTCAAAGCGGCAGATGACTACATTGAGGGAAACTACAAGGGTTCACTGCTGTCCTTCAAATCTGAGCCTGGTTCGTAAACATCTCCCTCTTGAGCATTGTGTTCTAACCCCTTTTAGCTATTCTGTTTGGCCTGGTACTGAAGCTGGGTAATCTTGCCCTTGTACTCATGGACACGGCATTCTGGCAGAAGTCGTTCGCTGCAGAAGTGAATGCCACGGTACCTGGTAAGATTCGCCATCTGCTTCGAGGTGATGTAAGCTAAAGTACAGAAGGTTACGACCTGGCGTCCATCGCTATCATCGCCGTCCCCTGGTGCACAGGCACTGTCATTGGACTGGCGGCGCGCGCCATCGAGAAGACTCCAGTGTGGATCAATTACCCAGAGACACTCACCCTGACACAAGTCAACTCTGGACTAGTCATGCCTTACGTTCTCAAATCACTTTTGGGAACGGGGGCGACAGGCGGCCTACTCGTGCTCATCTTCATGGCGATCACCAGCACCGTCTCCTCATCTATGATCGCCGTGAGCAGCATCATCTCCTTAGACTTCTACAGAACATACATCAACCCACGAGCATCCGATCGAACCACGCTCAAAGTCAGCCACTTCGGTGTCGTCTTCCACGGCTGCTTCATGGCAGGATTCGCGATCATGCTGCAATACGCCGGGGCTACGAACAACTGGTCTACCTACTTCCGACCTATCGTCGCAACCCCTGGCATCTTCCCCATGATCCTCGCGCTGCTCTGGTCTCGACAAACAAAGCTTGCGGCGATTCTGGCTCCTCTCCTAGGACTTTCTTGTGGACTGGCGGTCTGGCTTTCCCTATCGTGGTACTACGGCGGTACAATCAACATTAACACAACACAATTGCAGCTTCCTGGACTGTACGGCGCCATCACATCGTTCTTCTCTCCGCTGCTGTTCTCGGTCATCATCTCGTTGCTGAAACCGAGCCGCTTCGACTGGCGCGAATATCTCAAGATTGATCTCATCGAGGACAAGAGCGGTGCTAATAGCAGTAGCGCCAGTTCGACTGGGGTTGACCTCAATCCAGTTGATGTCACTGAGAAGAAAGCCCCTACCGAATCTCTCAATGCCACTGCCCCAGAGCAAGTCACTAGCAACAACGGACCATCGTCGAGTCTCGACAACGTCGTACATCCCTTCGACGAACAGACCCTCCGACACATCAAGTGGTGGGGCAAGTTCGCGGCGATATACTTCGTCGTCAACGTGCTGGTCACCATTGTGCTCTGGCCAATGCCTCTATACCGAGACTGGATCTTCACGCAGAGTTTCTTCGAGGGCTGGGTTGTCGTGGCGTTGATCTGGCAGTGGCTGACATTCTTCACGGTTGTAGCCTTCCCGATCTATGACGGACGCCATGCCATTTCGAAGGTCGTACGCGGTGTCCTCGCGGATCGACGATGGGCTAGAAAGAAGAATTAGAAAATACAGGTATAGATCAAACCAAAACATTGCATGAGTCTGAGTTTCCGATCACTCAAAACACAATGGTGGGCTTATTCAATCCCTATCTTGATATTGGCCACGCCACGATCTACACAGCTCAAGATGCAGGTATCCTTGTCTTCGACCGCCAGAGCGACTCCTTTCCTAATGACCTCGCCCGAGCAAAGACTGACCTTACATGTTCCGCAAGTCCCAGCCTCACACGAAGACATCACATCGAAGCCAGCATCTTGCAGGACGTGAAGGAGAGACCTGTCTGATGGCACATTCAATGTTGTCGATCTATCATCTTCTTCGACTTCTACTTCGAACGGATCGCCGAGATCACCTTCGGTTGATGATCCAAAGCTTTCGAAGTGAAGCAGGTGTCCGGGGCATTGAAGCTGTTTCGCTCGCTCCTCGCACGCGTTCATCAGTTTCGTCGGACCGCAGACGAAGAGTCTAGAATGGAACCGACCATCAGGACTGGCACCTGGAATGACATCTTCCACATTGAGACGTTCGTTCCGCGTTTTGGCATAAATCTTTGTACGATCCGCCGGCAATTCATTCAGGAACGCAGCTTCCTCGACGCTTCGCACGGCATAATGCACCTCAAAGGGGGTGTTATCCCTCTGCCACGTTTTGATGGCAGGCATGAAAGCAGTGACCCCGATACCGCCGATGATGACGATGTTCCGACGAATCTCTTCTTGAGAGCATAAAGTCTCGTGGCCTTCGTCATTCGGGTTGACCCCGGGAGACATTTGGATTTCATCACCGAGTTGAATTTCCTGGTGTAGATATCTTGAACCACCTCTTGAATGGTCGTCTAATGCGACGCCTAGGCAGAACTCGTAAAGGTCTCCAGAGACGATGGAGTAGGACCGCGAAAACTTGGCTTGTGGACCGAATTTCATCTGCGCAAAGGAGAAGGGTCGGAAGGTGGGATCACGGAGTTTCGTCTTCTTCTCCCCGTCGGTCTTCAGCCTGAAAGTCAGATGTTTGACTCGTTTCGTTTCTTGTCGTACGTTCACTAGACTGTATGTTCTCGAAGCCGCGGCCAGTCTCTTGAGCACTAGATCATGATGGTACGTCGATAGACTCTTTAGGTCTGCGAGCTGTTCAAGCAAGTCCGTGCTAACGGTCTTGCCATGTACGACCCGGTGAACGTTCTTTACCGACCATCTAGGATTCGGCCTGTTCACGAGCATCATACTATCACCGGCTTTGATATTTCCAGTCTTCAGCACTCGGAACTGCCAGCCCACACGGCCGTTGCGAAGCACCGTCTTGAGCATCCTGGTATTTTGGAATCGCATATTGACTTGTAACATGGCATGCGTGGCTCGCTGACTTCGAGCACTACTTTTGTGTCGACATCATCTCGTATGGAGTATACATCGCCGACGCAGACATTGTCTTCGTTCATCGTCCTCGTTGTCAAGTTCTCTCCAAAGGCGCCAACTTCGAACAGCCTCGCCCGCTCAGGCTGTTCCGCTCGCCAGGTCGGGTAGTGTTGTGAGGAGTATTGATGCACCGCCCGCTCAATGCCGCCATGGACTGGGGTGATGTGTTCATCGTTGACGAAGCCGGTCCGTGTAGCAGCGACGAGCCCTTGACGTTGCTGTTTGAAGATTGCAGATACTTCTTGGCCGAGAGGCTTTGGCTTTCCTGTGCGTATCTGTGAGAGGACCTCTGGTTCGGGCAGGGGAGCGACATTCAGCTCTTCGACGACTTGTTTCGACATGGGGATCATGTTGAGCTTGCTCTTCCTTCGAAGTTGTCGTGTGAGGATGTCGACGAGTCGGATGTACGTTTTCTGAAGAGCCCTATGTCGGTAGCATAGGACTATATCGAAGGTACATCAGTCTCGATCTGGTAAAGGGGCGGCGAGCAAGACTTGCCGTTTATCTCGAGGCGATCGGCGAAATACGACAGCCCTACGCCTTTGCCGAATGCTTGTGCCAGACCCAAACACCACCTTACCTCCGCAGCGATGCTCAATGGCTCCAAAGTCAGGCGCGGCTGCAGAAGTCTCAACCGTGCCGACCCGTAAACTTCGTATAGGCTTTACAATCGCATTGCATGGACTGACTAACTATGCCACCACTGAGTAAGACTCTCCATGGCAGGCCTAAACTACCTGTTTCACCTTGCCAGTTCCTACATCATACACCAAGCCACTGACAACGGTCCCCTTGTACAGTGCCTTGAGGCTTTTCAGCCATGCCACCTCCTCCCGGACGCTGACCTCTGGGTCAACGAAGGGCAGGAAGTCGAAGTCGGGAGGCACCGCGACGTCACCTTGGTTCTTGTTTATGGTCTCATGCGCTTCATCGTTCGTGAAAGTCGCTGTGCCACAGTCTGTGTGTTTGACCCGAATGACCTCCCTTGTGCGGAGCATGTGTTGCGAGATGAGGATTGAGCGTAGGGCGTCTTTGATGTTGCCTCCTGCGTTACGAATGACGTGGAATTGTCCTATGCCGATGCCGAAGACCTTTGCTGGATCGATTCGTGCGTCGTGACAAGTCACTATGCATGTTCATCAGTTTCCATAAAATGGCAAGTGGTCGATGCGATGTACCCAGACAACACAATCTCGATGGTAGCACTGAAAGATCGCCTCCTGCAAATTCCGCTGCATACTTCTCGTTATCGCGAATGAGTCTCTGAACGTTCTCGGTTGGCATAATGGATATATTTTGGGGAAGAGTGTTCGCTACCTTACCGCTCAATAACCAGCTGTATTATGTATATGCGCTAAGAGTGTCTAAAATCTCGACCGTAAGTTCAGGAGACCTTTTTTTGGCCTGATCCCGGTGGTTGCGCCCTTCGAGCGGACCGTTGATAGAGTTGCAAATCATCGACAGTGCTGAGTGTACCAACTTAGACCGCAATACCCGATCTTCATCCGTTTTCGTGCCATGTTGTGCCAACAACATCACGACCTGCCGTAGCCCCAGGGACCTCTGGTGATCCTACATCGCGCTTCTCAGAATGAATTGAATACAAAAGACCATGCCCTGACAGGGCGAAATAGAAATCGACCATGAAGACCCACGAACAACATAGGGTTTCGATAAGTTTGCATCGGCGTTAGGTTGTACTTCAGGGTCTTTGCTCGCTTCTCATATGCTCAAAAGGGTAAGTGCTTGATCCAAGCGGCCTTAATGCAAGACGGGCGGTCGAAGTGGTATGCCAAAGACCATAACTTGGAGATCTCCATGTCATGCGGTCGCCGTGCTCGATGAGACTTTACGTGCTTGTTTACGCTCTCGCTCTCGCTCTCACTGCTCGCTGGCCGGTTATGTGTATTGCAGGCGAGAAATGGGGCTAATCGAATCGACCTAGAGCAAAGATAAATTGAAAGAAGGTCGCAAGGTCGAACAACAGCACGAGGGTAGAGGTGAGGTCAGGTCTTCTGCCGAGGCGAGAGCGGAACGGAACCAGCTCCGTCCCCAGCGAAAGCCTCCTTCCCGACGACCGCATCGGCCGGCGATTCCCTCTCCACGCTTCGACAACAACTTCTCGAAAACCCTCTGGTCGCCCACAGTGTCTCGATCCGAGGGAAAGAGATGGAGCAAAGAGGAAAGCAGATTCAAGATGCGTGGAAGCGCAACATGTCAAGAAAGATGCCAGGAAAACGTGGAATACCACTACTCTCATTTATCATGACATTCGACACGACGCAGCATTCTACTTGCTCAGGGCAGAATCCCGAGATCGAGCCTGCTTGATATCGTCCTCCTTCATCTCTCGAAGATCGCCCGTGTTCGCGACACCGCCAGTCAACAGAGCGCCGCCAACCTCCTTGGCCATACCCAACGCGCCAGTCTTGCGCTTATAGTAGGTGATATCTAATCCACGTCAGCAAAGAACACCAAGCAGGGCCGTCGCACACATACACTTCGACTGCACCTCGATCAACTTCATACGAGGATCCTCTGGTCCGCCATCGTGCACACCATCCCCCACGTCACCGAACCACGCCGCGATGCCTTTCGAATAGACTTCCTTGATGCGAGGGTCGTCGTTGGAGAGGGTCACTGCCTCGCCGGTCACTGAGATCCAGTCGTGTTTGGAGGAGTCTTCGAAGCTGAGATTGACTTCCTTGTTGGCTTCGAGGTCCTTGAACTTTTGGCTGTTGGTGTTGGCGAGAAAGAGGAAGTCTGGGCCTGATCGCTTGGACACAGCCATGGATCGGGTTACTGGCTGGTGGGAATGTTAGCATTGGACGAATTTTGGTATGCAAGCGCAAGACATACGCCAACACCGTTACGGTATGTGCCAAACATGGAAATGGTCAAGCTGTCCACGAGCTCGTAGAACTCCTTGAACTTCGTCTCGGCCGAAGATTCATTGTCATACTGCTTGGAGACCGCTGGATCTCTGGAAGCATCGATGGAGGAGACTTTCTCGGGCATTCTGAGGATGGCTTGACAAGTAAAGGTACGTGTTGGTTTGAAAGCTGATGTTCTGACTGCACAAGAGGCGAAGCGTGTGGTCTTGAGAAAGGCACTCATTTGTGCTTTCTTGTATCAGGGCGGTCGCTACACGGCTATACGTGTTTGTTTGGCATGGTGACGCTTGCAGAGGTCATGGACCCTGACATGTGCGGAAAGTCATGATGCAAGAATTGCCTCCTTTACGGCTTGGCCGCGACACGTCTCTTTGACCCGAGAGCCTTTCAAGGAAACACTGTTCCACGAGCACTGTAATGGACGCGCTTGCTGTGGGGTACGGTCTTCCAGTTGGCTTTCAAGCCTGCTCTGCTTGATCGGGTTATGGGACATTCGGGCATTGCATTTACCGATCTTCATTCGAGTCGGACCTTTTTCCGCAAAAGATGAACACTTTGCTGCGTACCGGATTCACTACTTGTAGAAGGGGGATGGTGATTCGAGAAGACAGTGTTGAACCGCTCGATCAAGATAGTAGGTGCTAACAAGGCTGCTCGATCTTACACCAGCGGAAACATTGCATTTGACTATCGAGACATCCATTGCTAGATATTCCACAATGACATGTTACAAGCCTGTTGTCCCACCGATACCACCTCAATCCAAGCCAGCATCGCCGTCTCACGTGCAACATCTCAAACCCAGCCGTCGAAGTGAATGAAACTCCTCGATGCCTGAAGCTCAAACCGGTAGCGCCCGCCGTACCTTCCCAATCCAGCACCGCACGTCACCATATCTCAAACATCACTTTCGTTGCTCAAAACCACAAACACATGAAACCTCTCAACCCCATCACTCGTTCCAACCAACTCATTCGCCACTTCACCATGTCCACCTCCCAACAACTCCCCCGCATCGACAAAATCGGGCCCCTCAAACCCGAAGAAGCGAAATGGACCGAATTGCGCAAGATTGAGGTATCTCCAAAAAACCCCCCCAGACAGACCCACCTCCCACCTATCACTTCAAGCAGCTCATGACCCTCCTTTCAGTGGACAGACCAATCCGGCAAACCCCGCATCTGGGAATCCGCCGCGCGCAAAACGCGCAAAGAATCCGGCATCGACGCCGTCACCATCGCGCCCATCCTGCGGCACCCATCCAAACCGCCCTCGACGATGCTCGTGCTGCAGTACCGGCCCCCCGTGGAGGCCGTGTGTGTCGAGTTTCCTGCGGGACTGATCGATGCGGGGGAGACGCCGGAGCAGGCGGCGGTGCGGGAGTTGAGGGAGGAGACGGGGTATGTCGGGACGGTGAGTGGGAGTGAGGGAGTGATGGCGATGCAGCCTGGGCTGACGGGGAGGACGTGTAAGGTGCTTGATGTTAGTCCGACTGTTGTTGCGGATCCGGGGTTGACGAATGCGAATATGCAGGTATGTTTCTCCTATCCTGTCCTTGCCCTTTTACTCGATCCGGTTGGGGGTGTGTGCTGATTGTTGGAGGATGTAGATGGTCACGATCGAAGTCAACCTCAAAGAAGGCGAGGAGACGCCGGAGCAGCATCTCGACGAAGGGGAGCATATCGAGAGAGTCATCGTGCCTCTCAATGAGCTGTATCATAAGTTGCAAGGTACGTTTCTCGTTACCCCTTTTCCACCTCCTCCTCGCCGTTCTCTGCAGAAAGAAATACCAACCGTTCATTATCAGCGCTGTCGAAGGAAGAGGGCAAGATTGTCGATGCTAGGTAAGTAACCGCAACACTTTTGTGAAAAGTAGGGGGTTTCCAGCTGACGTTATGTAGGCTCTTCCACTGGGCTCTAGGCCTCCACTGGGCGGGTCGTCTCGATCTCAAGAGCTGATCGCTGATCATGCACAGACTTCGACAAGCAAGGCTATGTCACCGACATCTACGTCGCATTCGTGGCGTATGGGTGGCATTGGGGTGGGAAGTATACCCAGACTTCGGAAACGAGAGAATAGTCAGGGGGAGAGGCTTGCTGGTAGAGATGGTATTGACCTCAAAGGTAGAAGAGGTTTGCGGTACTGTCACAGCCCAAAAGCCGCTCCATGCATAGGCCTGCATGAATGTGTCTCATAATACATAAAAATGCAATGCCCACGGAACCCAACAATGTGTGGAACTGACCACCGCTGCGCTATGCAATGCTTCAATTCGTTTCCCCAAAAATGCAATTTCCCACATACACTTCCTCTCACACATCACTACTCCCACACAACAGCCTCCTCCACCCTCCACTCTTCCTCTTCGCCTTGCGATTTATACGGACCGTCCCGTTCGACGACGACGTAGGCGGAACTGCTCCATCGTCGACGACCTTAGCAGGCGTCGAACTCGCTGACGTATCCGTGGCCAGACTCTCGCGGTGCTCGGGCTTGTCGACTGAATCCCGTATACGCGGCTGTCGGCTAGGCGTCTCTGCGCCGGGGGCAGTCTCCTCGTCCTGAGCGAACGAAGGTCGAGCTACGGACTCCTTGCGTTGGTGAGTGTTCTCGCCGTTGGCTAAAGGTGAGGGCTTCTTCTTCGGGGTCGGGGTGGAATTGAATTCTCGAGAGAGGTCTTCGCGCGAGGTCTCTTGGAGTGGGTCCTGGCTGACTATGAGGTCGGGGCGCCATGTTGCTTGCTGGTTGTTTTTGCGGCGGTTGCTTGCTGCACGGTGGACGAGGACTGTCGCTGTCGAGTCGGCGCGGGTTCGACCTGTTCTGCTGACCACACTGGCTGACCGACTTGGAGCTGGCGACTCGATTGGCTCATCTTCTTCGCGCACAGAATAGGTACTACTTCTTGCGCTTCTGCTGAGTACGCTGGTTCTTCGAATGATGCCAGAGCTAAGGCTTTTCAAACTAGAACGCTTGTCCATGGGAATTTGTGCAGGCGATCCAGGCGGTGTGTTGACTGGGGTCGATCCGGTCTTTCCGGGGGAGGTACCAAAGATGGCGCCTTCCTTGTCCTTGTCTTCATACTTGAAGTTTGGGCTCCAACCTTCCTTGAATACCACCCAGATCGCAGTCATGGTGATGATCTCGCGTAGTTGGTCGTCCGTTTCGTGTTGCAGCTGCTCATCCTCGTCGTTCATGGCCTCTTCCAGGACGGTCGTCGTGGCTTTGGGCGTGCTCAGCGGGGTGACAGCAGCTCCATCAGGCATCTTGTAAGTATCGTTGACATCGAGGCCAGTACTAGATAAAGTCGCAATGATCGGATGTTTTCGGCTATTGGGCGAAATCGTGCTGAAGTTGAAGCGGCGCTTCCCGGCTTTCGTTGCGACCTTGCCATCTTTCGATTTCTTTGGCACCCACCTTACCGTCAGTCCCAAGCCGTGTTCGTCGGCAGTAAAGAATTCGTATCCGCCGTTGGGTGTCGGATATGCCTCCCAGACTTTGCCATTTGCCATGTGAATTTGCGCCTTGCCGCCCGCATTCTTCTCTTCATCTTTCTTGCCCTTGCAGATCAAGCCAACAACATCGCGCATCTCCTGCTCCACATCCGCCTCCTCTCGACTGTACTTCTCTGCTTTCAACACCACCAAATCATTGGTACATAGACTGTGCTTCGATTTGAACACCCTGGTAATCGCACGCTGTAACTTGACACTAAAGTTGATGGATGGAATGATTTCGAGCGACGGCCGGGGTCGGGCATTGGCGCTCAGTTTGTGGAATTGTAGTAACGATCGTGGTCGTCGATGAAGCTTTTGCAATGTCTTTGATTCTGTCGGCGGGTGGCATATGCTGAATTGCGTCTTTGGTCGCGCGGCTCTCTTCGCGCGCTTGAGGCCGTCAAAACTGCCCTCGCGTGACCCGTCTTCGCTGTTGCTCCGGGTATCTGGTTCGGCGAACATGATCGACCCGCTGCTTCTGCTTGGCGATGGTGGACCTCGACTGTGCTGGTTGATGTTCGGGACCGTGGCCAGACTCGGGTGCTTCAGCGCGGATTGGTTTTGACTGTGGGCGTCGGCGTTTGGTGCGAGCGCGGCATCGTCGTTATCTTTGCTGTTTGCGTCGTCGGGGCTGGCGAAGGGATTGAGCATGCTCATGAGGTTCGTCGGCAATGACGCTGTCCATCGCGCTAGACTGGGCTCTGCGGGCAGCGCGGTCGTCGCCGTCGCGGTTGCCATGCTGCATAGTCCAGAGGGGCGAAACAATGTGCACTCGACATGGAGGAGGAGAAGAAGAGGTGCGTCCGGTCGCGAGGCAGCGAGATTGAGACACACGAGGCCGGCGAGCGAAGGAGTTGTCTGACGTGAAGACAGCCAGACTGGATACGGGGGTTGGCTGCTGCTGCTGCGGGAGGTGGGCCGACTCTCGCCTGGTCAGCCTCTGCGTCGCAGATCCTTAGCCGCAGTGGGATGCCCAGCGGCGGATCGTCAGGGTTGCGCGTGGCTTGTCTCCCTAATCCATCCTGCCTGAGGCGCAGCGCAGGGTCAACAGAGGGAGGGGGCTGAAGGGGGAGAGAGGTCCAACCAAATGTTGGTAAAAGAGCAGCTGGAGGTGCCCGACTAATATCTCAGGACGGGCTGGCGGCGTCGTCAGATGTTTGCGGCCGGGGTCAGGCCATGCCAAAGCAATGCTTGTCCTGCCTGGTGCGTCCTTTGTACACGGAGACAACAAAGCTGCGACTTCCGGACAGCCTTCGTCGTCGCCAAGCCCAGCGACAACAGGTTCGCGCCAGCAACCGGCCATCCCTGCAGCACCACGCCCGCCCGTCATACATTTCGAGCGTGCATCCTCTCACGATTCCCATATCCTGCAAAGCGCGGCCGTCCGGAGTCGTCGGACCACCTGTCGTTCCGCTCACCAAGCACGCCCGATGACTACACACCGGTCCCGCCAACTGCCAATTACTACTGCGAAATCCCTGTGCAAGCCGAGCCTTCTCCTTCGCGTAGTTATCCGCGCAGCTATGAAAAGGTCGTGTTTAATGACCGAACGCCTTGATCACACGCGAGAGGAATGGAACCCTGGGTCAGCTTGCCAACGAACCCATCCGAATCCTGTCCAGCGCCTCGCATACCACCTTCATCATCAGCGCGCCGCGAAGGAATTGGTTGCGCTGCTGATGGACGATCCGTCCTCCAACACGCCACGTAAAGCTGTATGTAGCTAGAAGGTAGCTGGCATCTAGTAATCGCATCTCCGCGTACAAACCCAATGACTGGCGCTGAGTGAGCCCTGCGCAGTCTCTGTAGCGCTGGACAGAGGACAAAAAACAAATTCAGCCGGACCAGTCTCGTGCAACCTTCGCGCTGCACAGGCCGCGGGATCCGATTGCACAGCTTGTGCTGTCCAACAACAACAACACCTCCACGTCGCCGATGGAAGGATTATGCGATGTTCCCGAGAGCGAGCGAGGTGGGTGCCATCGCTGCCAAGACGGATGCATTGGCGATCGTGCATTGAAAGCATTGCTTCGTCGTGACAATTCCGACTTGGCTGATTCGTACATGATCACTATGAATCGCCACTCGTATCATACTGTATGCCCTCGTGTTTGTTCACACGATGTGCAATTCTTTCATCGTGTCGGCTAAATGTTGCGTCCGAATCGAGCTTAGCTTCTTTCTGAAGCCAACGTTTCCGACTACACCTCGCGACTGAGGCACCAGCATTTCTCCCATCATCACTCGGCCAAAACACTTCATCTGCGCCATTTTCATCGCGCGCCGTCGTGCGTACCACCGTCAACGTCCCAATGGCTCTCAATGGGGGATCCACACCCACCCAGGCAACATCAAGCCCCGTCTCTACGAATGCGAGCATCGGACGACTAATCCGCCTGTTCTGGGTCTGGAAAGCTCTGCTTCTCACTATAGCGGCCGTAAGCCCTGGTCCCGGCTACGACACATCAACTCAGATTCTCTTCGATCGCTACCCGTCTTATTCAGAGACTTGGCTGGCTGAGGCATCCAGGTGGCTTGCAGCTAAGCTGACGAAATGGGACGCCATATATTTCACCAACACAGCCGCGCGTGGCCTCGCGTTTGAGCAGGAGTGGGCATTTAGTCCGGTCTTCTCGAAAGTGGTCTCTTTTCTTGCGGGAGGTGCGTTTTGAATACATTCGACGTGAGGGTTCTGGATCGAGGCTAAGTATTACTTTCAGTGTTTCCTTACAGTGTTTGCGGCTCTCGAATAGTCTGCAACGCGTGGGCTGGCATTCTCATCTCGCACGTCTCGCATTTAGGCGCCGTTCTCGTCCTGTTCGCTCTCACCTATCAGCTCATACCCGCTAGCGATGACAAGAGGCGTCAAATCGCCTTTACAACAGCATGCCTTCATGTCATCTCACCCGGCGGTCTATTCTTGTCAGCATTCTACGGCGAGAGCGCTTTTGCCTTACTCAACTTCAGTGGTATGGCGATTTTTGCCCTGCCCACGTCGTCTCGGCTTGAGACCAGCTTCGATGTCTATAGGGGCGCAAAGATCATTGCGGGTGGTCTCGCATTTGGACTCGCATCTGTTGCGAGGAGCAATGGTATCTTCAGTGGCGTCTTTCTGGCCTGGGATGCCGTGGCTCAGCTTCCTATTCTACCACACATGCTCCAGCAAAGGCAGTGGAACAAGTTGTTTTGGCTCGCATCGACTCTTCTGAGTGGGTCGCTCATTCTGGTCTGCCAAGTCCTTTTACAAGGATGGGCGTATGCACAGTATTGCACGAAAGGCAACTGGCGGCCTTGGTGTGCCTGGCTGCCTCCAAGCATCTACACCTGGGTACAGCAGCACTACTGGGGTGTCGGCTTTCTACGCTACTGGACGCTTTCGAATGCACCGCTGTTCGCGCTGGCCGCTCCAATGGCTTTTGTTCTATTTGGAACGGGCATCGTTGCACTGGAGCGGACAAAGTTGATGGCAATGGTTCAAGATACCCTAGGTAAAGGCAAAGGCTCCGACAAGAAGGTACTAGTTGAGACTGCAGCGCAAACCCGCTTCGTTGGCTTCGTGTTCCGCTTTGCGCTTCCCCAGGTCATCTTGGCTACTCTGGCCCTCACCAGCTTCCACGTCCAGATCCTCAACCGCATCTCTTCTGGATACCCAGTCTGGTACATCGTCCTTGCCATAGCCATCCACGCGGACACATCAGGACTCTCGGCAAAGAAGTACGGCTTCTTTTTAGGCTGGCTGACGCAACATTCCACGTGGATCATTCGAGCAATGGTGATGTACGCCATAGTTCAAGGTGGTCTTTACGCGAGTTTCATGCCGCCAGCTTGAAGAATTGTTGTTGCCTGGAACACAGCGCCGCGGTTCTTCGGTTTATTCGGCCGTGTAACAGGCTGCTGATAAGCCTGAAACACTGCACTTTCAGACGACGCATGAATGATCTCTCGCTGCAGCAATAGAAGAGCTGAAACGGCAGCTTCAAATCAGCTCGAGTACGTGTCAAAGACGAATGGCAGTGGCTTAGCTCTTGGATACCTGAGCTCTCCACATTCGGCCATGAGAGCTCCAATGCACCTCCAGCAACCGAGAAGCCAGACTCAGGTTTTACTGCATTTTTCAGTGAGTACAGAAATATATTCAGATCGATCTGCCAGGAACGCGTACTTCAAAGCCACTCTCATTGGATTGAGTTTGGTATCATGCAGGAACAATGCCACTCTTGGACGGCTTCTCGGCACCACAGGCTGCTATAGACAAGAGTCACGTGGCTCGGTCGTCAAACATCTATACATTGTTTAAAGACAAGAAGAAGTGGTAGACGAAAATGTCGACAGCTTACAGTCTTCAATGGCCCATCAGCGCCAGCGTGTTACAAGAGCATGCGATCGATGCAGAACGCTCAAGGTGCGAAAAATATTCAAATCATCGCACAATGACTACTCACATTTCCCTACAGTCCAAATGCGATGGCGCACAACCAATCTACTCTCGCTGCAGAACATACGGATACCAATGCACATGGGATATGGGCGGTCGTCGCGGGTTCACCCATGACAATATCCAGCCGACGCCGGGCTACATGTCACCCCAGTCCTACATAGCTTCGCTTCGCCAAGCAATCCAAGCGTACGAGAAACTCGTACTTGATGTGCGTGCTGTCCTGGGAGAGATCGATCGAGCTCGGCTTGATGAACGTCTTCTGCACATCAGGGCGACTTTACCGGCAGATTTGATGGATGAGAGTCACCTGATGGGACGAGAGGTAGGTGATAGTCTACAAAACACATCTCCAAGCAGTCAAGACGTTGGATCTTCCGATCAAGTACAGTACGGTCACGGACAATCCTGGCCCCTGCGGGATTTGCGGACACATGAAAGATCCGGTACGTTCGAGCTCAAGCAGTCGTCCATTCGTACCAACCGAGACCTCGGCTTCCCCTTACATATAGCCACGGCAGGCATTGACAATCACACCGTAAAAACAGTTTCGGAATTCGAGCCCTTCATTACCTCGCAACCGCAAAACGTGCGGTCCGAAACTGCAGTCGATCATGTGCCTGCAAATTTCTCTTCGGTCTCGGCATCGTATGTTTCCGCGTCGACCGCCCCTTCGGACGCGGGATGGAGTCAGGCCCCGTTCGATGTCTCGCAAGAGCAATGGTCATTTGGAATGACTGATACGTCGATGAATTCATCGTTCTCGCAGTTTGAGATGCCCGAACTGGAGACGCAATACCCATGGCCACCGGATCTTCCATGGAACTTTGACGACCAGACGCAAGCTGACATGGCCTGTACGAATGTGTCTCAGAAGATTACTTATCGAAAGAACGCCATAACCCCTACATCTTTCATACAAGCCTCCGCCGAGAATATTCGAACAGCGTCTAGACTCCTCGAAGGAACCCGCTACAACGACCCCTGCACATCGACCAGGATCTTCACATGCTTATCCTTCTCGTTGATCAGCGCTAGATACCCATCATCGACCAACTTATCCATCTTGATCTTGCTCGTGATCATGCGATGCGGCTTCAGCTTCCCCGCCGCTAACGCATCAACAACACCTTGGAAGTCCTTCTTCTGGTAGCCCAGCACGGCTTTATATGAGGCCTCGCGGAAGACGAGCCAGTTGGGGTTGAACGGGACCTAGAAAGACCACATATCAGCCAAGAATCAAAGCATGAGGGTGTCACGAGCAGGGCATGTCTCTCACCTCCTTCTCCCAAATCGCCACATTCACCACCGTGCCTCTCGACCGCACAGTCTGACAAGCCGTCTCCAAACTCTTCGGCACGCCCGCACAATCAAACACGATATCCGGCCCATTCAAACCCCCACAAATCTCCAGGCACGTACTCGCCAAATCCACCTTGGACGGATCAAGAACATGATGTGCCCCAAACGCCTCCGCAAACTCCTGCCGCTTCCTCGCCACCTCCGCGCAAATCACCGTGTGCGCGCCCCTCCCGAGCAACACCTGCACAACAGCCAACCCGATCGGGCCCCCGCCTAGCACGAGACACTTCGGCTCTTTCAAGTCTGCAATAGGCGACGCATCAACCGCATGCCACGCGACCGCCAACGGCTCGACCAGCGCCCCGACATCCAACTCGACATTCTGAGGTAACGGGAAGACGGCCTCCTGCGGCACGACGACGGCTTCGCTCATACCGCCTCCCCCTCCGGAGAGGCCTACAAAACCGCCGTTCGGGCAGGCGTTTTCGGCGTTGACGCTGCAGGCACCGCAGCGGCCGCAGTAGATTGTGGGTTGGATGGCGACTTTGGTGCCGGGTTTCAGGGAGGTGTTGGAGACGTTGGGGCCGAGGCGTTTGATCGTGCCGCTGAATTCGTGGCCGATGGTTATGGGGATGGATTCTTTCGTGACGGGGTGTGGGGAGGTTGGGGAGAAACTGGAATATCGTTAGGATTGGATGTAGGTGGAATGCAACTGGGAGAGGAGGGTTGGTTTACTTGGGTCCGCCCATGTATTCGTGGAGGTCTGTGCCGCAGATTCCTACGTATGCGGGTTCGATGAGGACTTGGCCTTCGCCGCATTCGGGGATGGGGATGTCGTCTTTGATTTGGATGTCTTCTTTGCCGTAGTACCGTGCGGCTTTCATCTTGGCGGCTGGTGTCGTGTGGTGCTTGACTAAGTACGTGTTTCTCAAGAGCTACTAGAGGTCTGAATTTGTGGTGTATAACTTGCCTTATACACCAATGAGAAAGGCTATGAGTGGAAAACAGAAGAGTGTGCAAATGAAAATCGAACAACAGCAGCTCGTCACCTTACTTACACTGCCGTCACGCACCCGGTCACCCTAGCTTACAGCACTACCGGTTGTACCTTTGGCCCGAGACGTGGCATCAGAGACAGCTGCTCCTTTGATCGGCCGCGAGATAGATCACGGTAGGTGGTGGTGGCGGTTCTCACTCATCGCAACCCCGCCACGATTGCCGTTGCTGTCACGTGGAATGCGGGGTACACGTCGTGTGAGGAGCTGAGGGTCTTGGTCTTTGGAATGGCCCTCCGTCTTGCTATGCTAGCAAGGATGAAGACGTGGTTTGCTGGGAGGACTTGCCGGGAGGGGACTTGATCTTTTGTATCCCTTCGATTGTGTCCACCACGGTCACCAGCCATATCGCGCTAGTGATGTAGGAACGGAAGTAGCGAAGTCAATCCTCGCCGGTGACATGAACGGCTATTGGAGAATGTTGGTTTGGCGGTTCTTGTGTTCAGTCATGCTCAAAATTGAGTGTCCGGTGGCAGCTCCATCTCTGATCGTCTCCGCTTGGCTGTCGAGCTTCGCAGCATTTCAGGCGAATCCTCAGCTCGATGGCCCTTGCCGACGAAGTTCCTCGTCCAATTCCTGACCTTCTCCAGTTTCGTCGCGTTCGGTCCAGACAGCCCACCGACGTGATCCGAAAGAACAGTCAAGGAAGTGTTATTCCTCGTGATGCGTCGACTCAGGCTTTGACCATACACGTTGTTCCGGAACGCACTCAGTGCGATATGCGTGACCAGTATTACATCGCCAATCCGAAGATCACTAAGTTTTCCCCGTAGACTGTCTTTGGCGACGCTCTGGAATGGTCGCTGGCTATCGACTGGTGTGAGCCAGAAGCTGATGCTGAACCCAGCTCGCGTGTCGTCGCCCACGAGGACTTCTACGATATCCATTTCTGCACCAGAGCGACGCACACGTACTGTACGAGGTGCCTGAATCGATATTACGCCAGCCAGGATGTTGATCGTCATGGTCTGAGGGTGAATGGACTGCAGATGTCTGGCGTTTGGCACCCGTCTGAGGTCTGTGATCAGGCCATTAAAAGTGACGACCTGCTGGGAAGGCAGTTCTGTTGAAACAGAGGCTTCACTTCTCGTAAGTGAGTACTCAGTTGATGCTGTGGTGCTGAAAGACGTCGATGGCAACACAGTCGTCTCGTCGAGGAACGTGCCATCTGCATCTTCGATTTGGGAAGACTCGAGGTTTTGCAAGACGGCCAGAGAGTATTCCAAGAAATCTTCATGTTCTGAGTCGAGGCTATCATGGAACGACAGGAACTGGGCTCTCTCGCCCCTCGTCTTTGGATTGGTCGTCCCTTCGCCAGCCCGCTCGTGTTCCGGGATGTCCACCCCTCGCCATTTCGCCAGTGGATGCGACGCAGGTATTGTGCTGACCTGAGTCGTCTCGTCCTGTGTCACGGCATCGCCTAGAAATCTTCGGATGGGCGCAGTGAAGTATGGCGTGAGCTGTGAGTCGCCCCAGGTCAAAGAATTTGCTTCTGGAGCGCCTGTAAGGAAGACAATGCCGCCTTCCATGGTATCATTGCAGCTCCTCCTGGCGTCGAGGCTTTCGTCATAGTGTGCAGCCTCTCTCGATGCCTCGCATGTGAGTCCAATGAGATAGAAACGGTGTCTTGTTTTGGTCGCCTTGTTGTGAGCGGAAGAAGTGGGAGGTGCGGACGGGTACTGCCGTAAGGCATGCTTTATTTAGACTAGCGCAAACTCTATTCCTGTCCGTCTTTCCAGTCACCTTCTTCACAATGGCACAAGCTGCATCTTGTACTTGACATCCACCCCCAGAATACGAGAGGAATGAGCGTGCAGTCTAACCTGCTGAGGAACATTAATGAGGCCAATGACAAAGGCTTCACGAATATTACTCAGACCCATTAATGCAACTCATTCAAAATTAATTCAGCCCCTTTCTTCCCACTCCTCAGGGCTCCCTCAATATACCCACGCCATTCATCCGTCAACTCCGTACCAACGAAGAACAAACCATTGTTGCCCTTGCCAGTCGCTTCCACGATGCTCTCACCACCCATCACAGCAGGCGGTGCGACAGCAAAAGGACATCCCCAGCCCGCCCAGGGGTCATCCAGCCATTCCGACGTCATTGAGCCCAAGAACTCGTCTGCAACCTCTTCGAAGCTCACACCAAGCAATGACGAGATTTGCCTCAGGATCGCTTCTTTACGATCTTGCTCACCCAATGTCAACCACTGTCTTCCAGGCCCAGAACAGAGGAAGCACGTCAAAGCGTAGTTCTCATCTTGGTCAACCGATGTGTCACGGCAGTGGTTCATGGGACCTTGAAAGCTCTGAGTGAGGCCGCACGCACCTTTGCGTCGCCAGAATGGTGTTTTGAAGGTGCAGATGTATTTGACGAAGCAGCCGTAGCGGACGCTCGAAGTGTAGTGTTGCAGGGTGTCGGGAAAAGGTGGATTGAACGCGATGTTCTTGTAGGCTTGCGAGGGTACGCTGACCACAACTTTCCGACCGGTGAAGCTTGTGCCATCTGCGATGGTGACAACGTGCCCTCCCTGGCCGGGAAGTTGTGTTATCGAGGTCACAGGGCTGGATAGCTTGACTGTCTCGGCGGGTAGCAGCTTAGCCATGTGGATACCAACCGACTGAGTCCCCTCTCTCAGGCGGAGGTTTTGCGCGCCGTCCTTGCCATCGTATCGTAATTTGACCAGCCCTGAAGCTCCGCGACACACCTCAAGATACGCAAGAGCAGAAACATCGCCGGGGTCCTGGCCAGTGGTGCCTCGACACCAGACTCTTGCCGTTTGTAGCGCCTTGGAACCAGCACCTGCATCCCGGCAAAATTGCTCGAATGAAATGTCATCAAGTTGAGCACGGCGTTCTTGTTCGAATGTCTTTGGATCGAGTGATGCTGCTTCGACATGATCGCGGAGAGCAGTGATGTTGTCGACCACTTCTTTCTCAAACTTCATTGCCATCAGCGGCTGGGCAAGTGGTATTAGCATATGGCCGGCGAACATACCTCAGGCATTCCACCAAACGGAAAAAGGTGACAACCTCCTTCGTCATCTTCGCTGGCAACAAGACCTTCAATGTTCTGCACCACCGGAGTGAGACCAAACTTCTGACAATAGCTCCAGATCATAGACTGAGAGCTATCATTCAGCCAAGCCGCTCCCATCTCCTGGACCCCTTTGCCATCTGAACGCTGCACTGAATACGTCTTGCCTCCTACACGGTCTCGTGCTTCGAGAACAATCACTGAGCGGCCTGCTTCGTGGAGAGACAGTGCCGCTTGTAGGCCGCTTAGGCCGGCGCCGACGATGATAACATCTGCTGCGGAAGCCATTGGAAACTCATATAGCGGTCACTGCAGGTCGAGACAGTTTGAAACCAGAGTAAGTGTGTCAGAGGGCCTGCGACCTAACTTGTACCGTGTCTTCTCTCGTCAATATCAGGAACAGGAATGTCGTTCCGAAAGGATGAGTAATGATGCAAGTGATCCACAGGGTAGCTGTCTTCGGATAATCATATATTAGTTCCAATGCTATCGAAGCGCATGAAGAGCACTGATTGCCGGCGGCCAATGTCGCGCAGATTTTTTGGCCGCTTTCCCGTCCTCTGCTCCCAGGATTCCTTCTCAGCTGATACTGAGCACCAATTCTTGCATCCTGGTGTTGCTTACAGCTTTTCAATTGTTTTGCACTGGTCGGACTGAGAGTCTTCCAGATGAGCTAGTGAGCTCTCAGGAGTACTTGCTGTTCGATTGATCAACAATGACCTTTCACCTACAGTCTCTCAAGGTACTCCTGTACTGAGCGCGAAGGAGAGTGGCCATGGGACCCGTGCCGCCCTCTTCATCAAGGGCGAAGATCCGCCTTCTCAGTCTTCTCTTCGTTGCTTTGCTCTGCTACAAGATGTGTTTCATGCGTCAAGATGCAGTGAATCCAGTGGAAACTGACTAGAGTAAAGCCTTCCATATGTGCCTTTTCACAAGCATTCCAGGTTGAGAGCGGTCAACGTGTGGTCTTCGCGCGAGCACAGTCGAAAGTACATGGAGTCATGATTGGGACAAGGATTCGCGCTCGTCTGGAAGGAACGACCATGGTGAGCTGTAAAAGAGGATATGTGAGGTGAAGGAAGGAGTGATCGGTGTTCGACATCCGAGAGCAGGCAATCGCCTTCACGGGCTCGGCCGAAGACTCCAATATCCCCGAGCACGCGACAGTGATAAAATGCACAGCTGCTCATGCTGACCATTGCCTCTGCCAAAGCACTCGAACGCCGAATTGCGCTGATTCATTGCGGCATTCACTCGCTGGTCCACCCTTGGCCGCCCACCTGCTCCGCCGTCAATTGACCCTTCACGACTGGCCGTAGGAACATCGGCTATTGCGAGACGGAGTTACGAGCAGCGGCCCAGTTCCGCCCCCCCGGCTTATCAGATCGCCGCGCCCCCATATTCCAACATGGGCAAGGCAAAGACTATGTTTCGCTCCCTGGTCGAGCGCGTGTCTGGCCCTACCGCGCCAGATGCTCTCAAGCCGCGAGGAGATGGATTCAGCACAGCCAAAGGCTACGAGGCCTTGTTCCCGCCCACGAGACCGGACGTAGACGGCGATGACTGCTTGCACGACTGCGCGAGCTGCTCAATATCCTACCCCAAGAAGTTCAAGATCGATGACGAGGACCACCTATACGGCGCCATCAATGGCTGGAGCCGACATCTGATTGTTGCGACTGGCAAGACAGACTGGGTGCGGAGTGTCGAAGATGAGAAGGACAGTGTTATGGAGGCTGTTGGGAAGCATGGTGGTGATGTTGAAGGAGGGAAGCTGATGCTCAGTGCGAGCAATATTCCGCTACCAGAAGATCTGAAGGGGCAGCACGATAGTCCATATGGACCGGATCGACCGACTACAGTTCTGCTCATGCCGAGTTTTACATACGTCGACCACGTCACGCCCAAACATGTGCCTGACCTGATCAAAAGCGTCATCAACACCGCTCCAACCAACACCACGCCTTTGCCCTCCGATACCTTAGATTCGAACGGCTCTCTCACGAATGGCTCAACTGCGCCTCATATACCGCTGCCAACCCCTCCACAAAACCTCCCAGCAGGCCTCTCGTTACGGAGTTGCCCTCACAAATACATCATCCTGCTCTGCTCACAAGCGACCCGCGACGCTCGCTGTGGGCAGTCGGCACCTCTTCTTCGCAAAGAACTCGAACGTCAACTGCGACCGCTGGGCCTCTACCGCGACCTTGACGATGAGCGGCCAGGAGGTGTAGGAATATACTTCATATCTCACGTCGGCGGTCACAAATACAGCGCCAACATGATGGTCTATCGAAAGTCTGAGCCAAGAAGGACGGTGCAGGAGCAGATGGAGAATGGCGGTGGAGATCAGCAAGAGATGAATGGGGTGGGAGGAAAGGGAGGAGAAGACGGCGAGGCAGCACAATGCATCTGGCTGGCGAGAATACGACCCGAAGACATTGAGAATGTGGTGAGGTATACTGTGCTTCAGGGCAAGGTTGTGAAGCCTGATCGGCAGCTGCGAGGAGGCTTTGACAGAGAGAAAGGAATCGTGAGTTGGTAATGAGGGCTGACCGGCGTGCTCGGCCAGTATAGTACGCCACACCAACAAGATCGTCTGAGACTGGGTGTATTCGAGCAATGCTCGACTCGCATACGAAGGCATCTAGATGGTTGCCGGTATTAGCATGATTGCTGATAGGATATAGAACATAGAGCATATACCCAAACGGAGTTGAGCCCAGATCGTCGGATATCCGAATTCGGTCAACGATCAGGCCAATGCGACATCAGAGCAAAATGTTCACTCAACTCCCAGATCCTCGGACCTCTTTTCACGCTCAACATTGAGCACTGCTGACACCGCCGCTAGAAGTAGAGACGGCAGTCCTTCGAATGAGAAGTTTAGCTCGACAGCAGCTGCCACATGCGGCTAAGACGCGTTCGCAGCCGCGCTCTGCCCGATATACCCGCAGCATTAATAACGTGAACAGCCTTTACAAATGGGCGACTCTGGCCGATGTCTGGACAATATAACGCCACCTGGGCCAATGCCATCGTTGGCAAAAGGATCTGCCGGGCTCGATATGAACTGGATGACAGGTCGCTCAGCCACCGTCGTTGCAAGCTAGCTTGAGGATGAGTGTACGAAGGGCGTGTGAGCCATGCAGGGCCTTGAAGGCAAAGGTTAGTGACACACAACACCAACTCTCGTGAACATCACTGACCACGAGTGACCAGTGTGACCTAGGCCAGCCGCAATGTGCACGATGCATCAAACGCAAAGTCGAATGCTCCTACGCAGGAGGCCTACGAGAACGAGAATTCGTCTTCCGAGACCACAACGAGTTCGCCCAGAGGAAATCGGAAATCGCCAGAGGGACTCGCAAGGCTTCCAGTCGCAGCCCTCCAAAGCCTGGACCGGCCCCAGAGGACAATACCCCGTCGTCAGATGAGTACCCTTGGCTCAACGAACTCGCCCGCTCTGAGATACCGCCGTCTCTTTATAACAGCCTGGAGCAGCGAGCTATCGATCGATTTTTTCTCGACTGGGTGCTGTATCCATGTAATCGAGGCTCTTCGCCAGGCTATATGAAGGAGCTGCCGAGACTGTATGAGAGTGCAGATGAGGACTGCGTCTTGCGACGTGCAGTTGAGGCCATGGCGTTTGCAGCGCAGAAGGACCGGAAGGGGAGTGATGGTGTCATCTTCTCGACCAAAGCGCAGAACCAGTATGGAGCTGCCTTGGCTAGGATGCAGACCAAGATCACGTCTGGCGAAGGCGGGTTCGCTGACGATGGGACGCTCGCGGGGCTGTTGCTGATTGAGAATTTTGAGGTGAGTCCGACTTTACTCCTGATCTTCTTCGTCGACTTACGTTCCTAGATGATGTATCTCGCTCGCAGCGGCTATGTCACTGCACATCGCAGCGCCGTGAAGCACTTCATCTCCAACAGAGGTACAGAGCCTCTCCACTTGAGGGAAAGCTACGGCATCTGGCGAACGGCACACCACCGCCTGCAAGCATACCAAATCCTGATCAGAGAGTCACCCGAAGCTCAACAAATCGCATGGGTCGAACGTCTGCAAATCGAGCGTCCAGACCTAAGAATCTCCTCCGACATAATGCGCATGAACATGCTCTGCGCCCAAGCCCGCACAACATCAGCCCAAGACGACCCCAACACCAAAGACCAACTAATCCAGTCGATCTCCGACCTCCTCTCCAACATCGACGACTGGACCAGCAAAATCAACGGCATCTGGCGCCCCAAACGCACCTCCATCTACGACACTCTCGCGCAGGAATTCCAAACGCTCCACCTCGCCGACATCCTCGACCCTACCTCCGCCCATCAAACCCCAACCACCGGCCAAGACGTCTGGCTGACCTACATGTGGAACTTCCACTTCGCCTCGCAAATCGCCCTCCGCGAATCCCTCATGGAACTCCTCGCCGACAGCGCCCGCACGCAGGACGCCGCGCGCATCGAGTTCGAGCGCCAGGTCATCCGCGTGCTCTCCGGGAATATCATTGCGAGTTTCCCGTTTTTGCTGGCGTATAGCGGGGACAGCGATGCGTACGTACAGATGCAGGGCAAGTCGGTGGCGAGGTTCTTTGTCGTGTTGTCGATTTGGAATTTGCAGAATTCGAAGTGGACGCCGGGGGAGTATAAGAATGTTGCGAGGGAGGTGAGCGAGTTTGTCACTGAGGGGCAGAGGCTTGTTTGAGTTGTTTCTGTTCGAGCATTTCGAGGACGTTTAGGAGTATTTTGGGCAGTGTAGCATTTTGGTGGAGTTCGGCAAATGGAATGAGCATCGAAAGTGTCCAATGCTCGAGTCTTGAAGTGTACACTCGCGGTTGGTCATGATCTGTGAGGCTGCGATGTTGACTCGAATAGGAAGGCGTCCAGGTGGGTACCCTACCTTGCTGCAATGCAAGAGCTTGTAAGTGCTCTTAATCAGCGGAGTCCGGCATATCTAAGCTAAAAAGACTGACCAGTGATGCTCGATGACGCTGGAGCTCGAGAAGAAGATGAGTTCAAGAACATTGAAAGTCTTCACTCACTCCTTCCGAGCTCGACGACCACGAGCCTCAACAAGAACAAGAACAAGATGTCCGCCCCTTCAGAATCAGTCATCTACGTCCTCGACTTCAACGTCGGCAACGAGACCGACGACCCGAACAACCCGTGGACATCCGGAAGAATCGCCGTCGGGACTCCAAGCAGCAACACCCTCAAAACGCTCAAATCCCACGAGCTGCGCCCCGATGGCATCGAAGTGCTCCTCCACGAAGGCCAAAACGACGGCCGGATTTTCTGGACGCAGATGGGAGGTCCGGAGAAGAATGACGGTACTGTTCAATCCTCGGCTCTGGACGGCGATGATGTGAAGGATATCTTTTCCAGGGGAGAAATTCACACGCCGAAGCAGCTTGCTATCGATGAGAAGAATGGGAAGCTGTATGTGTGTGATCGGGAGGGGTTGAGGGTGCACCGATCGAATTTAGATGGCACTCAAAAAGAAGTCTTGATCCAAACCGGCACCTGGACGAACGACGAGCACGTCTCCGACGCCGCGAGATGGTGCGTAGGGATCTGCGTCGACGCCGAGAACGGCCTGTTCTACTGGACGCAAAAAGGCCCCTCCAAAGGCGGCAAAGGCAAGATCCTCCGAGCAAACATCAAAACCCCAAAGGGCGCCACGGCATCCACGCGGAACGATATTGAAGTCCTCTTCGAGGACCTCCCAGAACCCATCGACCTCCAACTCTCCGTCTCCACGCAACAGCTCTACTGGACCGACCGCGGCGACTTCTCCAAAGGCAACAAGCTCAACCGGGCGAGCGTCGCGGGGAGTCTCGGCAGGATCCAGGAGAGGGGGTATGAGATTCTGGCGAGGCATTTGCACGAGGCGATTGGGTTGCAGGTGGACGAGAAGAATCGGCATGTGTATGTGAGTGATTTGGGAGGGGATGTGTATCGGTATGATCTCGATGGGAAGGGCGTGGAGAAGTTTTTCGAAGGACAGGGGGTTTTTACGGGGATCGCGGTGGCGGATTTGGGGCGGGAGGAGAGGGCGAGGCTGTATGGGCTTTGAATGGAAGGATTGTGACATATGCACACTTGATGCAAATATACAGCTTACGTATATCAACAGTGATGACTCCATTGCGGCAGGATCAATCCTCCTGCGCAATACGCCAGAATTTCTCGATCTCGTGCCCTCGCCAAATGCATGACATAACAAAGCGGTTTTGTAACCGAGTTGGGCTGACCGTGCGACTACTCTACTCGGCTTTCCTAAGACGGCGCATGCCTCATCGTGTCAAGACGGCCAAAAGAGTGCGGCGAAGTGGGGGATGATGTCAACTGAAAGAGCTGAAAAGGACGTGGAAGCTACATTCAGCTCGTGGCAGACGAAGTTTCGACAACGTACGTACTCGCCTCTAGCACGATGGCAGCGGCTCAGGAGAATGGGACTACCGGTCTCTCAGTGATCATCGTCGGTGGCGGCATCGCAGGTAAGTACTCTCACCCCAATCGAACCACCAACACAAACCGACTTCTCCGAACAGGCCTCGCCGCCGCCACCAGCCTCGCCCAAAAAGGCCACCACCCAACCATCCTCGAAAGCGCGCCGTCCCTCAACGAATTCGGCGCCAGCATCGGCATCCTCGCCAACGGCGTCCGGCCGCTCAAAGCCTGGGGTCTCGGTCCCGCCTTCGAGAAAGTCGTCACCAAGAACCGGTATCTGGAGTTTAGATCTGCCTACACGAACGAGATGCTCGGCCGGAATCCGCACAACGAGAAGGGCTTCTCCGTCGTCGGGTACGGGGAGGAGATTTGGAATATTAACCGTGTGGATTATCAGCAGGTTCTGGCTGAAGCGGCGGGTGGGAGTGGAGCGAAGATTGTGTTTGATGCGAAGGTGCGGCAGGTGGATGTCGAGGGGTGTATGGTGAAATACGCAGATGGGAGGGAGTTCCACGGGGACGTGATCATCGGCGCGGATGGGAATTCCTCCATCGTGAGGGCGTCCATCCCAGCGACTGCACACGTCAAGCCCCAAGCGTGGGAGGAGCAGTGTTTCCGGTGTACGGTGCCGAAGGAGAAGATGCGCGGGAACCCTCAACTAGAGTGGTTACTCGACGTCGGGAACGAATTCGTCTGGACCGGCGAGGGGAAGTACATCCTCACCTGGCCCTTACCCGACCACCGGCCCTACGATGTTGTCTGCGCGATCCAAGGCCCCAGCGACGTCCCCGCCGGCCGCTGGGGCATGCGCGCCGACCCCGAGGAAGCCCGCGCGGGCTTCGAAGACTTCTGTCCTCAGATGAAGGCGTTGCTCGCGCATATCGAGACGGCGGTGAAGTGGACGCTCTGCGACCTCCCGCCGCTGGAGACTTGTCGGAGCCAGAATGGCCGTGTCGTTTTGATCGGCGATGCTTTCCACGCTATGATTCCGCACTCTGCCAGTGGCGGGAATAGTGCCATCGAAGACGCGGCGTGTATAGCTGAGTGTCTCGACTGGGCGTACAGGAATGATAAACCCATCTCTCGAGCGACGCAGGCTTTCGAGACGCTGCGCAAGCCCCGGGTCGAGAGAATGCAGCAGGCGAGTCGGGAGGGGTATGATTTCTTGGGGGCGAAGGGGGATTTCCTACCTATCCGTGACCAGGCGCTGAAGGAGGCTACGAAGCAGTTCGATGCAGCGTTAGCTGTGCCCGAGGAAGAGAGGAGGTCGTGGCGGAAGCCGGAGCCGGATATGAATGAGAGGTTCCCGTTGCCCGGGTACTTGCAGTGGCTGTATGAGTACGATGCTATTGGAGTAGCGAGGGAGTATCTGGCGACACTGGCTTAAAGGTCGTGCTGCTAGAGAAATGCAACGCAGTGTCGAAGGAGATGTTGATGTCTCGCAAGTAGACATATGTGGTGGTAGATCTAGATTCTGCTTATTGCCTGCATTTTCTCGACAGTGTCGACAAGGCACTTCTCAAGATGTCACTTCAGCCTTGGATATTCACGCAGGGTCCTTCCACTGCGGCGATAGCTCCAACGGCTGGGAATCGATTGGTTCGGACGAAATTCGGAACAACGGCTTGGCATATGAGTGAATGAGTGAATGAGTGAATGCACTCACATGCCCCTCCAAACCCCCGCAAAGGAAATGTCAGAATACCTCCAGAATGGAAAAGACCATGATGCCTTAGAATCATGCAAAAAGGCCCTGGAAGCTCATAACTTTCGAGGGGTAGTCCCTCTCGAAAAAGGTTCCCCATTACATCCAGACTCCTTGTTGAAACTCCGACAAGGCCAACCCTGCTCGAACCGCCCACAGCCACGGCGCCCGGTGATATCATGGCACTGGCACTTTTCCCCCCAACAACAAGGGTCGATAGATGTTACTCGTGATGAGACGCTTCATCAATCACTTGTTTCTTGCTCCCCGATCGATTAGGGCTTCATGAGACATCCAAGCAGCGGAACCAGTTTTTCCAACGAGGGCTTCGGACTGTCCGCGACGTTGCATTGGTCTGGAATTAGGATATACCGGTCGCAGGTATAGGTGGGAGACCCTTGCTCGAGTCACGAACCCTTGAAACATCGCATGGGAGCTTGGGCGGATGACGATGCCAAGGAGTTGGTGAGGTGGGATGATGAGATCCATGAACAGAGAGCATGTGAAAGGCACTGCTCAGAAATCGAGGACAAGCCATCAAGCAATCGCAACGAAATGAGAAGAATGCACAATCATTGACCAGTCCAAGAGATTCTCATTTCAACCTCATGATCTGATCTATTCTACTCTTCTTTCTTCCCTCTCACACCTCTCCATCTGTCGTCTTCAACATCAAGTGAAAAGAAGAGTAAAGCTTCCAGCACTTGGAAGCCCCATTCTTCCGTGTGAACTTCAGAAGCGCCCGCCTGCCAATCACCAAAAATGCATGCACTCAAAGTGGTATAATGCTGTGCCACCCTTTTCCCTCAAATCACACAATCCAGAAACATAAAAAGGAAAACGACAGGATCGAAAAAAGCCCAGAAGGATCCAGTCCGAACCGAGCTGTTTTTGAACGTCTTTCGCCATGCCATGCAATCCAAGAAAAAACAGTAGTGGGTAAAGTAATAGTGTCCTCAATCATCGTCATGAACTTCATCGTCGTCGCCCGTTCCAAGTACCCGAAATGGAAAGAGTCTGACCTGGTGGTTGCTCTTCCTTCTTTTGGTGTGGTGGCCCAGTAAAGACAGTATTAGGTGTATTGTATTGGTGTGCATCGAAAGTTGAAAGCATCAAAGCGTGAAAACTTTTAGTAGCCGGTTACAGCGATTTGCGGTGGCTGAGGTCGGCTGAGGGTGGTGGGCAGGAAGCGGGAGAAGATGTTGGTCTTCTGCTTCTTGGCGGGTTGCTGGTCGGTGTGCTCGAGCGGCAGAGCGTGAGCGTGGGGAAGGATGGGCATCGACGCCTTGTGTTGGATGTGGACAAGCGAAGGTGCCGTCTGGCCGTCGGATTGCTGGATGTGAACAGCAGGCTCTTCGTAGATGTGTTCGGTGTAGGACGAGTTGAGACTGGCCGGCGAGGACGACGAGGTGTAAGACTCATTCGAAGATTGAGAGGCGGCAGATCGGCTTCGGGTTGGGGGTGAGAGCGAAGGTGTTCTCGATGGAGCTCGCGATGAAGAGTTGGACGACGGTGCGTAGCACATCTGCTGCTGGTAGGTGTATGGACCCATCGATCGAGGCGATTCGTAGTACCGCGGGGCTTCCATTGCGGCACGACGCTGCTGCTGTGCAGCCAAAGCCATCTGTCGCTGCTGGAGGGCAGCCATCTCATCTCTCATCTTCTGCTTCTCCGCTTGGCGATGTTGCCAGGTTCGGATTGGTGCAAGGAATGGGTCGAGGTGGTAGTAGAGATCGTCTTCAGTGACACGCAGCTCCCAGTCCAGTAGGCTCAGGAGCTGCTTCTCCATGAGGTTGACTTCGGTGAGGCTGAAGCCGAAGTTGTCGAAACCACGAACAGCGGTATACCTCGCCCAGTGCTTGTTCTTTGGCGATGAGTCGTTCAGGTTCTTTGCAGCAAGAATGAGGGAAGCCAAAAAGATACGATGAGCGGTGCACTTCATGCCCTTGGCGACTGGAGGCAGACGAGCTTGGAGCCTGCCAAGGTAGACCAGAGACGTCATCAACGTAGGCACCTGCACATGCGATCGCTCGACGAGAGTAGCGATGAAGAGCTCCAGTGAGGGTAGCTGAGGCTCGAAGTATGAGCTGGACTGGTGCTGAGGTGGAGTCGTAGGTGGCGTTGGTGGAAGGCTCTTGTTGAGAGAATTCGCTGGTTGGCCTTCGCATCGGATAACTTGAGCGGCCTTGGCTGCCAAGTAGTTGATCATGTCTTGCGAGACTGGGAGGTAGATGAAGTGATCGAGGGCAGCAGCATTCTGCGCGGGAGTTGGAGGTGAGTAGGCCATGTCGTTGGTGGTATGGTTGGTGGTCGTCGATGATATGGTGGATGAACAGGTCCAAGAAGAAGCGACGTGATTGCACGAGATGCGGTGGAACCGACGAGATCGTTCTCTGATAAATAGCAGAAGATGTTGGTACTATTGATCGAATCGACAATAGTAGGTCCTCGTGAGGATGTGAATTGACCACAATAGGCAATTCGACAATACCAAGGTCAGTGCGGCGGCCGTGAGTGAATTCGGCGGCTCGACAATAGGAATTAGAAGTGCAACACTGCGCCTGGCAAATGCTGGAAGGACCTTGTATTATGAAACGCGATCGCGGGTGGTGCTAAATGGCCGGGCTATAGGGGCGAAATGACGGTGTGTGGTCGTGGTTGGCGTGCCGGGGTATAGCCTTTGGGTTTTGGCGGGAGAACAGCGAAGCTTCTTGCAAAGATTGACAGATTAACTCGGAGACTTTCCGGCCAGCGGACAAGTGCTTTTCGGCGACGGCGTGGAGGTTGACGGACAAAGAGTAGTACTGCGCCTGGGCGAGGGTGGTCGTGGTGGTGGTGGCAGCACAGGCGGAGCGGGCGAGAGGCTGTACCTGGCGGGCGTGGTTAGGTGCAGGCGGTGGCTGTTTCCTGCAGCGAGAGAGTGGTGGGAGATGCGAAGGATAGACATGCTGGGAGGGAGTGATATAAGGGTGAGTTCGACGCGTGGGAGGCAAGGCAGATTCGCATCGAGGCACCACGCCCAAGGGACCGCCGCCATCCACCACCACCATTCTGTTGCAGCTGCAGGAGGTCGCTGGCTTGGAGGTGCGTTTGGGTATGGGGAGGTGGAGCCCGCCTCGCGCCGCCCCATTGGCTGGCGCAGGCTGCGCTTGCTGCCGGCCGTTTTTAGCCCCGCCTTAAACGGGCAGACTGACAGGTTCCAAGCGCTGTTTCAGAAGATTGCGTGCAGACGCGCCAGCGCCGACGTTTGAAGCCTTCCTCCTCCCTCGTCGCCAGCAGCAAATAGACGCCCATCGCGGGCTTGTCAGCGACACGCGGGCGGCGGATAGCCTTTGCTGTTGGAAGTAGATGCGTGCGTCGCGACACGCTCTCACGGCGTGTCCTCTGCTGCAAGGTCGTCTGGCACAAAGAACGCTCGCAACGCCAGGAGCGCTGCCAGACGATCCTCAAGATCGCCACGCTCGCTTTCTGGGCTCTGTCCCACCCCCCATCAGCTCCCAATCCGGTCCATCTATCTGGGGGCTTGCTGCAATGCACCGCAGATGACTCGATAGTCTTCATCCCACTCGCACTCTATTGCATCGTAGGGCCCTGTGGCGCCGGGAGCGCCCTTCTGAAATCTCGCGTATCAAATTGAGCGTTCGGCGTCAGCTGTAGTGCACCGCATCCTCACCACCACCTGGCGGCGTGCGAAATGAGTGACGACGGCGTGTGGGGCGGGCAATAGTGCATTGCGAATGCTACCCTCTCGCCCTCTCTGCCACCGAGGCTGGGGCGGGCCATGCTCTGTGCGATGCTGGAGAAATGGGCATTCCCGGTGGCAAACACGAAAGAGATGCGTGTGAATGCATGCGTGTGCTGCCACCAGCCATCATGTCCAGCTCAGCATCATCATTCCGGGCTCCACCTGTCTGCGCTGCTGCGGTGCCAGGTGTGCTGGACGTACATGCCGCTGAGTCGTCGGCTGCGCGCACTCGTCAGGATGTGGATGCCCGCCTGGTCAGGCATCGTCTCGCACTGGCAGTGGTGCGAAAAATGATCTTCAAGCGTGTAGCAAATGAAGAGCTGAACGACCCACGGAGGCAGCGACGTGAAGTGGCGGTGCGCTGCGCGAAGGGGGCTAGCGCAACGGGCGCAGCCACCCGGTCGGTCGGCAGCGGGAGTCGTTTGCAGATTCAGAGTTTGCGGAGGCCGTTTGGCTTTCTTCTCGAACAGCAGCACGCGCCCAATCACACCCAACACCCGCCGCCTGACTCTCTGCCCCTGAGATGAGACACCACGTCGCATGCTCCCAACGTGCCGTCTGGCGATGCCATACGATCAACGTTATAGGCCGGCTTCACCTCCCGCCTGCACCGACTGCATCCTTGCGCTTGGTCCCATGGCTCGCGGCAGCTCTCACCACCGACTCCCAGCTGATCATTCGTCCGCGACCATCGAGCTACAGAGATTTGGGGACACGCAGCATCTCCCCTACTCGCGAAACTGCAGGCTTGTGCTGGCCTGTCTCCAGATTGCCAATGTGAGATAGGAGCACGAGAAAGCAACGCCTTCACCTCCTGGCTTGTGACACCACTCGCCCCGCCGAGCCATCCAGAGCGCCTCCAGAGCTGCAGCCGGGTTACACTTCGTGACTTTTGCGCTTGATCGCCGACGAGGGCGCGGAGGGCTTTGCTGACTGCGGTCGATCAGCTCTCGATGAATATACCCATGTGTTTTGGGCAGACATGGCCACCACCATCATCACGTGGAGAAACTTTTGTGCTGTCTCGTTCTGCATCACAGCCTGGAGCTTCACGAGTCACGGATGGTATCTTTGCAGCTGCATGATGCACCTGCACTGCACGTCTACCCTTTGACGTCAAAATCCACCTGCGACACAACACTCCAGAAATCAGGTCGCCCGTAGGTCCATGCGAAACGCCGTGGTGGAGATCTGATGCACTGTCGCAGATGCTGTCCTCGCTGCGTGAGTAGCCGCCCACGCATCAGTCTTGGCTTTTGTGAAACAGCCGCCGGTACTACTTCCATCGTCATCTACTAGTGAGGGCCCTGTATCACCTGACGAGCCGCCAGTGGCCTATTAGTAGGTGTTGACTGTCTATTCTCAACATTTCTCCATCTCAGCAGGCGCCCTGACCGTTGGCCTGGCCTCTTCTGCCTGGTTGGAGACTCGTACGACACGACGAACGAGCGACTCAACTCTTGACGCTGCTACAGTATGGATCCGTTTTGGAAAAGCTATGGCATGAGAAAAGTTTGGTAGACCACCGTTACACATGGCGCTATCTTCGCATAGTGAGTGTTCCTGGAAGTCTGGACCACGCAACATTTGCTACAGCGGCTCGCCAGCACGCGCCTGCGCGATTCCATTTACGTTCATGGACTAGAGGACACAACGAGGAAACGAATTTTGCCAAAGCACCCCATATCCGAGGAGTCCTTCCGTACTGAATCACTATTTTGTGAGACCATACCACAGTTCCCTTGAGAAGCTCTTCTTTCCGGCGCACGATTGCTCCAAAGCGTCCATGGCACGACGACATTTGCTCGATGAAGACGCTCGATTGAGAACGCTGGTTACGAGTCAGTCATTTGACGGCGTACATCGCGAGAGATCGACATCGCAACAGGATGTAGTAAGTGCACCACTGTTTCGTAGGTCCTTTAAGATCCTCTCTTATGCATCTTCAATGCCATCAATGCCACTCAGTTGAATGTCGCGTGACGTTTCTCTATACCGGGATGTACTCGACGGTACTCAGAGTGGTGTTTCTTTCAAGAACGTGGACATGATTAGGGAGACAGGGTTATCAAAAAGCACCTCACAGTGCCACTGTAAGGCCAACGCACTTCCTGGTCGCGGTCGTCTAGACGACAGGGCCGCAAAGAAAGAATCCTCGATGAATGAAGGTCTCCATGCAACGTTCCTGGTTTCAGGAGAGGTAGTGTCTGACACTACAGACCATCGCATTCCAGTCTTGACATGTTCGCATACGCATGCGCATGACCATGCTGTACGGAGAGGCATCGTACGTCGCATCACGCAAGCCACCATGTGAAAGCCGGTTCTCGCCGATATCAGCGCCAAGCCATGCTCTGTGCAACAGCGCAGGAGGATATGTATAATGTCACGCCGAAGACCATGAAAAGACCAACACGCAACAGCAATTCACCTTTTCGAACCAGAAAACTTTCAAGAACAAGCTCATGTCGACAAACCCAACAACCAAGCCCACGTCCCTCCATCTCGACATCTCCACAATCACCAGCTACGAAGACGGCATCGACTCCTTCGACGGACCCCTATGGTACGATGGCATGAATCCATTGTCCGTCCAGCGGGAAGCAGAAGGTCAACAAAAACCTCCTTTCTCTCCTCACCACCATCACGAATGTGCCTCGCCTGTTGAAAGGGTCAAGCACGAGGAGGAGCTGAAGATGGAGACGGTCGCTGCGCTTTGGGATTCGGAATTACATTCTCGTGAGTAGTGTGAAGTTGCTTTGTGAGAGGGGAAAGTATGTGCTGATTGTATGGGTGTAGATGAGGTTAGATGTAAGCGGAGACGGTCGCTGCTTTCACGCAGTGAGGTTCGTGTGGATGGCGAGGAGGAGGCAGAGGTGCAAGGGGAGAAGGGTGAGGTTGTGGCGAAGATGTGTAAGATGGGTGCTGTGCCTGGGAAGTTGCCTGAAGGAGGGCAGTGTTGTCGTCGAAGTCCGGATAAGGGGTATGTTGAGGGTGAAGCGGTGCAGGTGAGACGTGGAGCTTGGTGATGACTTTGCTATCGTTTTAATTTCCTTCTAGACCTGATGGATGTACTCTAGCCTGAATGCGTTGGTTCGAACTTGCTTACTCGTTGCTCCAAGATAATCATCATATGCTCACTCGTTGCTAGCTACAAGAAATGCATGTCACCAAGCTCTCTACACAAACCAACCCCTCCACTACACCATGTCATAATCCCCACCCCTCCCCGTATGAATCCCGCCACTAACCAAAACATCCGCGCCGGTCACATAACTACTCGCCTCACTCAACAAGAAAACCGCCGCAGGACTAACCTCATCCGGCTGTCCAATCCTCAACATCGGCGGCGCACTCTCCATCAACGCCCCAGCCGCCTGCGTCGTATGCTCCTTGGCGCCCCGCGTCTGGTTCGTGTCGATGAAGGCGGGCGAGATGGAGTTGACGCGGATACCTTGAGGCGCGAGTTCGGAGGAGAGGACTTGGGAGAGCATTTTGACGCCGCCTTTCGAGACGTTGTAGCCCGCCATGCGGTAGCCGGGGAGGTTGCAGTGCGCGGTTATGGAGGCGATGAAGACGATGCTGCCGGGGGTTTTTTGGTGTTGGAGTTGGCGGGCGGTTAGTTGGGCGGCGAAGAAGGAGCCCATTGCCTGGGAGATATGTCAGCTTCAGGGGGTTGCTCTGACTTCTGGAGAGGGGGTGGACTTACGTTGACTTGAATCACCTTGTTCACTTCGTCCCATTTCTGATCTACAAATGGCTTGTCGATAGCAATACCAGCCGCCGTCACAATCCCGTCCAGCTTCCCTAAGGACTGTACAGCTTTGTCGAAAGCAGACTTCAAGCTCGCCTCGCTGCTCACGTCTGCTTGGAAGTACTCTGCCTTCACATTGTGCTTCTTCGCGAGGCCGTACACATCCTCCAGTGGCGAGTCCCGTAGATCCAGTACCGCAACGTTGCCACCCATTTCAGCAATGTCTTTGGTGATGTGGTAGCCAATACCCATGGCGCCGCCGGTAACGATGTAGGATTTGCCTTTCAGGCTGAATTTTTCGGAGATGCTTTTGGATGCCATGGTGATCGAATGTGCTGGAGAGAAGTTGTCTTTGCTTTGGTGTCTTTGCAGTCCTGAAGTCGACGAGAATTGAATGGTCGTTCTTCGATATTGGGGGCAGACTTTCGTCTTGCTCTTCAAAACCCACGGCTCGCAGAGGGGTTGGTTCAATGGCCACGGACGTATTCCTCGCTTTCCAATCCGCCTCCAGGCTAGGATACCTCGACGCCGGCAAAGGACCTGGTTGCTGCCGAGCGCGGGAAATGCTCAATTCGATGCCTTTTGATAAGAGTCGCTCGCCGTTCCCTCGTATCTCTTACTTCCAACCACAGGAACACCAATTGAAGCACAAGACATATCCTCCCAGACGAAAAGGAAACCTCGGTCCGTACCCCATATCAAACGTGTCGTCAGGGCGACTTGCCTTGGCGACGCAGGTACATCATCGCTTATCAGACTTCACTGGCGCTGTATCCAGGCGCTCGGGTTGGAGGAAGTGTAGATAGAGTTGAGACTGATGCGGAGAAGCGTGAAGTGAAGGGAGTCCGTCTGTGGAGAGAAAGCCCGGACCGCGCACTTGTCTGGCGGAGGCTTTGGCTGGACCATGACCAGCGGCAGATCAACCGAGATAGCACAGGCGGCTTGAATGGGCCCTGTGTCTCCTCTCTGGAGTCGGTGATGGTTGGCAGCTCTTATCAGTTCGAACTGGAAGATTGTCGGTAGTCGCTGGAAGGAGCACGGCTTTGGGCTTCATCCGGATGTGTGCCCTTGCAGTCTTAAGGAGCTGACGACGACGGAGGACTGGTTTCCACAGTTTTTGAATTCTGGAGAATCTCGGTGTTGTCGTGCTGTTGTCAAGAAGAAAGCACTTACCACCATGGCCGAACATCATGACATGGTAGTCATTGGAGCAGGTGCGATCATTGACGAGCTTCAAGGTGAAAACCACCTGAGCTGACTTATGTTACACAGGCTGGTTTGGACTCTCATCAGCGAAGACATACATCGAGCTCCATCCGTCCGAAGACACGCTCGTACTCGAAGCAGAAAGCAGTTGTGGCGGCACTTGGTCAGAGAATCGACTGTATCCAGGACTGAAATCCAACAACCTCCATGGCAGCTATGAGTATCCCGACTTTCCAATGGACCCGGCGGCATACGGCATCACTCACGATGACCACATTCCCGGCCGTGTCCTGCACAAGTACCTTACCGACTTCGCGAAGAAGTTCGGTGTCTTCTCCAGGACAAGATTCAATACAAAAGTGGAATCTCTCGAACCTGCATCCGACGGCGGCTGGATTGTGAAGACTGTCACCGAGGGGACCAAGGAGAAGACGCTTCACACCAAGAAAGTCATTGTCGCTACAGGTCTCACGAGCCAGCCGAATTTCCCACAATACCCAGGAGCCGAGACATTCGGTGCTCCCTATTTCCATGCCAAAGACTTCTGTCGACAAGGCGAAACGGTCAAGAATTCAAAGCGAGCCGTCGTCGTCGGCGGTGCTAAGTCTGCGATGGACGTCGCCTTTGCGTATGCCAACGAAGGAGTTGAAGTTGATATGGTCATTCGACCGTCTGGAAACGGCCCTGTCTGGATCTCATATCCGTATGTCATGGGCGGCAAGCGATTGGAGCAGCTGCTTCATGTGCGCTGGATGGGTTGGTTCTCTCCTTGTCCGTGGGGTGGCTACGACAGCTGGCTTGGGAAGAAGATGCGAAACTTCTTGCACGGCACTGCAATCGGACGCTTCATTGTTGATCAGTTCTGGGGCGGTCTAGCTGGTGAAGTCGTCACTGCCAATGGGTACGACACGAACTCTGAACTCCAAAAGCTCAAGCCTTGGAACACTGCATTCTGGATCGGATCAGGCTTGTCAATTCACAACTACGACGGCAACTTCTTCGACATGGTAAAGCGCGGAGATATTCGCGTGCACAACGCAGACGTCGAACGCCTCTCCTCATATACGGTCCACTTGACAGACGGCACCGATCTCGAAGCCGACGTCCTAGTCTGCTCCACAGGCTGGAAGAAAGAACCCTCGATCCGCTTCCTCAACTTCGGCAAAGCAGGCATCGGACTCGACCACACCCCCGACGAAAAATCCAGCCTCATAACCCAATACGACGACCAAATCCTCAAACTCTACCCCAAACTCAAGAACCAACCTCCTCTCAACTTCAAGCCCAAAGCCGACCCATTCCGCCTCTATCGATTCATGGTCCCACCCACGCGCATCAACGACCGCAACATCGCCTTCGCGGGCATGGTCTCCTCCGTCTCAACCTCCATCTGCGCATACGTCCAGGGGCTCTGGATCTCCGCCTTCCTCGACGACCGCCTATCTCACCTTGCCAAGAACGACACTGAGGTCACCAAGGAGGTCATGTTGCACACCCAGTGGGGCAAGTGGAGGTATCCCATCGGCTACGGTGCGAGTTTGCCTGATTTCGTTTTTGATGCGGTTCCGTACTTTGATTTGATGTTAACGGATTTGGGCTTGAAGGTGAATCGGAAGAAGGGGTGGGCGGATGTTACGGAGCCTTATGGGCCTCATGATTATTTGGGGTTAACGGAGGAGTGGTTGGAGTCGAGGGAGAAGGCTGTGAAGGCTTGAAAGGTGCGGAGGGATATGGATCGTCGAGGGCCGTGATGATGAGATGTAGTGGATGTGGATTTTCTGTTAAGATACCTACCCAACAAAGTCAAGATTTTCTAAAAAAAAAAACATGGTCGTTCTCGATATCCCATCATCGCTAAGTGAACTTGTTAACCTCAAAATATCGACATCTCAAGTGATTTGTTTCAAACATGACGCTTCACAACAACCCCGTACACTTTTCATCCCCAACACTCACACCTTCTTCGCCTGGAACTCAAACATATGATTACTCTCCACCGAATTCTTCTCCCTCATCTTCGCCGCCGTGTCCGTCCCCGTCACGGGCGCGACGACTTCATACGTCACCTTTCCACAAGCTCCATTCCCATTTACTTGACCATTCGTCTTGCCTCCATGAGGATCAACCATCAGTGTGAGCTTCTCAGGCAAAGCTCCAGCCTGACGAAGAGCGGTGCCCTGATCCCAAGTGATGTGCTCGTGATACAACCGATCCCCTCGGATGTTCACGACAGCCATCATAGGTATTTCAAGGTATTTGAAGGTGGGAGGGACACCGGGTAAGCTGGGATCGTTAGCAAGTGCTCGTGGAATGAAAGGGGGAAGTCGAACTCACAGCCAATCAATAGTGATGTCGTGACTGAACTTGTAGATGAACTCGTCGACTACCCGGTCGATTCCCACCGTCCGGCTGATGAGTTCGAGCTCGGCGTCTTGCGGGTTGCTGAAGATGAAGTGGTCGCGGTAGAAGTTTGTGAGCTTTTCCCTACCAATCCCGCCTGTGATCTGCACGGTTCCATTAGCAAATGCCCCCTTACACTTCGACACGGACTGACCTACAGTGGGAATGTGATTTACATAAGGCTCCTGCACCATCGTCGCCATCGTGTTCTCCACATCTCTAGCACCAAACTCGTAATACGTGTGCTCCTCCCATAGCAGTTCCAGATCGAAATACGGCCCTCCCATAATCGGCTTGAAGAACGCCAAGTTTCGGGAATGAGATACTGCTTCGGTGGCGTAGTGGAAGTCCTTGTGGAAAGGGACTGGGAATGTGCACTCTCGGCCGGAACCGTACTCGTAGATTTTGGATCCTGGGGTCTGGCTGCGTTTGGTTTCCGATGCGCCGGTCAAGTGGTAGATTGTTGGGACGGATGCTTGAGAGGATAGTTGAGAGTACTGCGATGCATCTGCATAGAGAGAAGCAACCACGATGCGGTCTTTGAGGGTTTCGATTGCCGAAGCTGCCTTCAGCCAGAGGCTCGTGTCGTAGCCTACAGAACGTCAATATAACTTCAGAAGAATATCAGATCATTCGACTCACAAATCAACCCAATCTTCTCCTTCGGCTCACACTCCCGACAGTCACTCAAAGCTGCCACCGCAGCCTTCAAAGCAGAAGACGATGCTTGAGCTCGAACCTCAACAACGCAGTACCCTTCCTCTGCCCACTTCATCCGCAACGAAGGGATTCCATCTTCAATTTCGACAGGCGACGCCGATTCTTCGTTGGGCGAGAGAATGATCATTCCTGGTCCGACGCCTTTTCGCGAAAGAGGCCTGACAAGAGTGACTCCATCCGCCACTCGCTGCGGTTTCATAGGAGGAACAGGCTGCGGCGGACCTGAGCCATATGCGAATTCCGGCATAGTTGGTTTAGTTCAATGTTTGCTTTTCTTGTGATTCAATTCCAATTTGTTGTGTTCGAGGAGCGAGAAACTGTATTCTTGTGAAGTCAAACCCGACGTCAGCTGTAGTAAGCGGCAACTCGAATCTTACGACTCTTCCGAGGTTTCAAGTGGTGTATTGTTGTGCTGATGGGGTGAAGATAAGACATAGCAAACATTGGCCTTGCAATGATGCTTACAAGTCGGTTGGCCGAATCAGGTCTTCGGCCAAAGGCGATAGGTCTGGGTCTAAGCAGTGCACTAGCCGATGGCGGGTGCACTATCCGATAGGGGTGGTCGCACTGAGCAGTAGACAATTTGACCTTTGGCCTTGATCGAACTTTCACACTTTGGATTAACTATCGAAGAGCCGATTAGACTGAACAAACATTCACAGTGAAATCAGCAGTTACAATAAGTACTATAAACTCATCGCTACCCATTTGCAACAACCATGCAAGTGCAACTGCCTTGTCGTACGTTTTCCGTCGTAATCTGATAAGACAGGGAGGGGTATCTCAAAATCACATACAGCTCCCTTTCCAAACTCCTAACATGTTTACATGATCCTCGAGCGAGACGTCCCAGAATGCTCCGCTGGCTAGTCCTATGCATCCCGAGTCTCGTCTTCGGAGTCTGGTTCCCAGAGCTCGAACGGAACAGGTACCTCGTGCACATCGTCCACGTCCGCATCAATGTAATTCTCGGCGGAGCTTAGAACCATGGCTGGGGGACTGGCATCCAAAACGACAGTGGCCTGCCTCTCTCTGCGCAACGATTCCCTGACTCTAAGAATGGCTTTCCAGACGTGGGCTTTGGTAGACACTTCCTTTTCTTGGCGGGCAGCTTGGTTTTCAGCAAGAAGCGATTCTCTCACTCTCAGAATAGCCCCCCAAACATCTGGCTCTGGCTCAAGCTGGGAAACCCATTTCGATAAATGCTCCCGGCATTGGACGGTGGAAGGATGATCGTGGCCGAAGATTTTGTCTCTCTTCTCGAGGCAGCTTTTCAGCATTGACCTGGCTTCCCAGCACCGGTTCAGGCCCCAAAGGACTGTGGATAGCCTTTCTTGACAAACAAGAAACCTCTCTTGTCTTTCTTGCTTAATGTGCTTCCCGCAAGCGTCATCGTCGAGAGTTCTCTGGTGCAAGACGAATGCCTCCTGCTGCAAGCGATGCGAGTCTTCCAAACGACCTTGATTGTGGTAGTAGAGGGCCACGTCGCTCATACATCTCAACACAGTTGGATGGTCCTCAGCAAGGTTGCTCTCTTGACGCTGATCCAGGATTCGTTGTTGGAGACGGTACGCTTCAGACTGTCGATCTTGGCACCAGTAAGCGTTCGCAAGATGTCCCATGCTGATGAGCGTTCCTGGGTAGGCTTTGCCATATACCTGTGTCTTGCCTTCTACTACCTTTTGAAATAGGGACGCAGCTTCTTTGTAAAGACCCAGGTTCAGCATTGAAACAGCCAAATTGTGCTGGATTCCCAGCGTGTCCGGATGCTGACGTCCTTTTCGTGCCAACAGAATGCGCAGATTTGCCTGCTCAAGGTGTTGCTTCTTCTTCCATTGACCCTGGTCGCCATAGACGATAGCCAAATCGTTCCTGGCCATGACCAGGGACTCCTCATCAGTGACTAGGCCGCACTCGTGCATCCAAATAACGCTGGTAAGAATCTCCTCGGCCTTGTCAAGATTCTCGAGCTCACGGTGCGCCATTGCAAGAGTACATAGCGTGATCAGAGTGTCGGGATGTTCATCGCCATGAATAGCTCTTTGTACTTCGACAATCTCTGCACTCAAGCGCTCTGCGCGCTGCAACTGGCCGGCGTGGAGGTAAGATACTGCCAGAAAACTACCGATACTCAGTGTATGGGTATGATGATGGCCGAAAGTTGATTCCGAGTCGCTCTTTGCTCGTTGGGCCATATCAATTGCTTTGGTGAGACGAGCCTGTCGGTGGGCATACTTCGCTCGTCTCAGAAGGAGTCCAGCTCGCATCATCAGCGCATTCATGGGCGAATAAGGCGTGTCGTAGTTCCCGCGGGTTGCGCTGACACTGTATTCTAGAGGCAAAGGTGTTGTAATCGATTGAGCAGCTTCCAGCCAATGTTGTAAAGATGACTCGACCACGCTCTCGGCATGCGGCTCCAAACGCTTACAGGCCTCCCAATCCTTGAACTCATCGTCCGGGTATTTTATCCACACTAGCTTGAGCGACTCGAAACACCAGGTAGATAACTCGTGCTTGATCTGAATCCAAGTCTTTGTCGCACGTTGAACCAAGCGATGCATCTTGAGCAGTTCGGGCTCGTTCGAGTGAGCATCGACAAAAGAAAACCGCATTAGGGTTTCCAAAGCTTCATCAAATTGCTGGCGAGAGGAGCTAGCTTTCTCTAGCATTGATACGGGCATGCCTTCTCTGCTTAGGAAGCACATCCTAAAGAGCAGTTCGACTGCAGCCTCGTCGATTCTCTGGATCTGATGAAATGAGATTTCCCAAGTTTTGATGACGGCGTTTGGGATGTTCACGTCTCTTCGCAGGTCGTTCTCACTGGTGCTCAGCAAGCGCTCTTCGTCGTGCTGGAACAGCTCCAAGTACGCAGCAATGGTCATTCTCTCGCGAGCCATGATGTACGCCGCGGCTTGGGTTATCGCCAAGGGTATGCAATCCAGTTGCACTGAAAGGCGATGTGCTTGAACCTGGTCCCATTCTAGCAGCTTGGTCTTCGTCCGGAAAAGCTGCACGGCTTCGTCTTCAGTCATGGCTTCCAATTTGATTATTCGCTCCTTGTCGCCAACAAGATCGAATGCAGCTTGGCTGTCTCGAGATGTCACAAGGACGGCGCTCCCAGCCTTCCTAGGTAGATACGTCGGAATAGTGAAGTCGTTGTCCGTTGAGAGTGCCGAATGCCAACTAGCAGTAAGGTCCTTTGAGTCAGCGTTGTCGAGTATCATCATCCATCTTCCGCTTGCAGGGCTTTGAAGCCAGTCGAAAACGATGCCCAGATGATCAGCTTTAAGGTCGTCAAAGCCTTGTAGCTGTAGCTTTGTCGCAATAGATTGATAGTCGTTTCGAAACCGCTCCCGACTGCTTGCGTGGACCCAGAAAATGGAAGTATTAGGCTGGCTTTGTTGGAGTCGGTAGGCATACTCAGTCACAACTTGAGACTTGCCGACACCTCCAAGGCCAACAACTCCAATTCTTGAGTGCACGCTATCGTCGGCAAGGGCATGATCCAATTCTGTGAAGACAGCCTCGCGCCCCACGAAATGCTTGTCTCTTCCATACGGCAGCATGATCGTAGTCTTTGGTGCAGCCCCCTGTGATGTTTCCGCGACGGTGTCAAGCTTTGCCACGTCTGCTGGTGCGATGTTCCGCAGTAACTCTTTCGCCCATGCAGCAGCAGTGGCGGAGGCGAAGGGCTGCCACGACTTGTTCTTGTGTGAATCACAATAGTCAGAGATTCCCCTGATGACGATACACTGTAAGTGATCGATCAGGCCGGCTGCTTCCATTTCAAAACACAGCACATCCTCATGGGTCTTTTTGATAAGATCTCGTCGGAGGGCATCTTTGATGACTTGATTGCCCGAGGCTATCGTTCCATAGTGGACATGGACTGGATGTCGCAAGCGTCCCGGTCGCTGCGGAATGCGTTGTGAACTGCATTCGCTACACGTCATCTCTTTTCTCTCAGGTCGCCTCACGAGTTTGTGAATGCTGCAATTGCTGCAAGTCAACTCCTTGGCAGGGTGATCATAGGTCGCCTCAAAAAGCTGGTCCAGCTTTGGTGGCGACGAAAATTGCGGGGCGTAGTCTGCACACTTCTGAAACGACTCGAGGTATTCGTAGAACTTGCTACTGGTAGGAGGAGCCGATCGGATCTTGCTTAGTGCAGAGGACAAGATTATTGGCGGCTTGTTCAGCATTCCAGTTTCCTGAAATTCGCCCCCTTGGACGTATTTGCCATAATCATAATGTATTACTCCGCCATGCCGACCGTCTTTGTTGATTCGGCTGACCACGACGTCGCCTAGACGAATATCATGGTCCTTGCTGGGAACAGCGCCTCCTATGTCTCAGTCAGATCTCGATATCGGTCCAGCACAAGGTGCTTCCTAGTATACCAATTCCTACAAGAACTCCGAAGCGCAAGGATGGAAAGACCGCACGCATTTCTGTAGCCACGGAGGCTGCGGAACCAACGCCTGGTTGGGCGTCCGGGAGGCATCCCATGACCACATTGTGGCCGTTGATTTCCCCAAACACATACTGGTAGCTGACGACGATAGATCCGAGGGAGGCGTCTTCGTGTTGCACGTCAAACAGCTCTCTTGATGCTTGCCATTCTGGAATTGGCAAGGCGCAGATCCAGAACACAGTGTACTCTTCCTTGCGGAGTTTCACCATGGCGCGGCTGTCCGGGGGATCTCATCAAAGAGCGAGCATTGGTCGGCGAAGCTTTTGATGTCAGGTGTGCGGATACGACGACACGAGATAGAACCTGCCGTTAGAGGTCCTTGGACAGGCGATATCGACACCCCACGACGAGGCAACCTGTTCAGCTGAATCTGCACGCCACGACGCCCCGCGCGAACTGTTTGCCTTAAAGTTACCTCCATTGGTCCATCCTCCAAACGATCTCATGCTTGAGGGCATCTCAGTGAGAGCCTGAAATTATGAGGGATGGTATATGTTATTGATGGTAGTTGAGTCGACTTGTGTAATTTCTGAGACTCGTGCTTGTGCTACAGGACCAGAATTGAGTGGTGAGGTTCCCTTCCGCGGGACAAATTCCGCAGCCTCGTCTCGAGGCCTCGATTTCTCTCAGCTTTAATTAAACGGCGTCAACGGCCAGACTTGTAGTTTGCTTGAGATGGAAGCACGCAACAAGTCACAAAACCATCTCACCATCATAGCAAAATGCAACCGAGGGTCGAAGCCATCTTCACGTGGTCATTGCAAGCAATCAGATAGATCTTCAAGCCTTCGCCAACAGCTTGGGACTCCTTCCAAGACGTGCAAAAAGCACAAGCACCGCACCCACAAGCATCGTAGCGCCTGCGAACATCGACAGGGCCAGGTATCCGCTCTTGACAAGTTCTCCAGCAATAGGAGTGCCGAAGAGAGCACTACAGACAACTACGTCAGCTCGATTGTATGAGATCGTGTTTTGGGTATCAACTTACGTTAATGCTATCGATCCCATCACGATCCCAATAGCTGCGCCCATAGTCTCCTTGGTGGACACAAGGGAAGCGCATGCGATCTGAAGGCTGAGGACAGCCTGACCAAAAGGTGTCAGCAATTCGTTAATGCATGTCTGATTGTCGTCAACTCACCCCAGACACAAAACCATACACTGCCGACCAAACCACTAGACCCGCAACATTGTCCACTCCCTTCCAACAGAAGCAAACAATCGCCGACAGGAACATGGAAGTCACCAGGATATTGAAATGGCCAACGCGGTCGGCGATGAAACCCGGCAGGATTCGACCAAACGATGAGGCTGCATTGAGGATCGCAATGAGGTAAATCGAGAAGCTCTCGGAGACCCCCAGCGTGATGGCGTAGGTCGAGACGTAGAAGAACGGCGCGAAGAAGCCAAAGTAGAAGATAGCCAGACCGCCGCAGAGGAACATGAAAGAAGGCGTCCGAAGATGCGCGAGACGCTTGCGCTTCTGCTGTTTGGCTTGGTCTTTCTCTTCTTCTGACCCTGCAACCGTCCCTGTCTGATCTTCCACATCTTTCTTAGGCGCTTTGAATGTCTTCGGGCGTCTAACGCCAACGATGACAATCGCCAGAAACAGCAGCTGCAGGAAGCCGACACTGCGGATTGTCCAGCCAAAGCTGACGCCATCAGCGTTAAGCATCTGATCGAGCATGATCGGCCAAATGACACCGCCTAGAGACGATCCAGCTACTGAGATGCCCTGTGCGAAGGCGCGGTTACGTTGGAAGTACAGTGGTGCGACAGAGGTCGTTGGAATCGTGATGAGCGCCATTGCGATTCCTAGCAATACACCCTGTGCCAGGAAGAACTGGTAGTATCTGTGGCTGATTAGCCCTCTTCGTGTATATTGCAACCAGCGGCTTATCCTCGCACTCACTTCTTGCATAGCGATATCATGAAGACAGCCACAACCTGGCATACAGCACCTATGCTGATGGGTACTATGGGACTGGTCTTATCCGAAAGTAATCCAGCAGGAAAGCCCAGCCCGAAGAACAAAAACGTGGTCATGGATCCGATCCAGGCGATATCAAAGGCTGATTCTTGGGGGAGGTAGTGTACAGTGTAATAGGTCTGGAAGACTCCGAACGCATTGATGAAGCCGGCGGTGCAGAATAGGGCGAGGGCGCTGGCTGCGAGAACCAATGTCGATCGTACACTGCTCAGCAGTTAGCCATTGTTCTGAATGTTAGAAGAAGACCGTACTTGAATTCAGAGATCTTGGGGCTGGCTTCTGTGTCCATTGTGTGTGATTGTGCGCTTGCCGAATCGTGTTCTGGTTTCTCATCCATGATGTCGATGATTTGAGACTGTGATGGATGCCACAAGTCTCCAGAACAGGTATTAAGTCAACGAGAACATTGTCTGCAATGATTGAAGTGCTCGTCTGCTCCTTGCGTATTGATCGGAAAGTCCGTGGGGCCGCGAATTTCGGAGTTGGGCGAGCGCAAAGCCATGGGCCCACGGGGCCACGGACGACGATCTTCTCCAATACGGCAGCATGAACGAACCGATTAGGCCTTCTTGAGCAGCAGCTGATAAATGCTCGCAGATACTGGTCTTGTCTCCGTTGTGTGATTTGCGGCGAATACGATCATGGCAAGCCTCGGCCGATATCACCTCGTCGTGTTGGAAGCAGTGCCCCTTTCCCGATAGATCAACCTGTTCAGACAATATGCATGCCTAGATCATTGAGAACAGCTTCCCAGTTCTGTGGATCAAGCGAAGATCCATTGAACAGATAGTCCTGCCATATGTCCCCTGACGCATCGACCCCGTTGATCATGTCCAGATCACTGTCAGTGTATGTGGTAGTAGAACTGCTCTGATGCTCCGGCACGTGTCCAAATTTGTCGTCGTGAAAATCGGTCAGGATCCGCTGCTGGCCTTTGCTGTTGATTTTCCCGACTGCCATCTCGAGGGAAGGTAAGTTCACCTGATGCTTCCGAAGGATCTCCATAAGAGAGTCATAGCATGTAGATGCGATCCTGGAAGACGTCTTCGCTTCTTGCATCACTTTGATAGCATCGTAGACTTCTGCAACCTGGTTCTCGTTGTTACTGTTCTTGTTGACGCAGAGGTCCATGACCAGTACGAAGGAGGCGTAGAAGACATGGCTTAGTTGCCCACCGAGGTTGAGGAAAGCCATAAATCCTTGTGGAGTCTCCTCAGCTTCCACTCTTTCTCGAACTTTGAACACCTTGCGGGCAGACTTGAGGCATATGTCCCTGGAAAGCTTGTATCGGGGATCGGATTTGTAGTGAATCAAGAACGGCAAATGAAGCTTGCAGCGGCGGGCATGTACCATGAGATTGATTGTCGCTCGCTGAACAGCCATACGCCAAGTCTCAGGGCTGTCTGTGAGAGGGTATGTTGCAGCGTTGAGCTGAAGGAAGGGTGGAAGTCCGCTTATGATTTCTTGAAACTTCGCGTCCAGAGCTGCAATCTTTTCGTAATCCAGTTTCTCAGGATCAGGCATGACAGGCGAGCTCCAGATCTCATCCATAACTTCACGACAGACGACTGCGATCTTGATGCGTTGAAGATGGAAAGAAATGATGGTTGGCTCCTTGTCAGATCGTGTGAACGCCATATCTCGAATCGCGAGGTCGTCGTGATTTATATTTCGAGGTAGCTTTACCGCCATGTGCTGTGGATGAATGGAGTAGACACCCTCATGTGGTCCGCCATTGTAAGCAAAGAGCCTGCAACAGTCAGCCAAAACCTGCTTACAGAAACACGCAGGCGACTCACCAATCGGTGCAGGCAAGATGCCACCAAACTTTCCTTGCAACTTCCAACTCAACTATGTCTCTCTGTGCTGAGACTGAGGGCTCCGATGAAGCATCAACCCGATGTAGACCAAGCTCGCGCGCCATCGTGAAAGCGCTAGAGTGTAACAGTCGTGTATGTGGAGATAGCCCCTCGAAGTGGCAGAACTGGAAAGTCAGCAATATAGTTGCTTGTATCGCCTCGACGGAGATCTGGGATGATCTGCGAGCATGCTCAAGTGCGGACACAGCCTCTCGAGTGATAAAAGATGATGCTTTCATGGCAAATGACGGGTCAGAGAACAGGAAATCCCATTCAAGTTCCCACGCACCCATAGAAGCACATATGGCTAATATCAAAGCCACAGATCCTGGGCTCAAGGGAAGCCCAGCGCTCTGGGCCACGTAGACTTTGTCGACCATCTCTCGAACGCTAGGAAGGTGCATGACGGCTTGGATAGCGTCCAGATGGACTTCAAACAAGTCCAGGCACGCAGCCACGACTTCATGCGTGGGAAGAGAAATGTCTTCTGCCTTGCGTTGATGCTCTGCATCGAAGGCGAGTTCGTCGGCCGAACGTAGGCATGCTTGTAGCTGCTCGTTGGAGACATTAGGGGACTTGGAACAACGTTAGCAGAGGACGAACGACAATTCGATTTCGTCTTCTCTCACGACAGCATCCACGTTGCATGTGCCAACATTGTTAGGCCGCCGATGAGCGCCGATGATGCTCTGGTGGGACCGTCCTTGATCCGATAAAGTCGATAAACTATCCGTTGCAGCTTGTCTCGGCGCTACATCTTCTGCAGAGCCATCTCCAAACACAGCCTTCTCCAGTCGAAGAACTCGAGCTCTCAACGCCTGATTCTGGGCTTGCAAATCACTGTCGTAGTTGTCGGCTGCTACCGGCATCGGTGTAACTGGTAGCTCTCGACTGTAATTGCAAGAAAGTCGTCGAGTTTTGCAATTCGAACAAGGTCGCTGTCGATCGCATTTCAATTTCTTGACGCGGCACATCTGACATGATGGGGGATCTCGCCGCTGTCGTGAGCGATGGGTCGGCCGAGGAGAAGACATTATTGAAGAAAGAAAAAGACGATTTTGCAAACGAGATTAGAGAAAGAGTGTCGGCGTTAAGACGCGCGAGTAGTGGTGGAGGTGGAGTAAGGTCTGCGAAAGAAGGTGAAGTCGCATCTCGGAAGGATTCCCGCCCAGCTGCCTCGTCATTACTTAGCTGATATTGGACCCATAACTTTGCTTTGCTTTCCTTAATCGAAAGAAGGCCGACTTACTAATAGATGATACAGCCTCGAACTACTCCGAAAGCCGAGCTCGACAATGGCTTTACACATAGCTTTTGCCTGGACACTCAGCACTGTTGTAATTATCCCAACTTCTTCTCATACTCCAACACCTCTGGCATATCAATCTCACCCACCCTCAGCTTCCCCCAGTTCTCTTCATATCCCTTCTCAATACTCGGCCAAGGTCCCACCGGCGTGATAGCCTTCGGGTTGATATCAAAATGGCTCTTGGTATAATTCTCCTTGATATGCCTGAAATCCGTCGTCACTCTTGCAACCTCATGATTCCAGTACATCCCCTTCAACCAATTCTTCAGCACCGGATAGGAGTATCGAATCGTACCGAGGTTGCATTTGAAGTGCTGGACGTAGACGGTGTCGAAGCGGATGATGGTTGCGAAGACGCGGACGTCGACTTCAGTCATTTGTTTGCCTAGGATGTATGGACCGCCGCTCTTGTGCGCGACCTTTTCGAGTTTGTTGACCATGGCGAAGACTGGTGGAAGGTTGGTCTCGTATGTCTTCTGATCCGGAGCAAAGCCTGCTTTGTAGACACCCGTGTTCAGGTCCTTCTGCAGCTGTTCGCCTAAGTGATCGATCTCTTTTCTCGATCCGTCAGGATAGAGGGTGATATCTCGCAGCTCTTTCGGCAATAGTTCATCGAAAGCATGCTGTAGATCCCGCATCAACTCATGGCTCTCGTTGTTCACAATCGTGTTGAGCTTCTTGTCCCAAAGTACAGGCACGCTGTACCGTCCCTTGTACTCTTTATCCGCTTTGAAATAAACCTCGTGCATGAATTGACTACCGAAGAGCTTGTCCTCTGTAGCGCCATCATATTCCGTCTCATCTTTGTGATTAAACCGCCAGCCTGGCCACCCTTTATCGTCACCCTTGGGGTACGGCTTTACGATGCTCGTCTCGATGCCTGCGTATTTGTCGAGCTGTTTGAGGTGGAGGACGAAGTTCGCTCGATGAGCAAAAGGGCAGAAGAGGCCGATGTACAGATGGTAGCGGTCTTTCTCAGGCTTGAACGGGCCATCTGTTGTGATCTTGCCGTGGAATGAATCATCTGGTCCGGAGTGCCATGATGTAGGGAGTGCATTAGATGCCATCGTGCGGCTTTGGTTAGAAGCTGGTTTGATGGTCCTCGTGAGTTGCGTGACGCGTTGGAGCATGGGAGAGAAACTCGGAGTGCGTGAGCGGAACAAAGGAAGGGTTATAGCTGCCACAGCTGCTTACAGACTTGATGCCAGGTTCAGCAATGGAAGCTGGCGTAATACCGAATATGTTTACAAATCGATGGCATTGATAAGGTATTCGGTGCAGTGCACAACATTGAAGACACGACTAACAGGTAGTAGCCGCGGAAGCATTCCACCTCTCCAGCCTGATTGAGATCGGTCACGTGCAGGGAGTTTATCCTTTTGAGCAGAAGTTGTGCACCACGTTTAGGGTGATCCAACATTTCGGTTTCAACTACTTAAGATTCTTACGTGTAATCTGCATGCTTTGACTCGTTGGCGTCCAGGTCACAGCGGTGCGTAACAACACGTGATTGCGCGAGACGTGCGGGTCGACTTCAGCTCCTGCAGATCAGCTACAATCCTACACCGACCGTACCTGCCCAGGGCATATACAATCGTGCATCGAACCGAAGACGGACGACCTCATCGAAGCCCCAACGTCTGGCTCTTGTCCAATCATCAATGGTAGCACTGCGATCTGGAACTGTTCATCTCGCCTTGCCTTCGACTCTCCGGCGACCACATCGCCTGTTCAGTAACGCTAGACTGCCCCATCAAATAGGGACCCATAAACCCAGCTACGGCATAGATGTAGCACATTCCATCATTGCATGCGCGACCGCACGCGGCACAGTAATAGACGATCGTGGCATGCAAGCCATGTGGCAGGATGTACAACCTGTCAAACATTTGGGGGCCTCTGCATCCGTGTCTATCAGCTCGGGTTATCGCGAAGTGATGCAAATACACTGCCCTAACCCCTGCAACTTCAGGTACCCGGACATAGTCTCTCGTCGTTAACAGTGGAACAGCTCGCCTTGTTGGATTTCTTGTTGTCCTTCTATCGCCGATCCGTTCTTCAGACTGAGTCCTAGTGTTGACTTGCATTTTCATCACACAGTGACACACAACCATGTCACTACCGAAAAGATGGAGCACGCTCACCTTCTACCTCGTCGCTATTCTCACTGTTAGCAACACAGCCTCGCCGCAGGACAGCCGGGCATGCTACTTTCGAGACGGGGGTCCAGCACAAGACTACGTACAATGCCCAGGAGCCAACGGAACCAAGACGGCGGCATGTTGTTACTCTGCTGGATGGCCACACATCGACCCCTGCTTCTCAAACGGCTTCTGCTTCAGTACTGAGGTTGGCGTGGTATACCGAGGGGCCTGTACCGACCAAGATTGGGGCAGTACGCAGTGTGTCCAGAACTGCCAGAATGGTGCGTCTTTCTCGCATGCCGCGTATTTGCGGAACAAGTATTTACTGATGATGAACTACAGTCAACAGAGGGGGGACAGCAATGCTGTCTTTCTGTCAAGACTTGAACCTATGCTGCACGGCGGTGGACGATTCGGAAAACAGAGATTGCTGCTCCAATGGCAAGCTAGGGGACAACAAGCTCAACTGGAACGATCCAACTCTGACGGGTCACGTCAATGCCTCGATGCTGTATGATGTCTACGATTCCAGACAGGCAATCGCAGGCGCTGTGACGGAATCGACATCAAACGGCACCGTCCCAACCGACCGCGAAGATAGCAACACCGTCTCTGAAGGCGCAATCATCGGCGTCGGCGTTGGTCTCGGTGTCCCACTCCTCATCGCCCTCGCAACATGCATCTGGCTCTTCCTATCCCTTCGAAAAGAACGGGCAAAAGACCGCGACAGTCAAGAAGCACATTCCTACATCGAGACCAAGCACGCCCACAGAGGAAACGACACATCGCCAGGTCCATCGCAAAACGAATCCGCTTCTCGCGTTGCAAGCCATGATCCAACCATCGCCACGCAGGTCGCCCCGGGAAACCTTCACCCTTCAATGAACGGGTACGCGCCGGAAACGAAGAATTCGAATACATGTGGCCGCCGCCGCCGGCGGCTATGCAACAGGCCCCTGTTGCTGAGTTATCTGACGAGCGAACCCCAGTCGAAGTACAATCTTAGATGGTGGCGAAGCTTCGATATGCTGTCCCATTTCGATACATATGGGAAGAGTTGGGAGAGTGCGGGTGTGCGACCTGCTTGACAATCGCCAGTCGTAAAAGAAATGAGGTGTGTTAGGGTCGTGTAGAAGGGAGACTGCGTAGATACCCAGAGTCGATTGCAAAACGCGCTTCGTCGTCTCCTTTCGTCGCACCACCCCGTATTCTGTTAGCTTCGGCTCCCCTGCTTACACTGCGGACTGTCCTCAATGGGAAGAAGCGAGATTAAAACAGAGGCTTGAGGAGTCGGGCACGATGTGCTCATACAACTCTCCATGTCGTCTTCTCTAATCCATCTCTAAAGCAACAAAAAATCGCCGTAGCAGCTCAGCAACAAACGAGAACGCTCACTAACGCTCGTGAACTCATGTCCTTGTCAAAAAGACAACACACCACAACACAGCCGGGCAAGCAGAAACCGCGAATCACGCAGCCTTCTTGGCCTTACTTTTCCTCTTCTCCACAGCCTCCTTCAGCCCCGCGAGCTTCTCTTCGGTCGTTCGAATCTGCTCATCCATCTGTCGCTCCGACATGCTCACTTCGTCGTCCAGCTTCCTAGCCATGACCTTCTGCCGCTCTCGATGTCTGACGCCAGCACCGAGAGGCACGCCATCCGTAAGCCCGGTTCGGTCTTCCAGCCAGTCCCAAAGTGCACTTTCTTCGCGACGCCAGATCTCTTCGTAGGCGGCGATCCGCTCGGGCGGTGTATAGCCAGGATATGAGACACCAGCTGCAGGTCCGCGTGCGGGCACGAGCCAAGAGTAAGCCAGCAACACAAACAGCACTGCAATGACGACCTGGCTCGTTATGAAAGGTCGGACAATGTCGATGATTGGACCAACAATTTGGTGCACTGGCTCCAGAAATCCCCATTTCTTCGCCAGCTTGTCTTGCTCGATCTGTGCTTCGCGCTGTGTGACTGCTTCTTCCGCATCGAACACTGGGCCTTGCTTTCCCTTCCGCTTGCCTTTTCTCGGTAGTCCCTTGACAGGAGGTTTCGTGGTGACGGCAGCCTTCAAAGATGCCGTGATGGCTTTGATGTATTCTTGCTGACCTTGTTCGGCGCCCTTCTCAATAGGACCTACAAAGAATTAGTCTTGTCCCGCACGCTAATCTTGCGATATCCTACCTTTGAGCCAGCTCTTGCCTGTCCACTCCACCGTACATGTGGCGATCATCCTCGTCGAGTTGTTCGGACCCCACATCAAGCAATACCGCGTCTTTGTGGTAAAGACGTTGCCGCTCGGAACATCCGGCGTTGCCGTGCTGCAGTCCACGCTAACGGCCTTCTCAAGGTCGAATGCCTTGAGCGTGTTCGTCGTAATGCACTTTGTTTGCTTGGGCCCGACAGGTGCATTGATCGGCTTGATGTAATCGAAAGTGAACTCTCGGTGATCGTTATCCAGTCCCGTCTTGTCATCAGCGTAATTCAGATCTCGCGACTTTTGATCCTCGACAAGCCATTTCTTCATGAAAGCTCCAGATGCTGGGCCGAACATCATGGAATAGACTTTACCTAGGGGTGCAGGTATTATTGTGTCAGTCAGCGGGCGATCGTAGTGCTCGGCAGTCTCAGTACATTGCGTAGGCTCGTGTGTCGGTGCGCCAGGGAACTCGCTGCTCAGAGCCGCGGCTGTCACGACAGCATCTGCAGATTCGAGACCTTTCGAGCCTAGACCATTAGTTGGAGGCGACGACAAGGGAGCGGCAGACGTCTTTCGACTAAGAGCATTGTCACCGGCCTCGCTTTCTGCCAGACTAGCCGCCATACCTCCGTCGGTGAAGCTACCAGCGTCGTCATCGGCGTCTTCGTCGTAGACCTCGTCTTCAGTCCCTTCATCGGTGTCATCTTCAGAGCCTTCAGGTTCCGCGACTTCGGTCTTGTCGCCAGTCCCAGCATCATCCAATGTGACCCCGTTCAGTGAACTTTTCAGATTCGGATGGCTGATCTTCCAGATTCCTATCAGGAGCTCATACGTCGAATCTCGAGCCACGAAACTGGCGAATGTGTTCCGGGCGTGAAGTGTCGATATTACCAGTGCATTGGGAAAGATAACTGCCGTGCTCTTCTTCTCCACTGACACAATCTCGTCAAAACTAATGACAAGATTCGTCACCCATCCAAGGATGTTGCTGGAGAAGCAGACGTGGCCTTCTGAGACATACAGCCTGCCGTGCAACAGAATGTCTCTCTGCAATGCAGCACTGTAGTCTTCTATCAGGTAGTCGTCCTCCGGAACACTCCTGAACAACTGGTGAAACTCCTTGTTCCTCTTACTGCTCGCCACGGCGAACCCGGTAAGTCTGTGGCCAATCCCATGTACGGCTGGATTTGCAAGTCCAGTGGTCGTATCTCGTAGCGCGGCAGCAATTGAGTTGCTTGTACCTGCAGTTGCTGAGCTCCCACGGTGCTTTCGCCGTCCGCTCAGTTTACTTCGAACACTACCCGATCGTTTCATCCCACTGAGGTTACTGTCCTGTTCGTTTGGGGGCCGAGGCGGGGTCTGGTCACCGTTGAGCGTCAGTCGCTCATTGGAAGCTATCGATGATGGTCTGCCTGTGGCTTGGCTCACCACTGCAGCTATCGGCTTCTCATAAGCAGACGACACGGCACGTGCAGCCGCCTCCTCTTCCGCTTTCCTGGACTGTTGGCCTTCAGCTTGTCCATTTTGCTGCAATTCTATAGTGGAGCTCATTGGGGAGGTCTCTTGAGCTTCTGATATGCCGAGATGGCTCAAGCTAAGGTTTCCCTTCCCAAGCGTCTCCACCGCAAGTTGCTTCTTCTCTTCTCCAGCGCCTGTCGCGGGTCTGCTCTCGACACCCGGTATCACCTCTTCACCTCCCTCAGTTCCGGTTTGTACACCGCTTATGGGCTTGCTCTTCTGATTTTGTAATGTGAAGCTATTGAAGCTGCCAAAGGAGTTGCCGGCTTTCTGTGCGACTGAAAAGACAGACGAGAAGAAACTTGCCGCGCTATTTGGAGGCTGCGTCAATGTCCCACCTGGAGTCTTAGCCTCCTCAACAGTGGGGGTGAGAGGCGCGTTGATCGAGGTCGACAGTTTGCTGGGCAGGTTCCCGGATTGGGCTCGGCGATGTCTGATGCTTTCGACGGAGCTCAAAGGGCGCGATGGCGAAGCTCTTTGTGGAGACTTGGGGTCACGAGGGAATGTCGCTATACCGGGGTCGGTCGGTGTCGGCGGAGTGACTAACGTAGTCGGCGTCTCGATGAGGTTTGGAGGTGTCAATGGTATTGAGGTATCGATGGGTCTGCCACGCGGCTTCGGGGTCTCGGGCCGGTCTTGGCTGGCAGAGTCTTGAATCTCTTCGCCTTTTGGACCAGTGTTGACTTGTTCAGTCTTTTGCTGCTGCGAGTCGCTACCTAATCCCTTGCTCAGACTGTTTCTCCGGCTGGACGACTTGAACAGCCCGCCTAACCCTCCACTTCCGCCTGCGGAACTCTTGGCACCGTCGTCGCTCGATTTCTTACGGGATAATGTGAAAGGACCACGTAGCTTATTGGAAGGCGAAGGGCTGCGATCAGGTATAGGTGGTGTAGGGCCGTGGTCCCCGCTGTCGAGAGGCTCCACGATCTGGGGGATGCTGGCGTTGGCGAGGGGGTCGGCTATGGATTCGGACTCAGGCGATGTGACAAGTTCAGATCCTGGGATCACAGCGCTTGTCTGGGCGTTGATCTCAGGCGATGAGAAGGTCAAGTATCCGGCGTGCGATTGATGAGGCGAGAGTGAGGGCCGTACAGGCTTTCTGCGCAAAGTTGGTTAATTCGAGGCAGGCAGGAATGCAACACACAATCAACAGCACGCGGCAGCGTCGAACAAGACCTGCTGGACCGGCCAATGCAGGTGTACTGTACTCTGAGCACCAAGACGGGACGACAGTGGTACGGAGGCTGAAGCCTGGAGTGCTGTCCGGAGCGCAGCGAATCGTAGTGGCGTTGAAGCTGACATCAAGATGCGCTCCAAGCGCGTGGAGCTTGCATCCTGCACCGCGTGCCAGCGGTCGTACCCGCCTCAGAGAACCAGCTCCACCCTGGTAATACATCGCTGCAAAGCCTCGTGTGCCTGAAAGTGAGACTGCGAAACCGAGTACGAGTCTCCGAGATGCAAGAGAAAAGCACTTACCCATCGCCGTCTGTCCGCTCGTCGTCCGTCAACAGACTACTGTGGCCGCTCTCGTCAAAGAGCAGAGACGACTCGGAACGGTTGCCTGCCAGTGCAAGATCCGTACCAGATTCGAGGCTCGTGGTTTGGCTGAGATCTGCGTCGCGGTCGCCTTTTCGAACTTTCCGTTTCGCTTTTGATACCAATGTAGAAAGCTTTCGTGGTTGCCCGTCTTCGGTCTTTGGCCTGTCGTCCACAGACCGCCTTCGAGAGCTTCCTCGGACCTTATCGATCGCATTTTCCATTGACGCACGTAGGCCGTCTTTGTCGGTCGCATTGGCTGGGCCATCGTCGCTTTCTCCCGAAGTTCCAGGTAATGAAGTGGTTGACACATTGCCGATTGCTTTGTCCTTGGAGCGCCGTAGCTTGGACAAGGCCCCGCGTGGCGGCGCGCCGACGTCTGCCATCGAGTGCTGTATTCTATGGCTGGATCATAGACTCGTATGTCGTGCACCCGTGAGAATGTGTCCCATATCGATCCGGTGCTTGTGTTGCGCCCGTGGCAGGGTGTCGCGTGAAGAATGTGGATGGAAGCTGGTTGTGTGCTGCGAACCTCGGGCGTGGCCAGCACTTCCTCGAAGGATTCCAGCTCCGATATCGATGCGAATAGATGAGGTCGCGAGATCCTGCTAACACAAAGGAAAGATGAGTTGTTCAAGACGTCCAATGCAACGAAACGTGTTCAAGGATCCTGGCAGTGAAACAAGAGAAACAATCAACGTCAGCGGAGCAATGCATCATGAGCGGAGCTGCCATTTAAACTTCCCATCGCCAAGCTGCTGCCGCCACGCGATCCCCAAAACGGCAGTGCCCACGTGAACCTAAACGACAGGTGACCATCGCACCTCACCTCGTCAAAAAAACATACATTAAATAAATTCCACCTATGATACGACAACAACACCATGGCTGAACTCGCACCGTTGACTTCTGTACGTCTTGATGGGAAAGTTTTCAAAGTAGGAGCTGATCTGTCATCACAGGCGCACGCGCATGCACGGAAGGCGGCAGTTGAGACTGATCAGATGCGGATGAGTGAAGCTGCAGAAGAACATCAGAACGCAGCCTTGAACTTCGCCAAAGCATCGAGGGGCTCAAACGATCACGAGGTATAGCCAGTGATGAATGACAAGCATTTGTCCATCTCTGATCATGACGCAGGCACTTCGAATACTGAGACTCCTCGAAGAGCAACACCTCAAACTTGCCAATATCATCAGGACACAAGACTCTCCAAGTGAGCCGGAGTCTCAGACCGAGGACACGAAATCACAGGATCCAGCAGTGTCAAGACACGACTTCGCACAACCTCAGAAAGCCCCCTCACAATCTTCACGATCGAAGTCTACCACAGGCGCACTCGCCGCAGCCCGTTTTGGTAGCCAGACGAGAGACTCTTCGCCGTCTTTGGCCAGAGACATTGCATCTCGACGAGGAATTCCACAAGCAGGCAGGAACCCACCCTCTGCGGCAGCTCAAGCGAGAGCGAGGCAGTTGTCGCCGGAATCGCATCGTCGCAGCAAGCCTGGTCCTCCGCCACCCAAGATACCACCATCAATCGTAGACAGTCAGAACTTGTCCACAGCAAAGAAAGCCAAGAAGCAGGAAGACGATGCCGCTTTTGCGAGTTTCTACAGCAACCTCACGACTGGGACGATGTCAAAGCTGTCCTCGGTCCTGGCATATGCTGGACTGCCTCTTACCGCTGAAGATGCCCAGGCGGAACAGAACAAACAGAAGCTCACCAAGAAGACTGTTAGCGCCAGCAACGATCCGGACGTGAAGAAGATATTCTCCAAAGCCGCCCTGGACGCCATCGAGGATGACCATCGCCAACGAGGAATGCAGGGCCACGCATTCGGACCAGCCGAGAGCTTTTATGTGGTACAGACAGGTGGAGGGACATACTCGTATGCGGATATTGCAAAAGCACAGCAACAGCAACTTGGAGGCATCGATGAAGATGACGAGGAGGCTTTCGTAGATGCACGAGAAGCCCAAGCCCCGCCTTCACCTCGCCATAGTCGACATTCATCGCAAGGAGGCAGGAACTCGTTTGGGAAGAACGCTACTCACGAGGAGCTGGAGTTACAAAACGCCACTCTGAAGGCGACCTTGGAGAAGCTTGCCACCCGCCTGGCGGATTTCGAATCACATGCGCAGGACGCATCCATGGCTGCTCTTACTCAAAGCATGGCAAGTATCGGTACTCAAGGAGGACAGCAGGGAGGAGGCTCCGATCCTGCGCTGGCTGAGCGATTGAGACAGCTCGAGCAGCAGTTGGAGCAGCAGACTGAGGAGCGGACTAGACTGCAGAATCTGGCAGCGAAGCAAGAGAAGACGCTGAAGCAGTACAAGAGTAAATGGGATGATATCAAGAAGAGTGCGAGAGAGAAGGAGAGAGCGAAGAAGGAAAAGGGTGAAAAGCTCGGCGAAGAGCAAGGTCCAACTGCCGAGCCGGACGCCTCGAAGATTCAACCTAACGGTACATGACAGTATTGCCGAATGCGTATGAGAACTGAGAATCACGGGCTTCGAGTCGCCAGTGATATTCTCCGTAACACATGCTTTGGGTGAGTCGTTACGCCTGAATCCGGCCACCATCGTCACGTGGTAATCTGTTACTTCACTAGGTGAAGTCGTGGAAGACACATCTCATCTTCGCAGGCACCACTCCACATAGGCCGACAGATGTACTCTTTGGTTCTTCAGGACTTCATCTTTCTCTATCGACCCCACCACACTGCCCTTGACCTCACACAAAGACACACTCACCACCAAAGCGCAACATGAGCGCCTCCGAGGACTCCCAAGCCGACCGCCACTACGAACGATTGGAGGAGACTCGTCGGCGAGCAATCAAAATCGAGAACGAAATCAATCGCGCTCTCGGACAAGCTAAATCTCGCGAAGGTCTCGAAGAGGCGCTCACGATTGCGCTTCAGTTCCAATCGGTCTTGATCGAGTTGAACAGACGAGAGGCGGAAAGGTGTTATCAGGAGGTTCACGTCGATAAGCTGATAAAGCTCGAGGCACAGAAGCAATTGAAGAGACTGCAGAAAGAGGAGCTGGTACAGGGAGTCGAGAGACGGAAGCAGCTCAAGAAACAGGAGCCTCGACACTGATTTTAAGATCACGTTCCCGCCACCGACGTGTGATTAATGAGGACCGAGAGCGACTCGAGCGGCGATAGCAACGACAGGTCTCTCGCCATCTGTATTTGGTTCGTGTTCTCTTTCTCGAGCTCGCCAAGCTCGGAATCAACCTCATCACTGCTTTTACGGTCGACTGAATACACAGTCAATTTGCAGAGATTCCACCCCTGGATCGTCGCACACATTTTGGAAAAGCCGCCTATTTCCTGGGCGACACCACAACGGTCACAACATAGTGTGTGAAAGCGGCAGTCACATCGTAGACGTGATTTTTTACCGTGACCGTCACATCCGTCACATGCAAACGCAACATTCACATTAGGAGGTCAGAAAGCTTACTCATTTGTTTGACAAACGAGGCTTCCTCATTCGAAACTCCACCTCCCGCCGCTTCTCAGCACACATCGACACATCAACAAAATACAGCACAACACAGTACAACAAAACAAAACACTACACTACATCGAACTTCCAGTGTTACTTTGTCCCAAGCATACAACAACCACACCATTTCTTCCACATGGATCCCTCACAATACTACAACAACTACATGCGCGACCGAGAAGCCAACCTCCGCAAGGAAAGCGCACAACTCGAGGACTGCTATGGACAATACCTCGACATCCGAACGGCGAAACTGCGAGAGCAGAAGGAGATATGGGAAGTGCTCGACAAAGTCACCGGCGAGCGTCTTGGTGTTGGCGAGCAACTGGAGGGCGCATTGATGGAGCAGAACGAGTGTCTCCAGCGTCAACACCTCGAGCTTCTTGAGCTTCGCGCACAGCTGCGGCTCGGTAGTGGGAGTTGGCCAGCTTCGCCGGGGTTGATGAGGCGTATTGGGCGACAGGTGCTGGTTGGATTCCTGCTTCTCTCTCTGGTCTATACCCTGATGATGTTGAACGTCATGCTCATCGGGGCGCTCGCGGCTGCATGGCACATTTTGACGCCGTCTTGGTGGGTGGTGGATCCGTACCCGCCAATTGACTCGGTGCTCTGGGCTGTTCTCTTCGTCTGCCATCGCCGAAGTCGCTTGGTGGTGTTCGTGGCGTTTGGGATTGCGCTTCTGGTGTTGATCTCTGCGGGTATGGTCTGGCAGGTGATGGAGGTGGTGAGGAGCTGATGAGACCATCGAATTGGAGGCTGGAGGAGTTCAAAAAAGGGCCTGTGCCACAGTAGAGAAGCTTGGGGACGATGAAGCTATGACTGTCAGCCTACTGAAGGTGGAATTCAGCCAGAGAATTGGTCTTGGGCGTGTCCATCTCTTGATATCAAGAGGGAGAGCTGGCGTCAAACACGCATCCATTGCGGGCATCCAGGGGCTTCTTAGCCGCGCGCTCTACCGGTGCATGGGATGCAAAAGTCATAACACCTTGAAGCAATTGATGAAGCCCTGAACTACAGCACGTCTTCTGATTCTTGACATTCTCCACATATGTACACTCTCTTTCAATGCAGCTCCCTGACCTTAATAAAGCGCCTCATAACTCCGTTCGCATCTTGCTATGCCGCTCTGCTCGCTCGTTCGTAGCTCAGTCGTCGTAGCCGGAAGGTATTTGTCGGGGTCCTCTTGGGACTGCGGCGAGTATTCAGGTTAGCTGACCTTGGCTGCGCACTTCCACACCAAATGGTTTACGTACTTGGATATGTGAGAGGGATTTGCGGTCTCTTCTTGTCGCCTAGTCGCTCTCGAATCGGTGGTACAACGACCTGTTGCAAAATCATATCAGCTCTTGACCTTCCTCCCAAAGCTCTGTTCCTCCACTACGCACCAGGAAAACAGGTCCCATGCTGCCAACGACAATCGACCAGAAGATGGCAGGTTTTGCGCGCGCTGCCCAGTGAATATAGCTGCCGGGTGCTGACCAGAATGACACAGGCGCCATGTTGAAGCTCGTCGCGGTCTCGTGGAATCGTAGAAGGAAAGTGGTGGTCAATCGTGTGTTTGGTGATGCAGATGTGCCCAATGGACAGGTGAGGTCGCTTGACTGGCCGATTAAGGTTCGGGAGAGAGCGGGCGGTCTCCGCAGAGCTGCAGGGTCGACGCGGCTTGGCAAGTGACAACGTAGCCATTAGCTTTCAATGCTCAGTTGATCAGAGACACCTTTTGGTCAATCCATTGTCAAGATGAGATTACCGTTGTTGGGCCTGCTATTAGGCCTCTTGTCGTTTGTGTCGGCCTTGTCAGCTTCCGGCAGCAAGCTGCTGGTTGTGATCGAAGATGAGGCCGACAAGGGCAAGTACTCGCAGTTCTGGACCGACCTTGAGAGTAAGGCTATCACGAGACATTGGATGAAGACAACGATGTGTTGACACATGGTACAGACAGAGGCTTTCAAATAACGTACCGATCGCCAAAAGACGCCTCCCTCTCCCTCTTCCTCCACGGCGAACCAGCGTACTCCCACCTACTACTCCTCCCCGTCAGAGCGAAAGGACTGGGCCCAGCTCTCACCCCGAACCTCCTCGTCGACTTTGTCAACGGCGGCTCCAACATCCTTCTCGCACTCTCTGGTGAACAGAGCGTCCCTAGCGCGATCAGCAGTCTGCTACTCGAATTGGACATCAACCTGCCGGCTGACAGGACGAGCTTGGTCGTTGATCACTTCAACTACGATTCTAAGAGCGCGGCTGAGAAGCATGAAGTGGTCTTACTCCCAAGCCCAGTGTTGAAGCAGGGCGTCAAGAATTACTTCAGCGTGGATGGCTTGATTGCTTTCCCACGGGCTGTTGGACAAGTCTTGGGTAACGCTTCTCCGCTGCTCGCTTCGGTGGTGAAGGCGCCATCAACAGCATACGTCTACAACCCCAAGGAGGAAGGCGAGAGTGTCGAAGATCCATTCGCGACTGGCTCTCAGATCAACATTGTCTCGGCGTTCCAGGCCCGCAACAGCGCTCGCTTCACCGTCCTGGGCAGCGCAGAAGCATTGGAAGACAAATGGTTCGGTGCATCTGTCCAGCTTCCAGTCCCTGGCTCAAAGGCTGAAAAGTCAAGCAACAAGGCGTTTGCGCAGAAGCTGTCTGCCTGGACATTCAAAGAGCTTGGTGTGTTGAATGTTGGACAGATCCAGCATTACCTCAATGAGGGATCGCAGAAGGGCATCAGCAATACCAGCGAGGTTGCGTCGATCGATGTGAACCCCGAAATCTATTGCATCAAGAACGATGTGCACTACTCTATCGAACTTTCAGAGTGGGAGATTGACCATTGGGCACCATTCTCCCCACCTGAGGGCGACAGTCTCCAGCTGGAGTTCAGCATGCTGTCACCTTTCCACAGACTGAACCTGCAGCCGAAAGCACAGACCGCCAACAGCACTATCTATACGACTGAGTTCAAGCTGCCAGACCAGCACGGTACGTTACTGTCATGGAGGACATAATGTCGTAAACCATCCACTAACGAGTCAAATTGCAGGCATCTTCAACTTTTTTGTCGAATACCGACGACCTTTCCTTACCAACGTCGAAGAGAAGCGTACGGTCACCGTACGACATTTCGCACACGACGAATGGCCAAGATCGTTCGTCATTTCAGGCGCCTGGCCATGGATCAGTGGCATCTGGGTGACTGTCGGCGGCTGGATTGTATTTGTTGCGCTCTGGCTTTACAGCAAGCCTGCGGAGCCAAAGGTGAAGACTAGATGAGTAAGCGGCAGCATCAAGAGTGCGCCCAGAATATGTATGTATCATGTACTGCTAAATGAGGATAGAAAAAAGCGAAAATCGGCCTCAGTGACTACCACCATTTCGTGATTACATTGTGGCTTCAAGACTGGATGCTGTTCTCACCATATGGTTGCCCTCGCTGCAATTGCTGAGAGAGGATTGGCTGTGGGGAACAATTGATCGATCGCAGCTGTCCCATTCGACTTTCCGAGCATCATTCCAGCAAATTTGAAATCTCTATATTTTCTTTTCTTGAGGACAACGAAGGCATGCATACGACAAGAACATGCTAACAATACCAATAAGTTCTTGCTTGACGGAAATGGCTACCAAATAGGCACGAATCGAGTCGCTATCGCATCTGCACGTGGTTTGGTTGGTGACGCCAGCCGAGGCACCTCGGACGAGTTGACTTGTCTGAGGTGAGGTCGTACAGAAAGCTTCCAGACTCCGCTCATTGGCAGACATATCACGTCTTCAGGCTGACACAAATTAGGACAGCATCCTTACAATCTATAAGCTGATCCCTCAGACCTCACTGTTGCCAACACACATTCAACACTTGCTCCTACACTTCTGCAACCAACATGCCGGGAATCCTCACCATGCAGCCCGTGAAGGGCATCTGGACTCTTCTGGCGGTGGCCATCAATCTGGCAAGATTCCCCCTCTGGATCCTCTATTACATTCCTCCATTCTTGCGACCACATCCGAAGTGGTCTTTGAGGCAATGTATCCAAGTGCAAATCGTCAAGAACTTCCTCTGGAATGCCGCGCTGGTCGAAATGAAGACTCCTCTTTCCCTTGCTCCCCAGGCCGAGAAGGAGAGATGGGAGGTTGTACAGCCAGCCGACAAGGCACTGTACGTCAAGGTCGCAGCATCTGACCCTGAGATCCGCCCTGGTGCTGTTGGCGGTACCTGGTATCCCGCGAAGCCGTCAGTACCTGGCAAGCCTGGAATAGTGATCTGCCACTTCCACGGAGGCGCATACGTGATCGGAGACGGACGCACTAAGGATGCTGGTTTCGCCGCAAAGACGTTGATCGCCAACTCCGATGCCACGCACGTCTTCGCCCCTCAGTACCGTCTATCCTCGAACCCAGGCAACCAATTCCCTGCTGCTCTTCAGGATGCCATCTCCGCGTATGCCTATCTCGTCAAGAAGGAGGGCATCGCAGCAAACAGGATCGTCCTTTCGGGAGACAGCGCTGGCGCCAATCTCGCTCTTTCGCTCACTAAATACCTGACTGAGAACGGCTCTTCCATCGGTTTGGACACGCCACTCGCCACCCTCCTCTGGTCTCCATGGGTCTCCCCAGGCCGCTCCGTCACAACCGAGGCCTTCAACTCGAGTCCTAACGTCAGCACTGACTACATCACCGCTGAGTTCGGCAGATGGGGCGCCTTGACGTACCGACCCAGCCCACGAAGCGGCCTCACTCTGGAAGACCCATACATCCACTTCACCGGCAACCCCTTCAGGACCCCTGTCCCGATCTATGTCTCGACTGGAGAATGTGAGGTTTTGTTCCATGACGATGTGAAGCTTGCGGAGGAGTTCAAGGCGGTGGCGGGCAACAAGGTTGAGTTGCAGATCGAGGAGTACTCTGTGCATGACACGATCCTTGCTGGTCCTTTGTTGGGTTTTGAGAAGGAGGCACAGCAGGCGGCGAAGAGGGCTGGAAAGTGGTTGAGGACGATTTCTTGAGCGGTGGCCTAAGCAGTGAACGGACACAGTGGTTGGAAAGCTGAAGGTCAGCACCTTGGAACAACAATATGCTGAGGAAGAAGCTCATGTAAGATAAATGCCCACTCAGAGATCATAAATCCAGACTATAGGAGTGGTCTCCAAATGAAAGCAGAGCACGTCACAACAAGTCCTTCGACCGCGACCACTTACATGGCTACTCTAACGTTCGACCTCTGCAAACTCCTGCCAATCCTTACCAGCGGTCATTATCTTGTTCGTGGCGAAGGATATCTCAATCGACCTCTTGGCGAGCACCTTCACCCTCTCATGGAAAGCCGCCATATTCTCCTCACTCCATCCGTCTTTCTCGAGAGTCCGACAGAGATCAGCAGCAGTCTGAACAGCCGTACTGCCACCAAGACCGCCTTGAGGTGTCATGGGGTTCGCGGAGTCACCTATGAGGATCACAGAGCCCTTGCCGTTGGAGACGTCGCCGATATCTGGCTTGCTGGAGTATATCCTGGTGCCGACTGCCAGGTTCCAATCTGCGTATTCGAAGAGTGGGAGGAACTTTAGATGCCAGCCTTTTGTGTGCTCGGATATATACGCTTTCAGTTCGTCTGGTGTTCGAGGGGCATTACTCTCTGGTGCTTCCGTTGCAAATGCCCAGTAGAGATAGTCCTCTGTATCGGGTAGCCTGCCGCCCGACAATTTGCTCATGTTATCTCGCCACAGAATCGGCTCGAGAACGACGTTGTTCTTTCGAGATTCTTGATCTAAGGCAACGAGCCACGTGTTGGCTTCCGGACTATATTCCTCAGCGAATCTGGGTGTGATCCAAGTCCGTCCCCAAATAATCTGGCGCTCCATATCGAGGAGTTTACGGTCTGGCTGGAGTTGACGACGTACTTTGCTCCGGACCCCGTCTGCTCCCACGAGCAGACAGCCTGTCACGGAGATGCTGTCGGAAAAGTGGACCCGGACCCCTGATGGGAGTATCTCGTAAGAAAGAAAGGTCTTCCCGCGGTGAATCTTGTCCTCGATCCCAAGTGCCAGGAGCTGCAAGATCCATGTCCTAACAATCAATCAGCCTCAATCGACCGACTGCTGCAACAAACCCACCGATCAATCGGCAACGGTCCTTTCCCAGTCGGCTCCGGCCTTGACGGCAGCGGCATCTCCTCTAACGTCCTCGCATCACGAATCTTGGGAGCCTTGCTGATCAACCTCGGAAAAGTCTTCTCAAACAGATCGCCTAGCTCAGGCGATATTGTCTCCAGCAAGGCGTCGATGCCCGCCTCATCGAGTCTGAATCTGTGTCCGTAAGGCCGTGTTGAGAGCTCGTCTTGCTCGAAGACGAGGAAAGGGATTTTTCGGACGTGCAGACCTTGGGCAAGAGCTAGCCCTGCGAAACCGGCCCCCATTATGATGACGGGGTTGGAGTCGGTCCAGGGGAACTTTGGGGACGACATTTTGCCCGATCTGAGGGGAGTTGAATGGGATACATCTTTCCTGCACCTCAAGTCGAACCTTTTGTATTTCTGGGTCTCGAGTCTTCAAGAGAGTAGAGCGATGTGATTTTTTAGCGTTTGCTGCCGCTTGTCCTGCTTTCGTATCTGGGCTGGATGAGCGATTGCCTTTTCTGGTCTGCGGCTGGGTGAGGTCATGGCAAGATGGAGTACACATCATAAGATGCAATGCTCATTATCCTCAGTGACAACTGTTGGAACGTCAAGTTGCGAGGAATGGAGCCCTTTCGATCCATGAAATGAAAAACTTCGAGAGCCGATTCGACTGGGAGGGTAAAGTGGACATGCCCTTGATAGGGTGGTGGGATGCCGACTCCGGAGGCCCACGGCGACTCGACCTGCTGTATCGTTCTCAGTATCCCAGTCGAGAGTGCATACAGTCAAAGGAGAGATGTGCCCTGGGAGCGCCAGAACTCAGACATGAGAACCTGTCTGTTGCAACCACTTTTGGCTATCTTGGCGGCCTACCGACATGGCTTATGCAGAAGGTTCCTCCAGCATGGTCGTGCCTTCGATTCGACATCCTCGACTATAACTGGCAAGTCTGCTGAACAATCGCAATGTTGCTGGCCTGAGCCAAAATTGTCAACTACTGCCAACAAAGCCAAGCCAAAGCTGAGAAGCACAAGCAGGACTTGACTCGCTTGACATACAGTCATACAAGCTTATCTCTTGCACAACACCCGGCTGTCAGTCTTCTCAGATCGGATCTTCGACCGTTCCGAAGCCCTTTCTGCATGCCGAGTCGCTCTGGTGCTTTAGCTTCGCGAATAGAGCCTTCAGAACTTCTCGAAGAGCGCGTAAACCGGTTTACAACGAATACGATGTGCTGTACATGTTCGGCAGTTCCAGCGACATCCTGTTATAGTACCATGGATCAATATCCGGATCCTACCGTACACGTGCAGTCCGGCATCCTGTGTTGGAAGAGCCCAAGTTCCAGCGCACGTGACATGTCCTGATCAAGAAGGAGGAGCTTGGCGTCTGGCTCTGTGATTGGTCGACAGATTTAAGCATCCTACGGCACAGCTCAACGGCCCCCCATGCATTGTCCGAAGCTGACTCCGCCGCACTTCTTGTTCTATCCTTGCACACACACGCAGAATGCGTTCCACCAAACAGGTCGACGATCAATACGCAATGGCCTCACTTGTTGCTCGCAAAGACAGCGACGGCGCCGTATGGGTTTGGCTGCGTTGTCTATTGTTACCAGCAAGGCCATGGCGGCCTGAGAACCTCACTGCAGACGATGACAGGCTGACCATGGCTCAGAAGTTGTATAAGAACTTGCCATGCTTCTCGCAAAAGTCAAGACATCTCCCAGCAAGCAACACAAGCAACGCACAAGCGAAGCCAAATTTTTCCTTGGGCCTCTCTTACCGTCTTATTCCTTGAGCCATTCGTTTTCGACCGCTCTCCTTCTTCTCGCTTTTAATATATACCCAGCCGCAGTCACTGCATTCAATCCCGGCCGTCCCACGTTACACAACATAGTACACACGGAAGCACCATGATCGCGTTCAACTCGCTCGCACTACTCTCTCTTGCCGCTGCCGGTACTCTCGCCGCCCCGGCTTGGGGAAGCAGCCAGTGCATGACGGACGATCAAGCTAATGTGGTGGCTGAAAAGTACGGCGAGCTCATCGCCAGCTACACCGACGAACTCGCCAACGCCATCCTCACGGAAGACTTCACCGACTACTCAGAGGGTGTGAACACACTCATCAACACCTGTCCGCAGGGCAGTGCGGCGATGACTCTTCCGCTGCTTGCCCCCACTTTCACCAGCCGCGAGCAATTCGAGATTGGTCAAGGTCAGCAGCCTCATATCAACTTCAAGCAGTTGAACCTGTGGAACGCTTGCAGCTCCGTCATCATCCGATGGGAGACGACCAACACCGCCAACATCACCGATGTCAAGCCAGTCATCGGCCTCATCGTCATGGACACGGTGAAAGCACCAGCCGGTAGCCAGTACCCATTCCTCATCACCCGCGTCTACAGCGAGTTCGACGCCGGCGCTTGGCTCCAAAATCTCCAGGAAGCTGGAATCTGCCCCAAGACAGACTGCGGACCTGACGGACCTGCCCCTGGCACTCCAGCTCCTGCACCAGGTCAGCCTCAGCCTAACAACCCAGCACCTCAGCCGGGACAGAGCCAACCACAACCAGCACCAGGCAACCCTCAGCCGAACCCTGCTCCAGCGCCACAGCAGCCGCACTCTGAGTCGTGGTCGGCCTCTCGCTCAGAGCAGACCTGGAGTACTGTTGTACCTCCGCCAGTGCACACCACCACTACTTGGGGCAACCATACTACTACAGCATGGACAAAGACTACCCCAACAACAAGCCCATCTAGCTCGTGGTCCACTCCATCGGCATGGTCGAACAGCACCTCCTCTTCCACTACCTGGTCGAGCAGCGTCCCTATCACCACCGTCTGGACGACCAGCACGACGACTACGAGCTGCGATGAGTCGTCAAGCACGAGCTGGTCTGCGCCGAGCAGCTACAGTGCCGGTAACTGGTAAAGCAACACAGCCATGTGAATGGGGCATTATGGACTTGAAGCGTTGGCGTTTGTTGGGTTTCTGTTTCTTTCCACTGGGAGATTTCGTATGAGTGCATGACTGGTCATCTGGTTGGGTGTATAGACTCTGGCGGTGATGTTTGATGTTTAATGTGTTTCGTATTTGCATGAAGTCATGGGTGTAGCCCTTTCGATAGATGGGCTACTCGAGTAATGAGAACAGACCATATCTATATATTTACGCCTTTCAAATAAGAGTTGTCTTCTTCGTTGACCATTTTGCTTACAAGAAATAGTCTCGACAGAAGAGCATCTCGGTCTTTCGGGCCGTCTCGGCGCGAGAGGAACGTGCATGGGGGCTGACATTCGTGGAGAAACCTCACCTTCTCCACATCCACCCCCAAACTCTCCAGGACAATCCCCTCTCTTCAACACGACAGCCTCCAAGACATCATTGCCTTTCTGAGAGTGCGAAGACGTCGCCCGGTTCGGCTCCACCTTGTAGACCGAGTTCTTTAACAATGAGGGAAGTATTGTTACCCTTTTTCTTGCTGCTCTCTCATCCACCTTGAACACAGGCATCATCGAGAAGAGAAAAAAACACCATGCCTAAGAAATCCACCTTCCTCACCGCCAGCGCCCTCATAGCAGAAGCCAGCGCAACACCCAACACCGCAATGCCCCTCTCAATCCCCCAAACACCACCCATCGGCGCCTCCATCTCCCACTCCCCCTCCTACACCTCCTTCTCCTTCGAACCCGCCTTCTGGGTCGAATTCTTCGGCAACGCCACCACCCCCAACACCTTCACCTTCGCCGCGCTCAACACCCTTGTCCAACACGGCCTGCGCCCGCGGATCCGTCCCGGTGGAATTACAATGGACAGCATGATTTTCTCTGCCGACGCTGGGAACCCCGTGCGGACGACGAACGCGAACGGAGGCGTGTATCGTACGACCGTAGGACCGGCGTATTATGAGAGCTGGTCGAATTTCCCCAATGGAACGGAATTTGTCTCGACGCTGAATTTCGGGAACGATAGTCTGGATATCGCGAGGGGGTTGACGGTGGCGTCCGTGGAGTATCAGGGGGAGCATATTAAGTTCTTTGAGTTGGGGAATGAGCCGACGAATTATGATCCGGAGCGGTGGGGGAATTCGACGCAGAACTACATTTCCCAATGGCAGAACTGGACGGCGGAAATCGATGCGGCGACGAAGAATGCTAGTTATGGGAACTGGTGGGCTTCGTCTGCGACGACGGATGCGACGCCCCTGCATGTCCGACCTGCAGACTTGATTCCCCTTGGAATCGACTCTGGCAACGAAGTAGCCCAATATAGCATCCACTCCTACGCCTTCGCGACCTGCGATCCTGCCCGCGCCGCCCTCGCCACGACGCAGAACATCCTCAACCACACCGGCCTCGTCGAGTACGCCGACACGGAAATCTACCCCTCCGCCAAAGCCGCCCTCGACGCCGGGAGCGAATGGATCATCGGCGAGTTCAACTCGATAGCCTGCAGCGGGAACCCCAACGTCAGCGACACCTTCGCGCAGGCGCTCTGGGAAATCGACACGGAACTCATCTACGCCGTGCGCAACGCCAGCGCGACGTACCTCCACCAAGGCGCCACGTTGGTCTTCCAGTCGAACCAGCAGACCAACTCGGCGGGTGATGATGGCAGTCCCGGGTTCTCGACGTACGATATGCTCTACCCCATCACGACGTCCAAACGCGGCGCGCAGAGAACACTGCCAGGTTTCTCCGGCTTGCTCTTCCTCGCTGAAGCCTTCGCCGTCGAAGGGACACGCATCGCCGCTTTGGAAACACCAGCGGGATTGAGTTCAGACCACTTCTCCGCCTACGCATTCTACCACAACGATCGCCTGACGAAACTCGCTGTCCTGAACCTCACACCTTACTACGCCAACTCGACCTCAGACTTCACGGCATCCTTCGACATCGCCCAGCTCGGCGCCCAAACGTACCCTCGCCACTTCCCGGGCCATCCACAAAACTCACAGGCGACTATCAAACGCCTCACAGCCCTGCACGTCGATGAGAAGGACTCGGCGAAAGTCACCTGGGCGGGACAATCGTTCAACGGGGGAGTCGCGGCTGGGGATGTGGCGACTGAGAGGGTCGGTGCGGATGGGGTTGTTAGTGTGAGGGGGAGTGAGGCCGTGCTCGTCTTCTTTGATGATGATGAGGGAGGGAAGCAATGGGGTGGTCCTGGTGGTTGGTGGCCTTGGGGCGGACGAGGAGGAGGAGGGTGGAGAAAGGGAAAGGGATGGTAGGTAGATTTTTTTTTAAGAATAATGTTCAACGTTCAAATGACTCGATATATACTACAATCCCATCCTATTTCCCATTTCCTATGCTTTCACCCTGCTCTGCCCTGTGTGTAAGGCGTTCGTTCCCCTTCCCATTTCTATACGTACGTTTGAGAAGCCACTCTCTCATCTGGTATGACCCTTGATGTCGCCTGACCCACCACCGCCGCGCCATCGCTATAGACAAAGTTTCGAAGCCAAAAAATTACACACTAGATGTAGTACAAAAGACAACAAATCGAAGAGAAAAACCAGTTGCTTGCAGTCAGTCAATCCTTCCTTCACTCCTGTCCCTGTCTCTGTCATGTCTGTTGGCGTCGTGATGTCTCCGTCCGTCCGATTCCGAAAAACGAGTACTTCCCGCCATTGTCGACTTTTTCCCATTCCCATTCCCATTCCAAAAAAAAAATCTTCAGAAAACGCCCTCGAACAAAACCAAAAACCCCCACAACTCTTTCCTTCCCATTCATTCAATTCCTTTATATCCACCCACTCTGTACAAGCTCCCGTCCAATTAACTCCAATTGCCCCTGCTCGCTCGTCCGCCTCCTCTCCAACACCCATCTCGGCTTCCCACTCCCCTCCGGATTCGGCTCTCTCACATACGTCACGGAATCCGCACCGCTGCCCTTCCTCGAATGGCCTTGCATCACACTCGCATTCGAGTCCCTTTGTGTGGGAGGGACTTTGCGCGCTGTGGGAGGATCCTGTTGTTGTTGCTGCGAATGATTGTTCCTCTTCGGTGTCGCATCCGGGTCCACGGAGAAGGGCATGCCTTGGCTCGAACCTGCGGATTGTGGCGAGTCTTGGAAGTTGAAGCCGTGTTGGCCGCCGATCGTGATGGGGTGGCCGCTGTTGGGGTTGGATGAGCCGCTCGAGTCGTTGCTGTATGCGAATTGCATGGGCACGCCGCCGAAGTATCCTTGTCCTGGTCGAGTGCCTTGGGCTGGGCTGAAGGTGTTCTGTAGAGACTGTGAGCTTGAGCGGTTGCTGTTGCTTTTCAGGCTGCCACTTTGACTACCACCCCCCGCAAAGGCGTTCGCTTTGAGCCGTCGCAGTTCGTCGAAGGATGTCACTTCGCTTTCGATTAGAGGCGTGACTGGCATGCGCGCCAGAGCTGGTGAGTGAGGACCGTAGGGACCAGCGCTGGCGGGGCCGAACTGTCCATTGGCTCCAAAACCAATGAAGCTGTTCCTGGTACTGAACTCAGATCGTTCAGTGATGGGCGTCAAATTAGGTTCCTTCAGGCTCTTATTCCTCGTCAGACCATCGTCACCATCTTCACCGAAGTATCCACCATTCACAGATTCCAGGTCTCCTGAGTTGGCGCGAGGCCTGCGGTAGAAATCGAATTCTTGTCCATAAAAACCGTCTTCATCCAGAGCCAGCGCTTCGGCGTTAGCGGCAGCGACAAGATCGTCGTCGTTGCCGAACCCATCATAAAGGTCATCGTCATGCTCGGGCTGGTCGAAGCCAAAATCGAAGCTCATCTTCGGTGGGCTGTAGTTTGTCAGATGCGTCAAGTGAGAGACGTTAGTATCACTGCGCCCCAGATGTCCGTTGCTGTCGCTGTTGGCGTCGTTATGAGGCATAGCAATTTCCCCGCCTTCTTCACCATTGGAGTACACACTTTTGTCGTCCTTGATGCTCCGATCATCTGGCAACATCAGTGTCTTCGGCTCGACCGCGAGATTCTGGGTAGTCGATACGCTAATGCTCGGGGCACGCACAAATCGTCCGTCTGCTGCAGCTTTCGTCGCTGCATCGGCCAATGCTGCGTGATAGCTGTGCAGACTTTGTTGCATTCGTGAGAAGGCTTCCGTGTTCGACTCCGGAACAGGGACAGGCGGCACCCTATCGCTCATGCCTAATCGCTTGGCATCCTCAGATGGATTGCGTTGGGGTATGAATCGAGGATCGAATTGATCATGCAAGGGCAGATCTTCAAGCCCCATCTGCGAGTACCTCGCGCTCGCCCTGGCTGCATTCGGCATCGCAAAGGACGGATATGGCCCATCACTCCCTAGGCTTGTCATTGTCATGCCACTGTTGTCTCGCTGGTGTTGGTAACGGTTGACGAAGCCCGGGCGAGACACGAAGGCATCGTCGTCGAAGACATTCTCGTCGAAGCTGGCGCCGTGAGATCCATTGATATCGTGCTCAAAGTTTCCATCATCAAAGTACATGTCATCATCCTCGGCATATGCAATACTTGGCCTGGCATACTGGAAGTTCGGGTTCATCGAAGTCCTTGCAGAAGCTGGCCCGCTGTCCTGATCTTGTGGTAGGTTCGTGTCTTGACTTTCACCCGAGACATGATATGTAGGCACGGTAACACGACTTGGCGACCCAAGAGTGGGCGAGGTGTGTTTCTGGAGGTCGCTCCAATCTCCACGAGGCGCGGATTGGCTTTCGTTGGGCTTGTGAAGGGCTTTCCCAAAGGTACTCTGCTGAGTAGAGGAAGTGTCACGCTGGCTGCTGTAAAGGCTGGAGGGTCCATCGTCAAAGTCAAAGCCGCCGAAAGAGCTCATCCCAAGAGCAGTAGAGACAGTGCGATCGTTTTGACCTGCAGTTGATAGACTGAGGAACCTTTGATGATCAGGCTGTGTCGTTGTAGCCTGCTGCTGCACACTTGCAGATTTGGCATGTGCGAATGCAGAATTCCTTGGGCTGATGCCACTTGCCGCGCTTGCTGTTTTGTTGTGCTTGGACTTGCTCGGTAGATCTGGCAGAGGGCCTGCTCGATCTTCAAACTCAAAACCCCCAAACATACTCATCCCCATGGCGGTGGACACTGTTCGCGGACTGCTGGCAGTACTGCTAGGGCTGCCAAGTGCACGCGGGTTGGATGATTGGCTTTGCTGTGGACTGGCAGGGGTTTGCGCGATGCCTGCAACAGGACGAGCTGAATCTTTGGCCAAATCTTCACTGGACGTGATCTGAGTCGTCGGCAAGGGCGGCTGTTCGTCGAAATCGAAGCCGGCGAACATGCTGAGACCAAGACCGGTGGATACCGTCCGGGGGCTGCTAGCTTTACTTGACGGGCTGAGCGTGGCGTTTGGATCTCCATGGCTGGTCGCAGGCGGCGTTACGGGTCTCAAAGCTCTGTGTTCAGGAGCGGACGGGCTGCTTAATCCACTCTGTGCAAAGTCTTCGAAACTCATCCCACTTTCCGTAGATCTGTGTCCGAATCTGCTTTGTGGCGGTGATCCGAGGCTCAGTGCTCCCACAGAACCATTCCTTCTGCCATCACTGTATATGCTGGCTTTGGACTGCTTCCGCGGGTGTTCTTCGTCTTGCTCAAGCTCATGTGTCGGTGAGGCTAGACTGATCCCTGCAGCAGAGTTGTTGCGCTCGTAATCTTGCTGGCCCAGGTTTTTGGTCGGAGAGGCCAAGCTGATAGCGTCGATCGAGTCACTATGGCCATGCCCCAACACATTTCTCGGAGGCGATGCTAGACTTATCTCATCATGAGACAAGGTTCTCTCAACGCCGAGCGGACTGTACGTGCTCCTGTTTGGCGAAGCAAGACTTAGAACGTCTGGGTCATCGTCATCGGTACTCCCGGCTGGCTTCGTAGCTTCGTGTTTAGCTGGAGAAGCCAGGCTGATGGCATCTTCGTCTTCGTCCAAGGTCTCTGTCCGCCCACGGTCTTTCTCCACGTCCGGGGACGACCTTCGCTGTCGCTGATCGGTCGTATCTGAGGTAGAGAGACTCATCGCACTAGGAACGCGAGTGCTCTCGCTGACTCCGCTGTCCCTATTTCGGAACGGAGGACTATCCTCGACATGAGTTGAAGACTTCGCAGCCTGTGACTGCCTGTACAGCGGATTAGTAGCGATATTTTTCTGAGGCGACTGAGCATCATCTGTATTCACGGTTGAATAGCTCATACCGCTGATGACATGCTCTCTGTCAGGATTCTCTATGCCCTGGTTGAGCAAGAGGCTCTCTTCCGAGCTGGACGCACTGCCGGGTTGAATGACTGTCATGCCACTGGCGACTCTGTTCTGCTCGCTGTTCCCACTGTCTCGAGGTGGGACCAACCGTTTCTCGGAATGTGGTGAAGCGGTTGGAGTGTCCACAGCAGTGCTCGGTTGCAGATAAAAATTTGATCGCGGTCTCGAGGAGCGATTTGCGCCTGTAACTCCGTCGGTAGGAGCAAGATGCTCCTGCGTGGACGAGGTGTCTCCGGTTGCGTCGGAGTTCTGGCTATGCATTCGCGAATGGGTAGGCATAAAGTACGAGTCACGCATGTAGTGATCGATGGTGCTCCCTCGCCAATATCCATCCGGCGTACCCATTTGATAAGAGTTACGTTGGGAGTAGCTGCCCAGGGCCGAGTGTGTACGAAAGGCTGGGTGATCCGGATAAGGTACGTCCTCTTCGTTGGTCACTTCAGGAATGTCGTCGTCGTACACGGATTCATCATCACTATACGAGTCTTGTTGGAGAGCTTGACGAGCCTGCTGCAAGTAGAGTCCGCTCTGGGAAGGTGGCATGGGTTCCATCGGTTTGACAGGCTCTCCAAATTTTTCAGCCTCCATCTCCATTTCATCCATGTCATCCATAGCATCAGCGTCAAAATCATCGTCGTCGTCTTCATCGTCTGGCGTAGGACCTCGGGGAATCATTTCAGTCATTTGACTCTTCCGCAGCGCACGATGCTTTTCTTCAAGTGCTTGCTCTTGCAACGCGCTCTCGCTTCCCGGCTGGAAAGAAAACCTGGAAGCATTGCTAGCGTGATGTTTTGGTACGTTGGAACTTTTCCTCGAATGGCCGACCGCAGACGTGCGCTTTTCGACCAATTTTGGCGAATCCTTATTCGGCTTGAACTGGATCGACTCCACCAACTCTGGCTCGGGGGTCTTCTCTGGGGTGGGAATGCCTGCTGTTCTTTCCAGCAAGGATGGCGAGGCCGATGAATCGTCGGCTTTGCCAGGAGTATGTGCGCCTGGGGGCTGCAACGCATCCGGCTCAGGACCCGAATTGGCCGAATGTCGAATGGAGATTCCTCGTGTCAAGATCTGTGGAGAATGAGTGGAGGCACCATCGATCGGTGAGCTCTCGACAGAGCCTTCGGCGATGGTATTGATCACTGGAGGAGCCAGAACAACAGAATACGGCCGTGCAGTGACTTCACTCGCTCCCTTGGAGCGCCTCTCTTGAGAAGATGTTTTTGTTAGTTGTGACACCGGCCTCTTCCCACTATCCTGCGAGTCACTCTTGCTACTGGCTTCCGAGACAGGGCGCACGGATGAGGGGCCCTGGACGTCCGAAACGGGTCGATAGCCTTTACTTGGGCTCGATGGCGAGACTGGGCTAAGACTTTGCCGTACATCAACGTTGTGGGCGCTGCTCCTCGCCGTGATCGGGCTGACTTCGCTGATAGAACTCAGCGTCGAATCGCGCTCTTTCTCACTCGACGGGTCGCTCGATCGTTTCGATTCGTCATCTTTGTAGAAGCTCGCCTGTGTCGCATCCAAGACTTGACTTCTTCTTGCGAAAGGCGGCAGAATGGCACTTTCTTGAGAATAGCTCGTAATCGAGGAGTGCTTTGACGCTCTCTGCAAGAAGTCCTTGTTCTCGAGATTCTCCGCCTGCAGGGAGCTAATACGTCGTGATGCTTCAGGGTTCTCGCCAAGATGTTCCATAAACACGGGCGTGTGTGTACTTCGTCGCTCACTCCGGTCACTCAGCGGGCCTCGATTGACCAGTGAAGCGTTGCGTGGTGGGTATCCTGGTGATGGAAGTGGTTGCTCTGGACTCTGCATATCGTCTGACATGCTCAACTCGTCGAATGTGTTGCGTTTGCTGCTTCGAGGAGCGCTGAAGTCGTGAACCAATTTCCCCTTGATTCGAGGATCGAAGTCGGGCGGCGGCTTGTAGATACCTGATTGTGCGACATCTCGCTGTCTCGCAAGCGCCTGGGCCTGTGCCTGGCGCTGCGATCTTTCTTCGGTGACCACATCTGGATCCTGGTTGCTCCGCCGTCTTTGCAGTAGCGATAGTGGATTCAGTAGTCGCCCTTTCTTCTTCGGCTCTTTCTGCTCGGGCGGATGTGCGATGGACTTGGAAGAAGTGTGGTGAGTGGGAACAGACACTCCAGCCACAGTCGCAGTGGCTCCTGGCGTCTTGGGTCTCGTCATGACATGCTGCGGCAAGGGAAAGGTGTTGGCGGTCGCCTGATATGGAGTGCCAATGGTGACGGTGGGTGAATTGGAGTTTGCGGTTAGCGATGAGGCCTGAGTACTTGGACGAGCCGTAGAGCCGCTGAGGTTCGTTCGCTGTGACATGTTCTGGATGCTTGGCTTCGGGCTGATAAAGTTCTTGGATGAGCCGTAGATGGGGGTGGGCTGTCGTCCATTAGCGGACGCCGCCTGAGGTTGTAGGAGACTGGGAGAGCTGTGGTTCCCTTGCATCATGAACGGTCGCGGCCGCGGCTGGCTGTACGGCTTATCTCTGCTGTCGATGAATGATCTGCTCATAGCTGGTTGATTCGGAGGCTGAGGTAATATGGGCACATCGTTCCTCGTGGGAAACAGCGAGGACTCCATCCGAGGAGTACTGGCATTGCTCGACCCAGCTGCGGTCTGCGGTCTCTCTGGTATCTTGGAGCCTCCCGGGGTGGATGGTCGCGATAGCGGGGGCAGCATATCGATAGGATGCTCGAAGCTGAGCCGCGCCTTGAGAGCGCTCTTCTTGCTCACCACCGACGCATTGTCCGCCTCGTCTCTGGCCCGCGCCTTGGCCCAATGACTTGCGTGTTCTTGCTCCCTCGACTCGTTCGAATTCGAACTGCGTGTGCTGTTGTTCCGACTAGCCACCTGCGGGATTGGAGGCAGACTGGGCGGCTGCAATCCGTTATTCCCCCGCCCACTGCCATTCTTTCCCCCAATGCCATTACTGCTGCTACCCGGCAATCCATGACTCGTCCGCGGCCGCGCAGGCGATTCGGCGCTGGCGGGGGAGAAGGGGGAGGGCGGAGCATCGGTGGTGCTGGCGCTGAGGGGTGGCGGCACGTCGAAGGACTCGAAGTCGAAGGCCATCTGCAGCGGACTGACCAGCGGCGGGTCGTGGGCGGTGGTGGAAGAGGCAGAGACGGGCGACGGCACAGCATTGGGGGAGGCGGCGTGGTCGCTGGACCGCTTGGGCGGCCCTCGCCTCTTGGAGAACATCAGAACGTGGTCGCGTTACACATGCAGCATGCGGCGTGGTGGAGATGACGGGATGCTCTGCGCTGCTGCTGGCGTGGCCTCAGCGGGCGTGTCCAATCGCTCACTGCGGTGGATGATGAGAAACGACGCCGACCCTGTCCCACGCGCCGACGCCTCCATTCAACGAAACAGTACCCCTGGAGGTATGTATTGCTGGATGTCGAGGGCGGCCTTGCGCGCAGCCTGTCCGGCCACCAGCGCAGCGAGATGGCGCTTCCTATGCGACTGTCAGATGCCAGCCAGCCCTGCGCCCATCCACGTCCACTCGCTCCACAGTCCAGTACCAGTCCAGCGCCAGTCCGCTCCACCTGTTCGTCGCTGCTCTTGACAATACTATTTCCTTCCTCGTCTGCTCGCGGGCTCTCGTGTCGTGTCGTCGTCGTCGTCGTCTGCGCAGGCGCATCAGGAGTCGCCGGCAACGAAGGAGACTGCTCCGGCAGAGACAAGAGGCCACTAATTGGACGAGGATCTATACTATTCTCGTCGTAATATGGCCTGATCCCCGTCGCTTCCAACGGCAGAGCCACATGCAACTCAATGCACGGATAACCACCAGCTCGAATCCGCCTATTCGGATCTCGTCTGGCCCCCAATCCCTCATTCAGCCTGAACTTACGAGTCGTGGTCAAACGTTACCTTTATCCTTTTCCCTCATTGTTATAAGTATCCTGTACTTCCCTACATTGACCTAGCATTTGCCATCGGAAACACCTGTATCTTATGGCCTATAAGCGTCGATTCTTTGAGGGAGACGCAATCAGCAAGTTGTACAGCGTACTGCCAAATACCGCCCTGCGGCGGCTGGTTACATGTGCTGGGTCCAATTCTCCTGCTATCCCGCATGCAGCAAGAGGGGTGACGAGCACCAGCTACGCGCCTTTTGCAGGGCTGCGCGAGAGCTCTGCGGGATGGCAGCAGTGACTAAGTCGACCGAGAGGTTTGCTGCCATCTGTTACCTCACCAAGCCTCGCAAGCCTCGCCGTGACGTGCAGAGCCAGCTAATGGTAAGCAATTGATTAGACCGACCTGCGTTGTTTGTCAATCGCATCCCTTGGCACCACCTCCTGCCAGCATTCTACCTCCACGCCCTCGCCTCGACTCGATTCTGCCGAAGCAAGCAAGCTATCTCTCCCCGCCAGCAAAGTCCCGCCGAAGATTTCCACGACGCCATTCCTGCCTCTCTTCGAATCGCACAACCCCAAATACCACTCCAGAGCTGCTCTTGACGTCTCAAAGGTTATGTGAGCACGAATGCGCCTCCGAGTCAAGACATGGCCCCCTCCTTAGTCCATCTTCCCAATGGCCAGACCCTGAACGTCACACCTGTCTTTGGTGGCCTGTTCTTCAAGGCCAATGATCTAAACACCCACCATAATGTCTTTCCGCCTGGCTGGACCATCATTCTCAACAGCGAGGACGATGAAAGCGACCACAAGTCTGTCGAGGCTGTCCCAGACGGTCAGAGCCCGGACGAGCCATTCCCAGAGAAGCCTCTACCTAAAAGACCCCACATTCACCGATACAAGCGACCGACCTTGAGGCATGACCATATGTTCATTTCCTCAATATCGAACCCTGCATCGAATGAGTTCAGACCGCCGACCAGTCCTACAAGACAGATTGCGATGATGCTGTGGGCAACGCTATATTGGTACTTTCACCAGCAAGAGCCGACACAACAGATAACGACGGCGGAGTCAGAAAAGACACCAGATGATGGCAAGCCAAAGGGGGAATGGCACATCAACATCAACAGGGAAGGTATATTCAAGGGCAAGCACCTCCTCCCAAAGTTGGAGAGGATGGGTTTGATCTCGACAGAGGATTCTACGGTTGGCCTGGATCCTGAAGAGGGCATAACGAATACGGGAGAAGGATGGACAAAGATGTTCGTCTCGCGGCGGAGCTTCTGGCAACTGGATCCGAGAATCTATCTCTTCACCCTCACGCCGCTGCAGACAAACTCACCATTTCCCTCGCTCAGCCCGGCAGGCAGTCGGCCAGGTAGTCCCAACAGGAATAGCCGGATACACGACGAGCCTACGAACCTCAACATCCAAGCGACGACCCAATCTGCGCTGACGAACAGAGCCAGTACCCCTCCTGGCCCTTTCCACTCCAGCTCACACCTTCCCACGTTCTACCCACCTCCGCCAGCACAATACACATTCACGAACAACATCCGGCATCCAATCCGACGCAAACCACCGCGGGAAGGCGAGACCTTCTACACGCGATACATACCCAGTGTTCAACAATACCTCAGCTTCCGCGTGGCCTCTCTCAGCAAACGGCCAATCGCGTACAATGGCCCATTCTCCCAACACGCAGGCGGGGAACCATCTTTGGCATCTGCTCGAGATATCCTCCGTACGGCGAACTCCCATTCCGATCCCTCAGTCGTCACACTCAACAACCTGTCCATCGACAACGAGAACGAGTGCAACCGGATGTCAGACTGCGAGATCCTCCACAAGTGGATGAACGATCCTCGGGTCGCCTACTCATGGGGCGAGCAGGGCGATCTGTCCCATCAGGAAGAGTTTCTCAAACACGCCTTGACATCCAAACACTCCATGCCCGTGATTGGATGTTTTGACGGAAAGCCGTTCGCCTTCTTCGAAATCTACTGGGTCAAGGAAGACCGGGTGAACACCTTCTTGGGCGGCGAGAGCGGCGACTTCGATCGAGGGCTACACGTCCTGGTTGGAGAGCAGGAATTCAGGGGCCAGCATCGAGTGCATGTGTGGCTGAGTGCGCTCATACACTACTGTTGGCTGGCCGACTCGAGGACGAATGTGGTGATGATGGAGCCGAGGGTGGATAACGTGAAGTGAGTCCAGCATCATTGCCTCCGTGAACGCTCTGCTAACGAGACGTCCTACAGACTACGAAAATACTGCGAGGAACTCGGCTTCTACCGCGAAAAAGAACTCTCCATGCCACACAAACAGGCGAATCTGATGAAAATCAAACGAGAGGCGTGGGAGGCTCCGGCAATCTGAAGAATCATGAAAAAAGAACAGTCATGCTTTTGATGCGTATAAGATGATGGGACGGCCTCAAGTTGAGATTGTTTTTTTTTGGTTTGTTTGTTTTTAAAGCGATATCCCCCTCGAATTTATTCACTATTCAAAGATACTCGATATCAACCACGACAGTCTATCTACCTATGACTCCAATCACCAGTTATATCGTCCTCTACCGTCACATCCATCTCCGAATCCATACCCATACCCATACCCACCAGGTCCATACCCACCCATCGAATCCGTCATAGGAGGTCATCCACCGCCACCGTCTTGAGAAATTCGGGCTCCACCTCCACCTCCATACGAATTCCCTCGTCGTCTTCCATACAGCTCTCCTTGGTTTTGTTGTTGGTGCTGCTGAGCCAATAAGGCGGCTTCGTAATCTTTGATCCGCCCGCCGAGAGGCGCTTCTGATGAGGAGGGGGTTTGGCCCATGGTTCGGATGTTTGTGGTGTGTGAGAAGCGGGGTGGTTGTGTTGAGGACGGTAGAAAGGGAGTAGAAGATGTTTAGTTAGGGGAAGTGCTAGTTAGGGGAAGTGCTAGTTAGGGGAAGTGCTAGTTAGGGGAAGTGCTAGTTAGGGGAAGTGCTGGTTGGGGTATTTGTATCATGAGCAGAAGTGGTTTTGTGGTAGGTAGTGAATACAATGGCACCGCGTTCATCACCGTCGTCGTGGTCGTCGCGGTCGTGGTGCAGACCTCCTCGAAGGTCTCTGTGCAGGTTGTCGAGGTGTAGACCTCCTCGGCGGTCTCGACGACCTTCCAGTGGGCATTCTCCCAACTTCCGCAGTAGACCTCCTCGACGGGCCCTTCGCGGCTCTCGGTGCGGATCTCCTCGACGCCTTCCTGCCGCCGCCTCCCCATCTTCTCGCGCCCGCTCCACGTGAGCCTCGCCCATTCTTTGGCGTGCTTCTCATCGTCGTCGACCTCCGCGAGGATCTTCGTCGCCAGCTCTTCCTCGTTGAACGTCGTCCACTACGACGACCTCCTATGCTTCCTCTTCCTCCGCCTCGACGTACGGTGGGGGTGCAGAGGCATTGGCCCATTTTGTCTGAGAGGTGTTTGTTGTATGTGGATGTATGTTTAGTCGTAGCTTTTCACAAGGCTGCAGTGAAATGGGGCAAAGGTGTGGAGGATGTCTGACAAGGCATTTGGTGTCTATATCTATTGTCTCTGCATAGACGCCTTGCTGCCGTGAAGCAAGTCCTTTGGTCTTCGTCGCACCAGTGACTAACAGATCTTCTCCACCTCCAGACTCGCGAGGATGAAGGCACTCGTGCCGATCAAGCTATTCAACACCGTCGGCCGTGTGACGTAGTACTGTTATCAATTCCAAGTCAGCAAACGCCAACATAGAAACCTCAGGAGTTAAAAAGTCGTCAGGACTCACCACAAAATCCACATCCCCACTCAACGTCGCCACAGTACTCGTCCCATTCAACCCCACCGTCCCATCCCCATTCTCCACCAAAAACTCGTAAATCACATTCTGAAAAATGCCCACGCCCGCCAAAACCGCCCGTTCCTTGACACTCTCATCCTCGATCCAGCCCTCTCGCGCCCCACGCAGGAGGTTGTACGCCGTCAGACAGCTCGCGCTCGCTTCGACAAAGTTCGCGTGGTCGCCGAACGTCGCGCCGGGGTGGTCGACGATCTGCCAGACGCCGTAGGAGCCTTCGATGGCGAGGGAGCGGTCGGAGGCGGTGAGTTGGGCGCGGATGAGGGAGTTGTAGAGGTTTTTGAGGGCGGGGAAGGTTGGGTGGGAGGGGGAGAGGAGGGAGAGGGTGTTTACTAGGCCCAGGGTGTACCAGCCTAAGGCGCGGCCCCAGACGGCGGGACTTGCGCCGGTTTCTTTGTTGGCCCAGGCGTGGTCTTTGGAGGCGTCGTAGCCGTGGACGAGGAGGCCGTAGGAGTCTTTGCAGATGTTGTAGAGGGTTTGGAGTTGGATTAGGGCTGCTTCGGCGCCGAAGGAGTTGACGTCCGCGGAGGAGTGGTTGGCGGAGAGGATGGCGAAGGGTGGGAAGGAGAACATTCCGTCTGCGTAGGAGAGGTTGTGGTATGCAGTGAGGTTGTTTCGGTTCTGGTAGTACCAGAGGCCGCCGTTGGCGTTGCGAGGTTGTTGCAGGACGGAGTCTTGAAGAGCACGGATGGCTGGGAGGTAGGCTTCGTCTTTCGTCGATTCATATAGGTGGATCATTGAGGTGCCAATGCTTAGACGATCCAGGGGTAGGCCAGCATTTGCAGTGGCGTTGGAGAGGGAAGCCACGGCACTCAATGTGCTGTTTTGGAGATATTCTTCCCATGTCTTCTTTTGAGTCGTAGAGTTGGTGTAAGCTATGCTCTCACGGAGAGCCTGTTGGAAAATCCCAAGTTCAATAAATCCAGTCGATGCGCCACTATTCTCAATCCCATCACCACGAGCGATGTTGCTGTCCAACATTTTAAGTGCCAGTCCATCAGCCGGAGGATTCCATGGACATTGCAGACGCTGGCCGGTGGTATGGGTGGCGATAAGTCCCAGCAGGATCACGGCAGTCTGCATGGTTGAACGTGCCATTCTGGTTATGGCAGAGTAGGTGTCGAATCCCGGAAGTGTGAAGTTGAAGAAGTTCATCTTATTTATTCAGCTAGATCGAATCCTTGTCTGAACTAGTGTCGTGGTGCCGATTTCCCGCATATCAATGTGAGACAGCCTAAAGATCCCTGCAGGACGAGAGAACAGGCTCAGTCAGCATGGGCAACCTTGGGATGGAAGTCCAGAAATCATCAGACTTCGACGTGGGAGTTGAATAATTTGATTAGTGGGATGTTGAAGAGATGAAGTCATTCCTGGATAAAAGCGGACAATGCTCCCGTTCAGCCCCGAGTGGTATACCCAGGAACCATATTGATTGCCCCATTGAGGATCTTTCGTTGCAGATCAGCTCTGAAGAATGCATGTCGACAGGCTACCTCTGATGCTGGAATCAGGAGTGTATCGCTATTATTCTGGTTGAGTACGATCAGCTATTTGTAGAACTTCGTTACGGTGTTTTGACAACCGAAGTTGAGCCTGAATATATGCTGCTCGGCGTCTTGTCCAGACCGGCCTCTGGGCACTTCGCCATATGAATACGGCCTTGGCTAGTCTCGATATATGGAAATGATCCCGCAGTCCTCACAATAGTTTCCGTTTGTTATGGTCGTTTCGTTCGGTCTAGAAGCGATCAGAACGTCCGTAGTGGTTATCGCAGTGCACGTTTTGACCGCAAAAGATCACCGTCCTATACTGCCTTTTAAGATGTTGACGGCGTGGGTAGTGTGTTCGAACACTCTGCCAGATCTTCTGTAGCTGCCAATGGCCGCCACCCCAACAGCTACCACGGAGACGAAAACGCTCATATTCGTCAAGAGCGCAGCACTATTTCGCTTGTGCCATGCACCCTCTTTTGCAGCAAAAGCCGCAGTGTCGTTGACTTTGGGAAACTCTTCATCTGGTATTTCTTTACCAAGCAACTTCAAGATGTCAGTCATCTCAAACATTATCTTTACTATAACCGTACCTTGCACAATGGCTCCCATCCATCCTCCACGGTCCACTCCAGAAGGTTGTCCTTCGGCACAAGTCCGCGGATCATGTTGTAATGCTCCTTGTAGATCCATTTGCCGTTTGATCTGATCCCACGAGCAACGTTATCGTCCCGGAAGAGGCCCCTCCAGAGATAGTTTTCAAACACGGTCCAGGACCAGAAAGCAGGTCCAGCGAGTCTTGTTGCGATATAGATGACCCAGTTCTCGTACGCTGTTTCGACGAGGTTCTTCACGACACTTCGATGCCACGCATCCAAGTCTTTCCTACCGTTGAGAACCACTTTTGCGTCTGGGTAAGCTGCGATCAACTCTGCGGCAAAAACTGAGGCAGCGGCATCTGTCACTGCGATGGAGTGGCCCAAGACTTGATCGAAATCTGCTGCGGTAATGTTCGAGTCTCCGTCCGGCGTGCCGAACCACTTCTTGCGTGCGAGACGAGACCATGCTTGCGAATAGTTTGGTTCTTCGAAGATGATATCCCATCCCTTGAAGGGCATCAGTATGTGAATCTCGCTCTGATTACTATCACCTGGTTTTTACGTGGTATGTGTAGTCGTAGCCGAGCTTGATGAGTGCGACCTGCAGTGACTCTGTACCACAACGAGGAAAGCCTGCCGCCACAATCAGCCTTGTCTTCAAACATTCAATGGCAGCATACCGACCTGGACATATGACTTGCATTGGCTTTGATGGATCGCGAACTCGAGGCAGCGGCTCCTTGGATTTGTAGATCTTTTCCATGATTCGCTGCATCTCGATAGAGCTGCTACGTCGTGAAGGTGACAAGGGGTGGCAATGAAGCAAAGAAAGCAGGTAAGTCAATCAGATCTTCTTGAACTGCCAACCAGGCACTTCTTACTGGTTTCGTAGAGACTTGGATGAGGTAAGGCCAGCGATCCTTGATAAGCAGAGGATGCCGATAGTTTACTTGGGGAAAACGTTTCCCCGTTCGATATCTAGTTAGATTTCTCACAGTCGACCAGATTCGCGAAAGGTCGCGTTCTGAAAGGTGCTGACGCGATTGCGATGATGAGGCTGGAGTCGAACGGCCCCTTGAAGGAACCAAGGGCTTAATCCTGCACGGTTTAAAGTTTCGCCGAGATCCGTCCCAGGGGATTTAGCACGCCCTCCACCACACCGCGAGACGCGACTTCGGACCTCCTTCTTCATCACTTCGACTTTTCTCACTGGTGTTCATCTCACCTCGACCTCCAGGTCAACTTAATGGGCGTCAGTGATTGGAAATTAAATGTCTATTTTACAGGTCGGCAAGATGGAAGCGTCATAGTGGTGAGGGCAAAATCTGTTCTCAGAGACGGCTACTCTCATGCCCCAATAGCGTCTTGAGATAATGAAAATTCACTGAAGGCATAGGCGACCAGAACCATGAGCTCTATATACAGTGATCTCCAAACACTACATACACGTCGCAAACCAAGCCGCGATCTCACCCACATTCCGATCAACACAATCCGGCTGATCATAGTGCTGAAAATGAGCAACCTCGTTATTCCAGATCAATTTCTTCTTCTCAATCGGGATCGACTCAAAGTGTCTCTTCGCCGCCGGAGGGTTCATGCAGTTATCGCCATGGATGATCAAAGCCGGCTTATTCAGCTTCGCAACGCCAGGTGCCGTTGTATACCCGAAATGGTCAAGGTCACTCATGACGGCGTAGCGGTTTTCGAAGCCCTTGAGCGTCCATGGACCGTACCATGACCAGACAACTGGGCCAGGCAACCCGGCGAGAGCTCCGGTCGTTGGATCAGCAGCCTGCGGATCGACCAGTGGTTGATATTGGACCTTTCCAGAACTCTCGAATCCTTCGCGAGCTTTCTCTGCTCGCTTGATTCGTGCTTGATATAGCGCTTCGCCTTGTTCTGGTGTAGGCATCTTCATCGCACCAATATCGTCACCAGGCTTCCAGTTGACGCAGCCGGCGCAGATCATGTAGACATCCGTTTCGTGATCACGGAAGTATCCTGACACGGATGCCACTCCCACGACGCGATCATCGTATGAGGCGATGTCAAGGGACTGTGGCCCTCCTTGGCATATGCCAGCGAGAAAGAGCTTGCTGGCGTCGATGTCGCCGCGAGAAACGAGATAGTCAAGACCAGCTACGGCATCCTCGTTCTTCATTTTGGGATTCTCGAGACGGCGCGGTTGTCCGGTGCTGCCACCAACAGAGCGAGGGTCGAAGATGAGTGCCGCAAAGCCTTCGTCTGCGAGGCGGGTGCCGTACTGGAAAGGGGCCTGTTCTTTCATGAACGAGTAAGGGCCAGTTATGACGACAGCCGGCGGGTTTGAGACGTTCGTCGGCTTGAAAAGGATGCCAGCGATGGCCTCGCCATGGGATGGATATTCGACCTGCTCGGTGGTGTACTGGCCGTGGGAAGGCATGGTCAAGGGCAATTCCTCAAGCTTGTGTGGAACAAAGATCTTGCAGAGATCGGCGAAAAGTCCCAGACAACAAGCGCTTTTTGTATCATTCTCACAACACCTTGAGGGCAGTGAACTTGGATCGTGAGCTGCAATCTGTTCATGGTCATTGAGGCTGCACCAAACCCATTGCAGTATTGAAACTCGATCATCGCCGGCAGCCGGCGCCGAAAAAAACATCTCCGATAGTCATCGCCGAAATCCTTCGCCGATGATCAGCATTCATCCATGCCATAAATGGAACTTGAGCTTACTGGGTATACCAAGACCTTCATTGTGGTGAATCGCAACGTCTGTCGTGATTGATGGCGGGTCTGAGGGCTCGGTCGAGCTCTGGCGCAGGATAACGCTAGTCGCAGCCTCGATGGCGTTCCATATGCTGGCATTCAACCTGGTGTAAGCTCGAGAGTCTATGGGCAGTGAGGTTGATTTTGCGAGTTCTTTCCTTTGGTACCAATGTAGAAGCGTCTTGGATGTGATCATAAGATAATCTCAAAACCAGGCTGGATGTCCTAGTGTCTTTCCGCCTCTTGCCCATAGCTAACCCCCCTAGAAAGTCGGAATTGCCTCAGAGTTGTCAACAAAGTCGAACTGCGATTCATCCAGTCCATATACTGGCTGTGTCTGTAATGACGGACGGATGGCAGAATCTCCGTTGCATAGCAGGTGAGTCAATGGCTGAGGACAGAGAACATTCTCGAAATCAGGCTGTAAGAAACCGTCCCAATCAACGTATGACATCTCTGTCTCCATGCCCGAGAAGCTGTCGCCCTCTGCGTGTCCACTAGAGGAATGCGACGACTCCGTCGGAGTTGTTATGGCCAACAGTCTTCCATACAATCGCTGGAGAACATTGTAAGCCGGTCTGGCCAACTTGTTACTGGCTTGCAGCACCTTCAGCCGGCTCAAGGCCGCTTCGAAGTTTGCAATCGTTGCGGAGAATTGGTCCATCATTTCGTCCGGAAAGCGGATGTGTACAGCTGCAATGAGCACCATAGCATCGAACGTTGCGAACACGAAGCTGAATGCCCTGTATTGTAACGGTTCCGTTTGATCGAAGAGACGTTGTTGGGATGCCAAGGTCTGCGTTGCCGCATGCACGGCGTTGGCACGGTTGCTCGAATCCACGAAAACGAAGGGCCGGTGTAGAGCAAACAGGACGAATTGGATATTGGTAAACAATACTTCGAGCGCAGCAGAGAGCCAGTGAGGCTCATGCTGACGTGATCTTTGGGGACTGGCCCACGCCGGAAGTTTTGCAATATTGGTGAGAAGAGCCTCGTGTATGTTCTGCACCATAAGACGACAGTCGTCCATTGTCTCCAGATCATGAATGTCTTGTAGGAATTTATGAGCAGTATGATAGCCACACAGAATGACGTCGCGTGATCGCGGTGGCCTGTTGCTGTCACACAGAGCTGGAAATGGCACATTGCTGGGGTTCATTCGTGTCGACATCGGCCTCCCGAGGACAATGGCCATGTGAGCGTCCCACAGGTGTAGCATCAACCACAACTTGCTGCCTAGGTCGCGCTCTGGGCCTTCGTTCCTCAAGTATGGGGGAGATGCCGGCTCTAGTCGGTGTAATCCGAGTTCTTGAGCGTCGCGAATCGCGGTTCCAAGAGTGTGCCATGCTTCTGTCACCGCTCCAGTGGTCTTTTCAAAACAAGCTCGCATCAGTCCTGCCTGTACTATGATGAAACTAATCTCGTCCTTTCTGAACGAAGATGCAAGTCGATGGCCTGTATCACTATATTCCGCCGCCCGATCGCTTAGCTCCATGTCCGCAGCGTATTTCAAGTCATCGAGACTTTTGTCATGTTGCTTGGGCTGGAACAGCAAGGCTTGTGCTAGGACCTGGAAAAGTAGTGCTGGAAAGGCTCTGAGACTGGCCGGCAAGCTTTCGGGTGCGTTCTTTAATTGCTTGTGTGACAGACATCTCCAATGGAAGAGTTGGTTGGTGAAGGTCGCTTCGTCCACGATGTCGTAGTGCCAAGCTACATTTTGGAAGAAGGCCTGCACGAGGATGTCCATATGTCTCAGGGACGGAAGTTCGCGAATGGCGGATGCGTACTGTCCCAAAGAAAGGTCATTGCGAGAGTGTGAATCGTGCCAGAGACTTGTAGACTCTCCCAGGCTATGGATGATTCCTGCAGTTCCTTTCTTGTTGATGGTATAGCCCAGGACCCTGGACTCATCTCCCGTAGGACTCGAAGCTGCTACAGAATCCTCTAGGCGGATGTGCTGTTCACTGTCCATCGGCTGGTGATCACGCTCAACATGATGCGAGGCTGAGCGCACACGTTCGTCGTCCAATTCGTAGAGACAAGCATTCTGTTCTCTTAGTGCATGGCGTTTCTTCCGAGGGACCTTGACTTACTCTCTTGCCTCGTTTGATGCAGCGAGTACATGGCTGACGGCGATCACACTAGAGGCGTGAGCTCCTTGCGTCTGATCAAGCATCTGTCATTTACATGTACCTTCTCTTTGCGTCGGTGACATTCTCTGCAAGATATTACGGGACGTTTACGTCTCGTGGACTGCCCATTGCCGTTGCTTCCAGCTAGCATTGGTACTCAAGATTGACAAATGGTACATGTATTTACTGTAGTGTTGTGACGATGACGCGACTGCCATGATGTTGAGATTGAGTGAAGGAAGGCAGAGCATCCTTTCTCGGCACAAAGATTCGCCGAGCTCCGTCCCATTGGAATTGGGATTCTCCTCAGAGCGTAACCTCACTCTTCTCTTCAACTCAGTCCACAAGATACATCGCCTACCAGTCTGGTTATCTGGGCCAACCCGACTTGAAGTGTTCTCGCTAATTTCCTTCGAACTATATGACTGCCGCCAATGTCTCGTACACTGCGAAAAGCACCGAGTCAAATCACGTAAAAGGTTGCAGCAAAGGAACGTATCAAGTTGGACAAGAACACACTCTTCAGTGTCTGTGAATACTGTACGCTGGAGAGTACTTTCTATCTCAATGCTCCACCACCCATGCGATATCCTCGAATCGGCAAGATCCGTCTCAGCGCTTTTGATTTCCCCATCTTTCAACTTGTGACCAAGTCTGACATCAACCAAGTACACATCCATAATCGCAATGGATCAAGGCAACTGGCCTCAAGGCGCCAAAGCAGCCGTAGCGCTCACTCTCGACAATTGCGGCGAAGCAGCCGACCTCAACCGCGGATTATGGCCTAAAGACAAGCCCGTTGGATCTCACTACTCGATTACAGAAGCTCTGCCACAGATCTTGGCTTTATTGAAAAAGTACAATATCTGCGTGACCTACTTCATCGAAGCCTGGAGTCTCGCTCACTACGGAGGAGTGATCGCGAATGACGTTGCCGGCAACAGTCATGAAGTCGCTTGGCACGCGTGGCAACACGAAGCGTGGAGCAAGCTGAGTGCAGAAGAAGAACGTGAGAACTTCGAGCGAAGCTTTGGAGATCATGGTATCGGTGGCTTCCTCTCTACAGGGCCTTGTAAAGGCACGGTCCAGCCTTACCGAGGCTTTCGACCCCCAGGCGGCATCATCCATGGCAACAGAACGCTTGCATTGTGTCGAGACTATGGACTTGGATATATCAGTCCTGCAGCTGAGCACGCAGCTCTGGTGGACGTAGAGCGTGACGGCACCACAGACTCGGTGGTAATCTTGCCCTTCCGATGGAAATGCGTGGACGCATATTACTACATGGAGAGCTTTGCAGGCCTCAGAAAGCTGAAAGGCGCCTCTTCAGAAGATCCGCTCAACGAAAATGTACTTGTCGAAAGCTATATCGCTGCCATCGACGAGGCTATCCGGAAAGGCGATTTCCTGTCGTTGCTGTTCCACCCGTTCCTTTCGAACAGTGAGCCGCGTCTACACGCGATTGAACAAGTTCTGCAGCATCTCGCTCGTAGAAGAGATGAAGGTCAGATTTGGCTTGCGACTTGCAGAGAGATTGAAAACTATGTGAGGAAGAACCCGTCTGTCGTGGCTCGAGATCCGGAATGGGATTTGGCGTCGTGGCGATGAGTATCACAGTAGTTGATTCCACCTGAGATGTGTTATTCGTGACCTGGAAGTTTTCAACGACTCTGGAGATTTTTTAAGGGCGACATTCACCATGGCTGAATACCACCAGTCCATCACGCCCTCGGGCCGGAGTTGGCCGACGGCCGTATCGATAGTCTGCCTATCAAACAATATTCAAAGGCTCAGGTCAACACCCAGTCGCATCTTTCGAGAACACCAATTCGCATTCAATTCGGAAATATGCCTCCTGCAACGATCCTCAAATTCCCAACCAGCTCACCCGCCGACACATCGCCCCTTACCCGCCTGCAAGAAGCCGGTTTCAAGACCAAAGACATCCTAGGCATCGTCGGCAAAACAGAAGGAAATGGCTGCGTCAATGATTTCAGCCGAACACTCTCCTCGCACGTCTGGGATGCGTTGATCCCCGATTCAGCAATCTCGATCTTCTCTGGTGGAACCGAAGGCGTTCTCTCTCCACACATAACCGCCATTTTGCAGTCTGATAAGCCTACGGGATTACATGCGGCTGTTAGACGAAGCAGGGTGCTTGAGCCTTGGGAGGTTGGGAGTGTGGAGCATGTTCGATATGTGGCGGCGAGTATTCGCGAGAAGATGGTCGAGGAGGGTATCGAGGCTGGAGATGTCCAACTTGTGCTGATCAAATGTCCGCTTTTGACGAGTGAGAGGATTGCTGCGATACAGGCTACGGGGAGGAAACCTGTTACGTTGGATACGTATGAGTCGATGGTACGTTCCAGCTCCCCCAAAAGGCATTCTTTGACAGCACTGACGGGGACGACAAGGCGCTATCACGCTACGCCAGCGCCATTGGCATTGGAGCAGCCCTCAACCCAACCATAACAAACACCATTCCCCAACTACTCTCAAGCGGAGACTTCCAAACGCCACTCGCATCCTGCTCCTCCGGCGCCGAGCTCCAAGACTGCCACATCCTCATCCTCTCCAACACCACTCCTCCCAACCCATCACCCCCTTCCCTCACGCGCGCCTTCAACAGCACAATGCACTCCGGCATCGACTTTTCCTCCCTCCAAACTCTCCTCACCAAAGCCCTCCACCCCTCTCCTCCATACACGAAAGCAACCCTACTCCAAGTCTTCGTCAAAGCGGAAGCAGATCCGTCCGGGTTGGTGAAAGGGGAGTTCAGGCATACGATGTTGACGGATAGTGATTTGCATTCGACGAGGCATGCGCGGGCTGCGGTGGGTGGGCTTGTGGCGGGGGTGACGGGTGATTGTGCGGTTTATGTTAGTGGTGGGGCGGAGGGTGAGTTTTGGATTCTCGTCCTTGTTTTTGTGGTTGTGTGAGGGGATGCTAATGAGGATGCAGGTCAGGGGCCGAAAGGCGGCGGGAGTTTGTGTGTCGTTGTCAGGTGGGAGTTATATAGGTGATCCGGGGGCGAAGGAGAGAGCATCAACCCAAGGCGAGGGTCTTTCAGCAGTTATTAAGATAGCAAGGAAAGCGTCACCATGAGGGTTTACTAGTTATCCATACCCGCTGAAGTGCATGACACCAACCCCCCAAAGCAAGCATCAAATGTTCCGGCAGCACAGAAACGCCCCATGCTTCCCTCTACCTCACCACCGGCTTTTCAGAAAAGCAAACTCAACCATAATAGAGCAAACGCTACCCGCGTAACCTGTCCCTGTTGATCGAGGCCGTCAAACACCCCCCTTCGCCACTAAGAAGTTGACAATGGGCAGCTGCCGCTCAAAACCAAGCCGCCGCCCACCAGACCCATCCGTAGCGTACGTCTCGTCATCGCTGCTGCCCTGACGACTCTTCTCAGCATAGATCTGCCCCAAGAGCTCAAAGTTCAGCTCATCATTCTCCTTGATGAGCACCCTGAACTCGTCGAACTTCAGAAGGTGTGTCGTGTTCTTCTTGATGAGGGGCATGACGATATTCCAGAGCGTGCGGTCCTTCGGGTTGCAGCACTCATCGACGTAGCGGATGCCCTCGACGAAGGCGGGGACGTTGGTGATGGGGTCGCAGGCCGTTTTGAAGCGGGAGGCGGCGAGGGTGGTGAGGGCGGGGATTTCGTACTGTTTGCGGGCTATCAGCGGGTTGCGATGAGAGGATGGGTCGAGGGTTGGAAAGGAGACTGACCTTGTCGGCTGCTTGGTACACGAGCACGGCGAAGACGGTGCTGCTCAGGGGGCCACGGGCGCTGTCATCCCACGAGCCGGCGTACATCCAGGTGACGACGGCTTGGAGGATACTCGAGTCCTCGGGCAAGATGACAGAGTCCTCCTGGTGCTTCGCTTCCTGTGTCACAATGGTCAGTACATCAAAAACCAAGCACGCAATGAAAAAGGGTTCCCTACGCGAAAGCCGCCCGTGAGGAGCTTCTTGAAGAACTTGGACTGGGCGTAAAGGACGACCCTGTGGACCTTGAACTCGGCGTCGTCGAGCTCTGAGAAGATCTTGAAGTCGGAGAAGTGGCCTATCTTGAGCAGTCTGTGTCGATGATTAGCGTTACTGGTTTCCGAGTCGGAATGGGTCAAGGTCCGCATACTCTCTGATACCGGCCCTCAGGGAGTCGCCAGCATATGCCACGTTGTCGGTGCACTTTGCGAGAAGAGAGAGGAGTCTTTGGTCGACGTTCATTGGGACTTCGAGGGAGTGTGTTTATTGAAGAGCGAGGTTGTTGCGAAGGTCAAGGCTATAGTAATGCTTGACGGCGAGTGGAGGGCGACGTTGACGCTGGTGGTTTTATGTGTCGAAGACGAGTGTATAAAACTCGGCAGAAGACGAAGTCTTTATAAGGTCGAATCTACCCGCGTCACGTTACCGGCTACGGGATCTTCACCTTTTGCAGAGCGTAAGCATGAGATTTGGCCCGTGCGTTCACCAGTTGGAACATTCACTTACATCGCGGGAGTCTGTGCGCTGTTGGAGGCGGACATGTCTCTCGATAGCCGGGAAGTCTTCGAGTGGACTCATGCTGGGGCCGTAGACTTGGTCGCTTGCAGAGATATTGGAGAGAAGACACGTTTGTGCAGCGAAGTTTGAGCGGGTTGATGAAAACATGCTGTGTGTGTTTCTGGAGTAGACGTTCTGTATTCCGTCAAGGGCGTTATATATTTCTACCCGATAGTTAGATGTAGGCCGTACAAAGAACATACACACAAAACCGTTTGCTTCAAACTCCTGTAGTATGTGGTTAGCAAACACAATCATCATAGGTGAAGTAGCCTAACCGAACACAACAACACTCACCCTTTCCCCTTCTTACGCCTCACAGCTTCGCCTTCTCCCATACCTCCACCCTCCTCCTCCTCTCCTCCTTCTCTCGCCTCCACTTCTCCCTCATCCTCTCATCCCTCAAATCCTCCTCGATCCCCTCCTCCATCAACGTAACCGTCTCCCTCCACATCTCCTCCTTCAACTCAGCCAGCACACTCTGTCCCGTCGCGCCAGGCTGGGCCTTCTTCACCAAGTCCAGATCCTCGATCAAGGCGAGTGTTTCGTCGAGGCCGCCCAGGGAGTCGACGAGGCCTTCTTTGAGTGCTTCGAGGGCCTTTGAGATATGTTAGTTGATGGAGAATGGGTGGCATGAAGGGTAGGGAATACTTTGAATCTATAGGCTTCAAGTATGAGTTTTCTTAAGACGCCACCACTGAGTTTCATTCGGAAGACAGCTGTCATGGGTGGACGAAGGGGAGCGCCGAGTTCGACTTCGTTGAGGCAGAGATAGCCTTTGTGGGGATTCATTACTCGGTACTGTCCATCCACAAATTAGCAAAAGAACGTCCTTCATCCTCCCCTCGCATCTCAAGCCCACCAACAGTCGCGACATCAACTCACATCATGCATCATAGCCGTCATAAACCCCCCAGCAAACGCATGCCCATTAATCAACGCCACCGTCGGCCTCGAATACACCAAAATCCGCTTCCACAACTTATACAACTTCCCCTTCATATACCCGCCCGTCCACCTCGCATGATCAATATCCATGCCATCGCTATAGAACTTCCCCACGCCGCTCGTCGTCACCACCACGCCGCGCTCATACTTCTCTTCGAGGATGTCCAGGGCGAGGATGAAGGCCTCGCAGAAGGGCGTGACGAGGCGGTTGTCGGGTGGGTTCGTGAAGGTTAGGAGGTAGATGTTGGGGCGCGGGAGCGTGCAGACGATGGTGCCCGTGCCGGTCGTGCCGATCATGTCCTTTGGGCGGGTTATGGGGATTGTGAAGAGGGCGGGGCCGGTGGTTGTGGGGGAGGAAGACGAGGAGGAGGACATGTCGTCGACGGGGTTTGGTTTATGGCGTTTGGGGGGTGGGGGATTCAGGGTTGCTGGTGTTCTTTTGTCTTTTTCTCTGATGTGGATTCAAAACCGATGAGATAAGGGATGGAGGTGGGAAAGAAGCGAATCGAGGAATTGATAAGGAGGTCGAAACTATGAGCTGATTACATGCTCAAACCTGCCATCACCAGAAAGTTGGTAGAGTGGCCGTGAGCTTGGAAAGCTTGGGAGCTGAAGTCGCAAAGGCACTGGAAGCTCGCCAGTGAAAGCCGAGGTCTTGCGATGGATCCGCGGAGCTCGTGGTGGTGGAAAGTATAAACGCATTGCCTCGATGCGGTAATCGCGTGAAGGTGAGGGCATATCCATTAATCGTCTTGAAGAAAGGTCATTTCATATCTTCTTCTCCCGTCCTATTGTGTTGCCCTACTTATCTTACAAGAAGAAGTGCAAGTCGTCCGCTCGAGCCCATCTGGCTCACGACGGTCATCATTCCATCGCGCCGGTACCACTTCAAACTTTCCATGAATCTTCAATCATAGAGTTCGTGGTATACCTTGGAAAGCATAAGGTACCCGGACCCAACGCCCTGGTAGTCAACCTCACGCAGTCTCCACACTCCAGTCCCCGATCCACTCCAAATCTCGGTCGCCCGCCGCAAAGTCCCAACCTACAATGACCTTATTTTGACTGCACGCGATGATCCGTCGGGCGTCAAATTGCAGCTTGAAGACCCTATTTGACTCACGGGGATTGGGAACACCGTTAGCACCTGCGTGATGGTGATGATGATGATGGTGATGGTGGTGATGGCCTGGATTAGCTTGCGCTGGTTGACCTGCTGCATGCCCACCTTGTGCTGGTGCTTGCTGGTTCTGGGCAGGGTTGGCGTTGACAGCAGGGCCAGCAGCTTGTTGCAGTGCGGCGACACCATTGTTTATAGCGTGATGGTGTTGCTGACTGGCAATGGCTTGCATTTGCAGATTCAGGTGATTCTGAGCTGCTGTCATTGCAGAGAGCTGTGAGTTTGGTACTGGTTGTTGGGCAGTGCCAACTGGTGGCTGCTGAAGGATAGTGTTGACTTGAAGTAGTTGATTTTGAGCTTGGTTGAGCAGATGTTGGGCCTGTTGGCTCGCATTCAGCTGCTGCGGATTGACAGCCTGCGCATTGATGTTGTTGAGGTTGGCTGGCTGGGGTACGGCATTTGGTCTGATTCGGCTTGCAGTATTGGGATGGTTCAAGAGCATGCCTTGGTGTAGACGTTGATTCGGTCTCCACTTGCCGTCTTTGCTGCGCTTCCAGATGATCACAGTCTCGTCGTAAGATCCAGAAACGATCTTGGCCCATTTGCTGCCGCCACCACCTGGAGGGACCTTGGTGCCGTACGAGAGCATGTCTTCTGGCCGACTTGAGCCCGCATTACGTGGCTCACGCCGACGAGACGCCTCCTGCGGCACCATGCCCTTGTCAAGCGCTTCAAGGAACCTCTTGTCAGCTTCCCGAGCTTCTTCCAGGAGCTCATCGTCAGAAATGGTCTGAAGGTCGCCAAACCGTGCTTGCACAGTGCGTACAAGATTGTTGTGGCCATCGAGACACGCAACTTCGGCTGTGGTGTCGTAGTCGAAAATGCGGACAGAATTGTCTGAAGAGCCACTGACAATGCGACGGCCGTCAAATTGCACACAGGCAATGCCCTTGGTGTGTCCACTGTAGGACTTCTTGAAGCTGCTGCCTTTGTTGATGTCCCAGGACTTGATGGTGCGGTCTCCTGATGCCGAGACGATGGTGTCTCCGTGGATTTGGACAGCATTCACGGCAGCTTGATGCCCAGTCATAGTATTAAGCAAGGTAAAAGGCTGGACCAGCGCTGCATTATACTTCGGATCGCTCAGAAATTCATCAATCACACAATCAGGGATGACCTCACTGTCCTTCGCGATGGCTTGACGGTTCCAGATCTTGATGGTCTTATCCTTGGAGCATGTGACGAGGTACCGGTCATCGAAGCGTAGGTTCAGAACGCTCTCGTCGTGGGCCTTCCTGATCTTGTGGAGAACCTCGCCAGTAGAGAATCGCCAGGCGATGACATATGCGTCACTGCCACCACTGATGATAATGTCGTTCTTGTCACCAGGCTTTGCATCGAACTGGAGACACAGGACGCTCTGCTCATGGCCTTGCAACGGCTTGCCCTTTAACCGGTAGGTGTCCAAGTCCCAGATCCGAATCGTCTTGTCACGAGATCCTGACACAAGCCATCTCCCGGAGTGCTGAATAGTGTAAACACATTCTGCGTGTCCTTCCTCCTCGTGATTTGGATCGGGAAGCCGAAACATGGTATATTTTCCCATTTCCCAATTTTTCTCCAGCTTCCGACGTTGTTTATAAAGATAAGGCCAACTGAACTTGGGTTCCTTGGCCGTACTGAAGACAGTGGGTGCGATCTTGATGGAGAATTCACTCTCAAGAACAGGACCATCTGTAGGTGATTGCACTGCCGAAGATGGTGTTGCAAAGTCCATCAAAGCATCTTTGGCGGTCATGGTCGTACCTGGCACATTTCCTGCGTTCGAACGTATGGCGCCAATGTTCGGAGTAGAGGACTCCACCCCCTCCATCTCATCTGGACGATCACTGGTGTCTCCCTCGTCTTCTGTAGACTGCTCCTCGACGTTTGCTCTGGTGCTCTCGGTCTCACTGAACGCCTCCTCGCGCGGCCTCTTACGGCTCTCCCGTCGCTCCAGACCAGAGCCTGGACGGGCAGTTCGCATGATGCGCTCAGCGACTTGAGCACCCTTCTTCTTTGCGAGCTCTTCCTGTGACTCCATCTTCTTCTTGTCCACCACCCACCCTTCGCGACCGAAACAGTCATGCCATAGCTTTTCATCCTGGGTCCGCTCGCGCCAGGGTTTAGAGACTATTGAAGCCGTGAGGAGATCTGGTGGGGAGAGGTGGGAGAAGATGTGCAAGATGAGCTCGTTAGGCAGATAGCGCACAGGATCAAAGTAGACCATGCCACCGATTTTGCCGTGTAGATCGTAGAGAAGGGAGGTGGGGAAGGATGGGCAGACATCTTTGATCAGCTCTGGGTGTGATTGTCAGTTGTTTGCTTGCCAACCAGATCTGAGGGGACATACGAAGACGAGTAGCGACCGGTAGCTCGAGGATCTGTAGTCGAAGGTCATCGACCTTGGATGGCACAGCGATGTCGTCGGACTCAGCCATGCCGTCGTCATTGTCGCCAGGCTGCGAGTTGGTGTCGCTGCCAGGCTGGCTGTGAAAGCCCTCGTCCGGTTGGGGTCTCTGGTCGGGGAGCATGGTGGCGGTGTGCACGAGGCACCGAGAATCGCGCGTGCACCGCAGGTCGTGGTGGCGGAAGGTTGTCGCACTGGCAGCGGTGTTGTTGTCGGCGGCGAGTGATGTCGTAATGCGCCGGCGACGGTTCGGGTGCGGTGCAGCAGTGAGAGCGGTTTGGGCAAGTCCGTTGCAGGCAGAGTGAGGGTGTTGATTGAGTGGTGGTGCAGGTTGAGCGGCAGTCGGCTCAATGCGTCAGTCCGTCAATCAATCACTCGCTCGTCGTTCATTCACATGTCGCGCGATGCTTCACGTGTCTTCGATCCTGTGATGGTGCTTGCTTGAGTGTTTGGGGCGCCCGTGCTTTCACTCCACTCTGCCGCCGGTGACACGGGAGCGACCGCGACAGGGGATCGAGCCGACCGACCAAAGGGTGCTTGGCGGCGGGCGAGGCACGACTCAGGGCGTGCAGAGTGACGGATGCTCGCTCGATTTTCAGCGGTGGGCGCGATGCGGACGGGCGGCAGCGCCATGTCAGCGTGCTCCATCTCGTCGCCGCCTGCGATCACCGCGACGGTCACGACGTTGCAGCTGGGCGCTTCCCAGCACTGTGTTTGACGGCGAAGTGTTAGAGGGCGCCGGCCAATCAGCGGGCGAGTCCCTGGCGACTAAGGGCAGTCGCAAACACAAAGAGAAGCTTGTGGGGCCGGCGCTGGGCTGCTACCGCTGGTCGCTGTCGGCCACGCCTGCTGCTAGTAGTCGCTGTCCCCTTTCAAGCCCACCGCTCCAGTCTGCATCACGCTGCATTGCATTGTTGCATGCCCTCACCACTGCTGCTGCTGCTGTCCGCCTGACGCCGCCGCCATCCACCACCACCACCGCCCCCGACTCGCGCCCGCTGCCCGCGACTCATCGCACACACCCCTTCCACTGACTGCCCCCCCTCCACCATCTGCAAGCCGGCCCAGACCAAGACCGCATTCCCGCATCCAGCGCCCACCGCCGCCGCCGCGTCTCGCCCCTCCTCCCTCTCCCACCGCCGACACCCACCGCATTCCTCACCACCCAACAACTGGCCCGCTGTCTGGACCTATGACGGACCTAGTCTGAGGCCGGCGATATGGAAGTCGCGTCTCATGGCCATCCGCATTACGTTCGATCCTTGACCGCACCCTTGAACCCGCCAGGAGTCGTCGACCAGCCGCACTACGCCCAGAATCTCTCCCACCGCCACCCCTCCTCCAACATGAGCGCCGCCCAGAGCCCCTTGGTGCAGTCCCAGGGCCACACCTCTTCCAACTACAGCATCCAGTCGCAACCCAGCAGTCGAAATAGCGATACCACCCAAGGGACTGCTCATAGCACTCTCTTCCCCCCGCCGATGCCGTCAAATGCCTCTTCCGTGATCGCAAGCGCTGGCTCCAGCGCCAACAGCACTTACGATGTCAAACCAACGGACAATATCATGAACAGCGTCGCCGACGCAAGCAGCTCCCTCTTCCAGATATGCGTCGCATTGCGCCAGCGGTTATTAGGAGTGCCAGGTTTCAACGACTGTCTGTTGGCGGAGGAGGAAGACGCAGACGATGACACAGATCCTGTCACTCTTCTGTGGCGACTTTTTCGACGTGGATATCCTTTGATACTGCTATACAACGCCCTGCAACCCGATCAACCTCTGAGTATGCCTCAGGGCGTGAAGGAAGAGAAGAGAGGAAAGGCGGCCACTCTGCAGTTCGTGAGAGCGTGTATGAATGAGTTGAAGATCCCACAGGAAGAGCTATTCATCATAACGGACTTGTATGGAGACGATACCACAGGCTTCGTCAAAATTGCGAGAGTCGTAAATCGCGTGCTGGATTTGCTTGTAGCACGAGGGTTGATCGAAGATGTGCGCCCCACGCCTGACTTGGAGCAAGCGGCGAAGCGTACCCAGCGCCAACACATCGTTGCCGAGCTCGTCAAATCTGAACGAACATATGTCCAACATCTGGAACTGTTGCAGGCCTTTAAGCTTCTCGTCGAGGAGAAAGGTGTGATTCCCGGAGACGCGGTCCACGATATCTTCCTGAACCTGAACAATCTCCTGGACTTTCAGCGCCGATTCCTGATCCGTGTCGAACAAACGAATGCTCAGCCCGAAGAAGAGCAGAACTGGGGCAAGCTTTTCCAGTTGTACGGCAAGGCTTTCGACGTGTACGAGCCCTACATTGCAAATCAGAAAAAATGCGAAAAGACTGTGATCGCCGACTTTTCGAAGCTCAAAGAGGCTGGCGGTAGCATAGAGATGCGCCAGATGGTCGAATCCCCTGCGTCGTTACATTCCTTCTTGATGAAGCCTTTCCAAAGATTGACAAAATACCCTCTTCTGTTGGAGCAGTTGTATAAGAAAGGAGATTTGGACGATCAGAGAAAAGAAGAACTCAAATCTGGAATGGAGGCCGCCACTGCTGTGCTGAACCGAACAAACGATGCCGTTGCCAAGGAGGAGAAGATTGAGGCTGTCCAAGAACTGAAGATGCGAGTGGAGGACTGGAAAGGCCACCGAGTCGAAGGCTTTGGCGATCTCCTACTGTACGGAACCTTCACAGTGCTCAAGAGCGAGAACCTCGCCAGTGGTAAAGATGGCGAAAGACAGGTAAGTGTGACTCAAGCATGTACGTCAACACTGCTGACTTCGTGATATCAGTACCACGTATACTTGTTCGAGACCATACTCTTGTGCTGCAAGAACATTGACTTGAACAAACCCAAGAACAAGCTTTCGAACAAGAACCTGGTCGACAACAAGGGCAAACCGAAGTTGCAACTCAAGGGCCGCATCTTCATGCAGAACGTTACTGATTTGGTCTCACTGTCCAAACCCGGTATGATGAGTGATTACCCTCTGCTCGTGAAGAGTAATGAATGGGTATGTTCAGAATCAAGGCTGATTTGATTGGCTCTAGGCTCATATACATGTCAGATTTTCTGGAAAGGCGACCCGAGCATCGAGAATTTCATCATCCGATTTACTACTCACGAAGCTTTGAACAAGTGGGCCGCACAGATCGAGAAACAACGAAAGAGCTATCGCGAACGAGCGTCGGTCGCAAGGAACAGCGACGGAAGCCGCTCGGCCGGCACGAGCGTGAACGAATTCATCTATATGCAGAATCAACCCGCCCTCGAAAACCCTTACGCACAAGACATAGATGAAGAAGACGAGGAGGACGATGTCGATACCGTCGGCAGCGCATCAGGGGGCTGGCCGGGTCACCCATACCCACACAGCAGTGGAAGTTACTCACAAAGCAGGAACGGCAGCTCAAGTTCGCTGCGATCTCGAAGCACAACTGGTGAGAGTGGCCAATCGCTTTCCAGTCGACCGCCGCCACCACGACTTCCGCAAGGCATCACGCCAAGTCCTGCGCTCACTCTCAGAACAAGAGAGTTGCAACAGCAAGCCGCATCACCAAATGGCGATCAGCGCATGGATAGCTATTTCTCTCCAACAGTAGACTCCCCAATGTCCTCAAGAACAAGCGCTAGCTCTGGCATGTATCCTTTCCCCAGGCAGGTATATCCACAAAACGGGTACTACGAGGAAGGCCATGGAAGCTCTCGCTTCACGGCGCCAGCCATGGGACGACCGCAGAATGCGCCTCCAAATGGATACGGTCCTACTGCGAGAAGTCCAGCTCCACGACCTGGGTTCCCCCCTGGCAGTGGCATGCACAGTTCACAACAGATGCCAGGGCCCCGTAACCGGTCTGCCAGCAGTCCAGACATCCACAACGGCCAGCGGGTAGCTTTGAGGAATGGGGGTCAGCCGCCTGTACCTGAAGTGCCACCTGGGTACCAGAGAAGCCAGACAGGGTCACCCAATTTGGCCAATGGCATGCCGGGGCGGGGATCTCCTCAGATGTTGAGAGAAAGGCAGTACTCTGTACAGCAAGACATGTCGCCAACAGATTATGGGTACGGTGGCCCACATCGTCCTGGAGTGCCCCAGTACCCTTCATCGAGGACGCCATCAGCACCGAGAGCGCAGGCCATGTCGCCTCCACCGCCAGTCGAACCCTCACCGACGACGCCAGCCCAGCTCAAAGTCAAGGTCCAGTGTCCATTGGCCTCGCAAACACTGACGCTGGTTGTTTCCACGACCATCAGCTACCAGACTCTGAAGGACCGCATCGACGCGAAGCTGCAACGGTCGACGAATCTCACGCTCGGGGATCGAGGGATCAGCAAGGATGGTCAGGAGAGGATCCACGTGAAGCTGAAGTACCTGGATGAGGACGACTATGTCAGCATTCAGTCCGATGAAGACGTCCAGACAGCGTTTGAGACGTGGAGAGAACAAAAGGGCGAAGGCATTGGTGGAATGGGAGAGATTGAGCTCTTCTGCCAACGATGAGAGACCAAGGCGATGCGTGACTCTTATCTCATTTGGCCAGCGACCTAAGAGTGGTGCGATGCCAGCTCAGCAACAAGGCCATGACCAATCGCAGGCCGACACCATACAGGGCCGCTGATATTACAGCCTGGAACGCCATCCGAATCGACCGATCAGGCATCGACACGACCGCTACGAGACACGTAGCGAATACGGCGGGCAAAAGGCGATATAGACTCCGCGGCAGGTGGACGGAGATCCATCGGCTCGATACATTGCTATGACGGACATTCGACGTTGCTATTTACGTACCGGCCTGTCAGTGCCGGCTGGAGAGCTCTATGAATTTACCGGAGAGCATCTAACCACGACCACGCACACCATCACTATCAACAAATTACCAACAACCCGGTCGACACGGGAAGAACGAACCGGGCATCCGACAGCGACGAACGATCGAGCGAGGCTATTGCTAGCAGCGGCGGTGCAGAGACATTGATTTGAGCTCTTGCGAGAGCCGCTGCACTGGCAGGCACGCTGAAGTTTCTATTCTGATTTTTTGCTTTTGCTTTTTTTCTGACTGACGACGTGATGAAGATTCATTCAGTTCCATTCGCTTTGCTGGTGATGCGAAGGCGAGACCTCTTTTTTTAACATCATGGGAGATGGGATGGAAAGGGAAAGGGAAGGGGCCAAGGAAAGGGTTTTGCTGCATGCTGGGAGCGATGGGAGCGAAGGAAGATACCTACCTTATTGTTATGTAGTTGATGGAAAGGGTGTGGAGTTGAAGTCTCCAAACAAGTTATCCGTCTTCCATTTCAATCTCATCAACTCCAAAAGACGATGGGCGCTTGCAACCGTGGACATGCAAGTGAGGACAACAAAAACTCATCACGCTCCGTTCTGGCTGACAATTAGCAGGCAAGACTCCGTTAGAAGATCTCACTCTGAACATGAGGGCGGCAATTTCTCCTTCACTTCATCGAACGCGTGCTGAGCAAGTCGTGCACGTGCTGCTCACTTCGAGGTCGCTCCTGCCCTGCCTCGCGCTGAGAAGGGAAGGAACGATTCGGTGACTTCCTCGATAAGTCGCGAGCGAGCTACTTAAAGTGCTACATCCGTCTTCTCTCGACTTCATCCAAACAACAACCACCACCACCACCACCACCACCACCACCACCACCACTCTCTGATCACAGACCCCCTCGTGTGAGACACACACACACAACAACACAACACATTGACACACTTCTACCACAAGACCTACATTCGACCAATAGATCACCACGCTCGATCTCAAGTGACTGGCAAGATGTAAGGGAACTGAGTACTTGAGGGCGTGGAGTTTTGAATGACCGTTCAACTTGCAGACTAGCATCATGTCGCCTTCGGCTCACTTCATCCTCGCCCTTGTGGCTGCCTTCCTCGTCCCTGTCATGGCCTCGTTGCATTGGGAAATCGCCTTCTACACCGGCGAGAACTGCGACGCCGACACGTCCTACAACTACACGAGATACTGGGGCGAACGCACCTACTGGTGTCGCATCGCAGGCAACGCGGGTGACAACTGCGAATGGCACACGAACAACGGCGCCAGTGAGCAAAATGACATACCCCAGTCCTCGCTTCACTTCGCCCTTACTGACCGTACCCTTGCAAGCAGATGTCGAAGGCTGCACGTCGCCCATACAACCTCAGCCCAAGTCCTTCCGCTACGGCAAGCGCACGCTATGCAATGTCGGTGATTACCTCCCAGTCACGGGCAGCACGGCTGATGACGCGCTTGCCTGCTCGGACCATAACCAGTTATTCGGCAAGGGCACCGAAGAGACTTGCATCAAACTTGGCGACTGGCATCTCGAGGGCGAGTTTGTGTCGTTTGTGTGCATAGACCCTTGCAACATGTGGGTGGGCGAGAAGCCTCCCGAGTGTCGAGAGACCTCGTGCGTCTTTGAATGAGATGTCTCCGGGCTGATGCTTTCTGCTTGCTGCGATGGGAAGGAAGGGCACGGTGAAATGCGAGTGAAAGCTTGGCGTGGACACAAGGCTGAGATGAACTGAATGTTTTGCGTGTTTGATTCCTTCGAGTACTAGGCACTATATTGAGAAATGAGAACTCATCTGCCTTGCTCGACTTCGCCTCTCCTCAAACTTGTCGAAGCTTTCGAAGTGGTGAATGTAGTATTGCGCTGCAACAGCGTCATCAGCGTCATTGGGCGTCTCAAGGCTGGAGAAATGACGCTGAAGATCGTGAACGATTATCAATCCAGCTGGGGACGGACAAGATACATAAGTCACTCTCGAACCGACCATGCCCGGCCCTCGACATTATCTTGACTCCAAACACGCACTTAACCACCAGCCTCATCAACCATGGCCCTCAACCACCACATCGCAACCATCACGCCAACCCTTCAAATCTCCTACCTCGACACCCATCCTCCCAACACAAACGTACCCTCCGCGGCAAGAACACTCCTGCTTCTCCACGGCTTCCCGCAAACCTCTCACCAATTCCGCCATGTCATCCCCTTACTCGCAGCTCAAGGCTACCGCTGTAAATTCCCACTTTCCCCCTTAAAGCAAGACGAGCTGACATGATAAAGGCATCGCCCCCGACCTCCGAGGAACAGGATCCTCCACCGCCCCCACGAACGACTTCCTCAAAACAACCCTAGCCCAAGACCTCCTCGCCCTCCTCGACCATCTGCACCTCCCATCCCCAATCCACATCATAGGCCACGACATCGGCGGCATGGTCGCCTACGCCCTCGCCTCACGCCATCCCCACCGCGTCCGCAGCGTCATCTGGGGCGAATGTCCCCTCCCGGGAACGGAGACATATCGCTTAGATCGCACGGTCCCCTCGCGAACGACGCAGCAATTCCATTTCGTGTTCCACACCGTCCCGGATCTCGCGGCGATGTTGGTGCAGGGGAAGGAGAAGGGGTATGTGGAGCATTTTTTGAGGAAGATAAGTTTTAGGAGGGATGTCTTCCCGGCCGAAGAGGACATCTCTTTCTACGCCGACGAGTATGCGAAGGAGGGGGTTATGAGGGCTGCGATGGGGTGGTATGCTGCTTTTGAGACGGATGCGGAGGAAAATTTGGAGTGGGTGAGGAGGGAGGGGAAGTGTGCTGTGCCGACGATGGTGTTGAGTGGGGAGAGGAGTTGGCAGAGGGAGGAGGCGGAAGGGATGGTGAGGGAGGTTACGGAGGATGGGGTGGTGGAGGTGGGTGTTGTGGAGGGGGTGGGGCATTATCTTGCTGAGGAGGGGCCGGAGGAGTTTGTCGAGGTGGTGTTGGAGTTTCTAGGGAGGCATTGAGATTAGGAGCGGTGCTGTATGGGTGGTGAGTTCCAGAATAGGAAGCAGAGAAGCCTCTCAAACAGTCGTGGTTGATGTGATCATACCAGATCGATTACTTTCAGCTCATTCAGCTCAGGGTCCTCAATTCTAAGCTCAAGGACGCGAACCAAGGAGGAGTCCCAGTCGGGGTAGTCGCGCTCTTCTAAGGCATCGCTTTGTTGCACCAGGGGTGCAAGATATCCGACATAGTGATACACCGACACATCCCACCTGCAAGCGTGGTTCGTGGGATGAGGCGCAAAAGAATGCCTTATCGAGGCATCGCAAAAGCTTGTCGAGGTCTTGAGAATGTGGATTGTTCGCAGAGCCTTGGAAAGAACGTGGATGTGTCACCGTTGGATAAGTGCAGACCTTTCAGCGAAGGCCTATAGACTATACCAAAGTGATAGGTTCGACTTTATAGGCGAGGTACTTTGCCTGGAAGGAAAACCACTCTACCGTATCAAAGTAGCTTTTCTTCCGACGATAGTTTGACCACGGTTTTATGCGGCCCACATATTGATAAGTTTTTGGAACGCCTGTTGCTCGTAGAAGGGCGGGTGCGTGCAAACCGGGAATTAGAGCGACAAGATCTCCATTGAGTACCGTATCCCACAATTTCGCAGGCATATCTACCCAACCGTATGGAGGCAGTTCAGGATGTGTCCAACGAATCGGTGCATTACTCCGGAACTCCGGGGACTCAGGATGCTCGATCGTACCGAGAATGCAGCCTCGAAGGCACAGCGTTTCCAGGGACTTTTGTCGGGACTCTTGCTGCCAGTGGACTGTTTGCCAATCCTCAGGAAGGACGCTGAATCTCTGACCAGCACTGAAATCCCGACGCCAGTCAGGAACCCACGATGGTAGCATTTCCCCGTCCACTCGCCGGCATGCTCTGGCCGAGGGAAGGCAGAATCGAGCAAGAGAATGTCCAAGCTCTCGTCTCGGTAGATGATATATCTAGCCAGGCGTGTGAACGTCGTGGCTGGATGCTCAGAGTACGATATCGCGAAGCAATTGGTGCGACGTTCAACAGGTCTCTGCACATTGACGGATGGACATGCCCAGCATAGCGTAAATTCTGTCGTGGGTACATGATGACTTTGTGTCGACGGCTTTTTGGAGCACATTGACGATGTCTTGGGGTTTGTCTTGTTGGAGTCCAGGGTTGGGCTGATCGTCGCTGTCAGCAGTTGCCAGTGCCAATCGTGTGTTAATCGTGAGACCGTCTAACTTGTTCAGGAGCGTTTTCCCACTTGTGTGCAGCCTTGCTTTGTAGTCCGAAGGCATAGCGAAGGATGACACGAATGTGAGGCAGTCGTCCAGTAGCCCCAAAGTCCGCCATGCCGTGACGGAGACTCCGAGTCGTACGCCCAAAGCGCGAGCAGCCCAAGTCTCCTGCTTGATCCAGATTCGATCAAACCAATTTCGCTCTGATTACACATGAACTCCTCGCTCCAGTAAAGTAGCATGTCGGTCACAAAACGGCCACTCTGATGTGTCGCAGCCTTTTAAGCGTTCAGTCACCGTACAGCTGCCTGCCGCCTGTTCGCTAGGCTTGAGGCGATGGAAGTCCTCGTAGTCGTTCAGAAGGCCAAAAACGAAATCCACAGCCTCTCCGTCTAGGCCGCTATCATCAGCACAGGCCTCAGGCTCGCCGAGGTACGCCAGAACCCACGCAGCGCTGTGATAAATAGACCGCATCTTCGCCACCTGAACCGACTTCTCTTGGACATCGTGCTGATTAATACACAACGTATCAATCCACAAATACACCGGCGAAGCTTCATCACGTACTCGTATCAGTGCTCGATACGCCTCGATTTGCAAGAGGTATGGTAGACCGCTGCAGTCCATTCGGAATCTCGGGGTTTGGTCCTCACCCCAAAAGTAGGAGATCGCGAAGAAATCACGCCATGTCTTTGTTTCGAGATCGACAATGCCTCCTCCGTCGAGCATCGCTGCGTTGAACAGCCGTCCAACCAAGCCAGACTGCTCAGATCGGGGCCGTAACTCGAGAATGCGAATCTGCCATGTCTTCAGGGGATTCAAGGAGCCGTACAGGCTGTCGGCTTGCAAGCGCTGTGTTTCAATTCCTCCATCTTCGGGTGCAGGAATTCTTAGTTGGTTGTTGGGCTCTTTCTTGGCGTGGTAAGCCACGCAAGATGGCTCACAATCGGTCGCCATTACATAGCTCTCAAGGGTCACGAAAGACTGAGTGCATGTTATATGCTGAGCTGGCGCCCGAGCTCAGCCTCCTCGGCGGCTGCTTGGATGCCTTGCGAAGATCCTGAGTGGGCGCTTGATGTGCTGCTGCAAGTAGCATTTCGGTGTGGCAAAGGCGGTGGACAGCGTCTTCATCCGCCTTCTCAACCTCAGAGCTTGAATCCCCGTGGTCCTTGTGATGTTGAAGATGGACGACTAAAGCGATGGAATGTAGCACAAAGTGCAATGTCCACCTGCGAGAGTGGTCCGAGAGGTGAGGTCAAGCAAGGCTCCACAAAATCCCCATCGGCGCCCTCCGCATGCCCCATTGCCGGACATCACACCACCAACAACACCACCAATCCTCCGATTCCCCTCTTCCGTGAAACCAAACCCACCCTCTCTCCATATTGTAGTCGTCCCATCACGCAAACAGGTAGGAAGACATGGATTAGTATATGTTCCCCTTTTCTTTCTGATCCTTCCGATCACTTTTCACCATGCCAGCAGCAACAACGACGACACTACAAGCTACTACTTCGACGACGACTTGTTACGCGAGCCATCTTGCCTATTATCTTGCTACGGTGGGCACTGTGTTGCATACTGTCCACTTCGGCAATAGTCACAACAACGAACAACCCCAACGACAGGCTTCACGACAACAACACTAGTGAACGAAGCAAGTCCCTCAACCATCAACAACACAACAACACACCAACCACCACCTACCCACCCACCCCACCCACCCACCGACTCAACGAAAATGTCCACAACAGCAACCCTCAAATACTCCCTCCTCCTCACGGGCCTCCTCACCGGCCTCGCCGCCGCGACCCTCACAGCCCAACGCGCCGCCGTGCGAATAGGCCCCGCCATCGCCGACCGATACCTGGCCTTCGACGACAGCGCGCGGGACAAACCCCTCTCGGAAGCGGACGCGGCGAGGCAGAGGAAGTGGCGACGGGCGATGATCCGGCAGCAGATTAGGAATGAGTTGCAGAGTGAGTTGATGTGATCTGTATGGAGGGGATTGGTTGGGGAAGGGTGTTGATGGGATGATGATGATGATGATGATGATGATGGGGTTTGGGGTTTGGTTTTTTTATGGCGATGGATGGGAAGGGCGATGAACAGAAGCCCGGTCGGTGGCGTTTGTTCGGTCTTGGTGAATATCTCTTGAGAAGAGAGCCGAGGATCTAATTGTCAAGTCAGTAATGCAAAGCATACCATGACCCGCTAGGAAAGGGACAGGAAGGGGTAACCAGAATCAGCCAACAGAAATGAAATGAAATGACAATCAATTCAATGACCACTCATCAATTGAATACAATTCCAAGAAGAAGGAACAATCTCGTTAACAATGTCCACGCCGAAGTTTTCCCCGTCAAAAGCCCGTTCGCGATGGCTGCGATCTGTCCAGTCGCATGCTTGTAAGTATGTGATGATGGTAATGATGCTTGCCTCATGTCGAATGTTGTCCCGATACGCCAGTGCAAAGAAGTAATGAACGCCGTCAATTCGTGTCGTCATGAGTGCAAGAGTGACGCCCGAGAAATCAATCCACTCCGTACTCCCCTGAGTCAGCATCTCGCTGTACTCCAGCTCCTTTACATGTCCCTTCAACACCATGCTCCAATCTCATCGTTGCCACGTTGCCAATGCTGAGCCTCGTCACCGTGCCACAAATTTTAGCCAGAAGTCACTCGTGGCGTCGTCCCTGGGAGTAATATCTCGAACCTTCAACAGGTCGGCGTGTGGTCGTGTTTCGCGACAAGGCAAGCGAACCGTCTTCAACCGCAGCTGCACTATTCTCCCTGGCGGTATTGGGAATGCCGAAGCGCTCGAATGCATTTCGTACGAGTGTTGTTTGGGACACGCGCGCCTCCTAGTTAAGCAGCCCGTCAACTGTTCCAGAGCCCTCGGCTTCGTCGTTCAATCCCGTGTCGTCAAAATTTTGATATACATCCGTCATAATTTCATCTTGCTGGTGTGCAATCTCTTTCGCTCGCTCGGCCCGTCTCTCTCGCTGGATTTCCTCGAATCTCTCGGGGTCGTTCTCACGATCCCCGAAACTGTTGTACGACGGTCTGTCGCCATAAGCAGGATCCTCGTAAGGCACTACGCCCGGGCTGCTGTTGTGGGAACGAAGACCTGCTGCGGGGGCGGGATAGAGCTCATCCGGGTCCGGAGGTGGAGCAAAGTTCCATACCTAGATCACAGGTTAGCCACAGTTCGGCATACGGTGTTGTCAATCAATTGTCAATCAATCCTTACCTCCATGACGGTCTTCCCTCCTCTGCTCGCGAGCACCACAGCCTTCTCATCCTCGAAGACAACCCTCCAAACTGCCTCAGCCGGGTTGCCCAATTCGCGAACAAGACTGCCTCGCTGCAGATCCCAAACCTTGACTCTTCCGTCACTGCCACCAGAGACGATTCTGCTGTCGTCGAACTGTAAGCTGGTCACGCTGTTGTCGTGTGCAGCCAATCGATGAATAGCTGAATAAGTCTGCAAACTCCACACCCTCACACTGCCATCGCTACCTCCAGTGACGAGGGTATCATTGCGAAGCTGTAGCTGTCCAACGAGCGAAGTATGTCCTTGTAGTTGAGCCAGGCATCGTCCATCGCGGGGATCCCACACTCGAACGCTAGTGTCGAGGGAACCAGTGGCTACACGTCGTCCGTCGAACGCGACGGCATAGATCTGACTGAAGTGGCCTTGCAGTGTTCGAAGACAGCGGCCTTCGCTGATCGACCATATTCTCGCGGTGGTATCGTAAGAACCAGAAACAACGAGGTCGCCATGGATCTCCAAGCAACGGACTGAAGCCTGATGGCCCACCAGAACGTGCCGGCACACACCCTTGCTAATGTCCCACACTCGCAAAGTCGTGTCTCGCGAACCAGAGATGGCAATGTTTGGCCCACTCATCTTCAAACAACGGACTGTGCTTGTGTGTCCTCGCAGCATATGCAAGGCAACGCCGGTGGTCAAATCCCACACTCGCACATCTCTGTCGCAACCGCCTGAGACCAATGTATCGCCGTAGGGGACCATCGCCCACACCCCCATAACGTGGCCTTGCAAGCAGCGCAAGTGCCGTCCTTCGGTGTCGAAGACATGGATCTTCGCATTGTCCAATGCCACGATAATGTAATCAGATGTGAGATGCAACGAGGTAACGACTCCCTGATCTGGGGTGATTTGCCGAGTTTGAACAGCACCACCATGTCGCCAGGCAGTCTCAACCTGGTAACGTTGCTTGAAGTGACTGCGATAGCTGATCGCTTTTGGTCTGCGTCTGGAAGATCCAGCTCTGGCTGACAGGGCCGGTGGCAGAACCGAAGGTGTGGTATTCAAGCTAGTCCGGCGTGTAAGGTCCGGTGCGCTAGAGGATAGAACCGCCAGCGAAGGATTTTGAGCCTGAGCGATTCCTTGATATCCATACGGATGCTGGAACCTAGGACTAGCATTCGAAACTGCAGTAACGGGTATCGGCCTTGCGGGCGAGGAAGACGGCTCGTCCGACATCCTTCTGTAAGCGTGTCTCTCACACAAGCTTTTCCATGCCATGTCGTCGCTAACCAGTTCCCGCCATCTTCTACTGACCTGAGAACTCCTGGCCAGTGTCGTTGCATCTTCAATGAATGTCAGGATCCGGAGACACAACTCGTTAGGCAGCACTGAGAAAGGATCTCTTTTTAACCTCGGTCCAACAAAGCTCGCCACGAATCCCAGCAGCTTGCCATCGCACATGTTGAGGAGTTCAGCCAGCATGCGTTCCCGCTCATTGTTGTCCATATCGGCGAACACCGCACGCATGTGTCTGTAGCCAAAGCCATAACCTCTTGCGGAGCTTGGTCCGCTTGTTTGTGTGGATGCTTGTTGTTCTGAAGCGTCGTCGAGATCAAGATCTCCAATGTCTTCGCGTGGATCTGCTGTACTCCAATCTGGTGCGCGCTGCATCGGTGTCGGACTAGGGGCTGGTGTTGGAGGGCTGGCGGGGGCTGAAGGGAGAGTGTTCCCGGGTATCACATTGGGGTTAGAAGGTATAGGTATAGGCATGGCGGGCACGCTGTTCATGGAGGTGGTGGGCGTGTTGAGCGGTCGTGGGCGGACGGCACTCTTGCCATGGCGGCCATAGAAGCGATTGTTGTGAGATTGCGATGACATGCGGGCGAGAGGCGAAGTGCTGTGGGTGTCTTGATCTTCGTCGGCGGCGGAGGCGTAGTCCATGATGTTTGAAGAGGGGCGACGGGACGTTGGCCAGTCTGCGTCCTCGCCCATGCCCTATCGCAGCGTGAATGTCGTCTTCGCAGGCCCTGCGCAGCAAGTCGAGACTCGTGGGGGATATAAGGTGTCGCGGTTCTGGCGCTGGATCTTTCTCCTTCAAGGGGCAGCCGGCACTTCGACGCTCTTTCCAAGGCGCTGCACGGCGATTTGTACAGGTTCAATCAGCACATGGTCGCCCCGCTGTACCACAGTCGATGCTCTTTTCTCTGCAGGTCACAGATCACTCGGTCGTCGCACGAGAGGGCGGTAAGAAGCGGCCAGACAAGCTTCGCACAGGGCAGTGATCGTCTACCGGGTCCCCGACCTCACGGCTTGCGCTCGGCTTTGTGTGTCTCGATTCGGGGCGGTCGACAGTGGGAGAGTGTGTGGTGGATGGGAGCAAGAGTCGGGTCGCTGGCCGAGAGGGAAAAGGTAGCAGGACAAAGAGTGGAAGAGTGGAAGGTTTGCATGCGCCAGCGAGTCGAACCCTGGTGCTGGTGGATGGGGTGTGGACCGCTGCCGCCGTTGCGTTCTCCAAGTCCGACAGACGCCCAAGCTGACTTCTCGTCACCGCTGCAACACTGCAACTCTGCCTGCTGAACAATCAATTTCCGCCCAGACTGTCTCCCGGTGGTGGCGAGGAGACTGCAGTGCTCGCCCGCAAGGTGCTGCAGCGTGTATCATGCAGCACCGCGCCGAGTCGAATCACGATGCCCGTTGCCGCCGTGCTTGGATCTGGTGATTTCGTCACTCTTCCCAGCGCCACAGCTGGCAAGCTATACCACTATCGGGTCCCTTGAGTCGTGCCCTGCGCAGGCTTATGCGGATGGCGCAATGAGGACGAGAGCTAGCCGGGAGGAGTATGCGTGATTTCACTGCTGGTGATAAGAGTGGCAGGGTGGCAGGTCAGCGACGTGAGATTCCCTTGGGTGCGGAGATAGCGAACAAAGAAACGCGAGTATGACAGCTTCACACAAACCGGCAGCGTGATGTTTCGGGGTCAGCTACGCGGGAACAGGTTCGCATTCCTACCATTCTTTTCGTGTTGTCTCTTAATCCCTTTGCGCATCACAGAGGCGCACCGTTCGGCGAACCAACACATGTTCCCAGCCTCCATCTCCAGAGTAAACCTGTCCCAAAGACAAAGTGGAATCTCAAATCCCAATTCAACCATACAAAGCATTCCATATCCAAGATTGCTACACGCGGATCAACCGACGTCTCCTTTCCAAGCCGACTCTCAAAGCCTCAACCTTTCCAATCGCATACTCGCCCCAGCGACCTGCTTTCTCAAGATCCGTATCACCTCTGGGTATATTCCTTGCTTGTCGACAAACCCCAAAAACCTTTCCAGTTGCAGCACCAGGCCTTCGCTAACCGCACATCTCTCCTTGCCCTTGTCGATCAGATGCCTCATGTCCAGCCTCGCATTCTCGGTCTTGCATCGCCAATCCCACGAAAAGTACTCCATCTCACAGAACGTGGAATATCGAGTCGTCTTGGAAACTTCGTCTTCGATGCGGGAGCATACTCGTGGCACGTATGCTGCAGCGATGTCCTTCACTTCATCTGTTGCATCTTCGTCGTGATCGCATGGTCCCATGATGGCGATTGGTTCTGGCTCATATCGATTCCGACCGTGCAGTTCGACAAAGTAGCGCGGCAAGGCATCGGCGTTGCTCATCCAGATGCTTTTGTGGAGAAAGACGTCCTCATACCCGGGTGGATAGAGAATCCTGTAACGTCGCTTACGGAGCGGCTCCGTGTTGATTACGGTCGTGGCATTGGAGAGGCAAGGCCCAGAGAGCAATTTCCATGCCGACGGCGCCCTGTTCGATCGAACGAAGTAGTTGATTATGGGCGGGAGAGGTTGTTCGCGGAAGAAGCTGTCGACCTGCTCCAATGCGAGTGTCGAGACCGTCTTGTAGGATGGCAATGAGTCGTAGTAGCTTGGCGGGCCGTCCATCGCCTCGTCATCCATTAGGAGCTGCTTCCAACATATGTCTGTTCTGGCGGGAACTGATGCGGTGTAGGCGGTGGAGTAGTGAGAAGGACGAGGTTGAAGCAGAGAAGGCATGGCGTGATATTCAGATGCTTGACACCGCAAGGATACAGTCAGAGGCTGCGGCTCATCCGGTCGGGCTGACATTGAAGCAGTAGAAATGTCAGGCACAGAGCGCACGACAAAGGCAGGGGAGACCGGTTGGGTGTTGATGAAAACATAGCGAGCTGTTATTATGACCCTACTTGATGCCGCGTGTTTGCGATCCAAACATGCAAGACAAGGACGGAGCAAATCAACACGCATTCGTCTGGCAGCTAGGACGCCCATGCTTGGAGGGTTGCCAACTTGCCAGCATTCCAGGGCTGACCGAGTGAGACATGTTAAATGGCGATCTGAATTCGGTTGCGTGGCTGTGGAGAGGCGTATTGGCGGACGTCGTGGATGTCTTGATGTCCTACAGCCCTGGCGGTATCTTTCTCTGCATTAGATGTCTTCGTAGCAGTAGGAATGTGGAAGTAGGAGAGGTCGTCGGACAAACAGACGCTAAAATTAAATATTCGGGCCGTTCGCCGTTTTGGCGCTGAATTCGCGAAAGCGTCCGTGCCCCGACGAAGAGCTCTCGGAAAGATCTCTCAACCCGAACTCGTTGGTCGACGAGATTGAGAGAAACCTCGACCGCCGCCCTACCCCGTCTCTTCTCCTCACCACCCTGTATCCCTCTCGCGGCGCGGTGACCATGCTCTCTCGATTCGCGCCCCGCGCCTTTGCTGCGCCCGTCAGATCCAATGCCGCCAGATTCACCCCGGCATTGAGGACTGTCACCACCGACGCCGCCAGCAGCCACGTTGAGAAGAGCGATGTCCCACAGGTATGCGTCTTCAATCATCATGTCCGGACCTGGCAGTGTCTAACACCCTATCCAGGAAGATGACAAGCCCTTCCAAGTCCGCCTCAACGATGAGGCTTTCGAGACCTACGAGCTGGACCCCCCTCCTTACACCCTCGAGACCACCAAGAAGGAGCTGAAGCAGATGTACTACGACATGGTGGCAGTGCGGTATGTGGCTTGAGACAGTGGTAATGAGGCTGGAATGGGACAAGGACTGACAACCGCGTGTAGCCGCATGGAAATGGCCGCTGACAGACTCTACAAGGAAAAGAAGATTCGGGGTTTCTGCCATCTGTCCACCGGTCAGGAAGCTGTCGCTGTCGGTATCGAGCATGCCATCACCAAGCAGGATCACCTCATCACCGCCTACAGATGTCACGGTTTCGCCATGATGCGTGGAGGAACTGTGCGCTCCATCATTGGTGAACTCTTGGGCCGAAGAGAGGGAATCGCGTACGGCAAGGGTGGATCTATGCACATGTTCTCGACGGGCTTCTACGGAGGTAACGGAATCGTCGGTGCGCAAGTGCCAGTCGGTGCTGGTATTGCATTCGCCAACAAGTACGAGGAGAAGGACAATGTCACACTTGCACTTTACGGTGATGGTGCTAGCAACCAGGGTCAAGTCTTTGAGGCTTTCAACATGGCTGCCCTCTGGAAGCTCCCCGTCATCTTCGGTTGTGAGAGTAAGTCTGAACATGCGCACATTCTTCAAGATGTTGGCTAATGTTGGGATCAGACAACAAGTACGGTATGGGTACTGCTGCCAACCGTGCCGCAGCCCTGACCGACTACTACAAGCGTGGCCAGTACATCCCAGGTCTCAAGATCAACGGTATGGATGTCCTCGCCGTCAAGGCTGCCGTCAAGTACGGCAAGGAGTACTGCAGCGCTGGAAACGGACCTCTCGTCTACGAATACGTCACCTACCGATACGGAGGCCACTCCATGTCCGACCCAGGTACCACCTACAGAACCCGTGAGGAGATTCAGCGTATGCGTTCGACGAACGACCCCATCGCCGGCCTGAAGCAGAAGCTGGTCGACTGGGGCGTCACGACCGAGGAGGAGCTGAAGGGCATTGACAAGGAAGCTCGCAGCCATGTTGATGAGGAGGTTGCAGCTGCAGAGGCTATGCCGCCGCCAGACCCAACTCCTGAGGTGTTGTACGAGGACATCTACGTCCGTGGATCGGAGCCACAATTCCTTCGTGGCAGGATACCAGAGGAGAACTTCTACTACCCTGAACGTCCAGTGCAGGTTCCCAAGTCCCCAGCCCAGACTTAAAGCAGTCTGGCAGAGGAAGTGCATTATATAGGAGGAGCATGACGAGTGTCCTGGGCTTTGCTGGTTGATGGCGAGGCGCTGGGTCTTGAATCGGGAGCGAACCATTTTGCGTTTGTGCTTTGAGCAATTGTACATTGAACAACAGCAGAAGAGAGCGAGCCTTCTCATATGTATTCCCAAACACTTGCCAGCGATTGTGATGCGGTCACACCTCCAGCTTCCCGTTCGAGACCATGCGAACCGACAAGAATGTTGAACTCAGAAAAAAGCAACCGGCTCAGATAGCCGGAAACGAATCAAGCCCTGCGAATCAGCGGCGCCAACCCGCTGACAGAGCTTTGTCAAGCGCGCCGAGTGACGTCGATTCCGGGAGCAACATCTGCTTTCTTGCTGCACACGCGCTTCATCGCAGTGGGAGCTGCGGATGCAGGCGGAATCGCGATGGTGCGTACTGAGGGACTAAGGCGCCGCGTTCCTGGACCCATTGACGCTATCACCGACCGCTGCCGGTGAGGGAGACATTGCGTAGGTATATACACAGAACCGGTTGGGCTGGTCTCTTTTCTTTCCCAGCCATTCTGATCTGCGGTGCTGTTTGCTTTTCGTTGACGCTCTTATCTCCCCTCTCCTCTCGCAAGGCATTGAACAGCAGGAATCAAGAATTCGAACAGCTCAACACCCTCCACTCCAGAACAAACACCGCCACCACCACCATGTCCACCCAAAAGCCCGTGGGCCTCCCAACGCCCAAGAGAAAGATCGAGCTCTTCTCCGCCGAATACTTCGCCGCCTGCACAATCGGCGGCATCATCGCCTGCGGCCCCACGCACACGGCCGTGACCCCCCTCGACCTGGTCAAATGCCGCCGGCAAGTCGACCCCAAAATCTACAGCTCCAACTTCCAAGCCTGGAGCAAGATCTTCCGCGCCGAAGGCGTCCGCGGCGTCTTCTTCGGCTGGGCGCCCACGCTCGTCGGCTACAGCTTCCAGGGCGCCGGCAAGTACGGCGCCTACGAGGTGTTCAAGTACTACTACGGCGAGAAGCTGTTCCCCAACTCGCCCAAGCCGCTCGTGTACCTGGGCGCCAGCGCGTCGGCGGAGTTCATTGCGGATATCTTCCTGTGTCCGTTTGAGGCGATCAAGGTGCGCATGCAGACGACGCTTCCGCCGTACGCGAGCAGTTTGAGGGAGGGCTGGTCGAAGATTGTCGCGCAGGAGGGCTTCGGTGGGCTGTACAAGGGTCTCTATCCGCTCTGGGCGCGACAGATCCCGTACACCATGGTCAAGTTCTCGACGTTTGAGGCGACGGTCGAGCAGATCTACAAGTACCTCGGCAAGCCCAAGGATCAGTTCAACACGCTTCAGCAGACTGGCGTTTCGTTCCTGGGAGGCTACATCGCTGGTAAGGCAAAACGTCAACGCTCTTCCTCTCACACATTTGCTAACTCTCCTCTCCTCTCACAGGTGTCGGCTGCGCCGTCGTCTCCCACCCCGCCGACGTCATGGTCTCCAAACTCAACGCCGACCGCAAAGCAGGAGAAGGAGCCGGTGCCGCGTTGGCCAGGATATACAAGAACATTGGCTTCTCTGGTCTGTGGAACGGTCTCCCAGTCAGAATTGCCATGATTGGAACACTCACGGCATTCCAATGGCTCATTTACGACTCGTTCAAGGTCTATCTGGGCCTGCCGACGACTGGTGGCCATTAGAGAATGATATCAGGGTTGGAGATGGCTAGAGAAGGCTGGATTTGTCTCCCGGGCTGAGCTGGAAGCTGAAACCCTCTATTGGGCTTAGCGCATTCACAATCTGAGCCATCAGATGTCGAGAAGGGGACAAATCTGAGCGGATGAGAGGATGTGCTTCTGGAACACAGCATTCGAATAGAGCATGGCGCTCAGGAGTTTGGGAGAGTTGGATGTCAAGGTACACGGCACGGAGTCAGGAAGTGCATAGCAAAGGGAAGTAAAGACATGAATAATGAGAAAAAGAAGATCTTCAAAAATTGCTCTAAAACACGTTCACACATTCCATCTACTTTACTTCGTCTGCCCCCACCCCGGCTCCCCCAACCACCCAAACACCTCGGTCGCCATCGCCGTCCTCTCGCTCGCTGTGCCCCCAGGCCCCTGCGGCCCGGGATCCATCCTCCAATCGACATTCCGCGTCCGCCCCTTCAACACCTCCATCACATACCCGCCGCCCACACTCTCATCCTCCACACACCTCAACAACGCCTCCGCGACCTCCTCGGGCTCGACCCACTCGTCCTGCTCCGAATTCAACATCTGCAACTTCTCCGGATGCTCCGTCCACAGGGGGGTTTTGATGATGCCCGGCGCGACGCCGTTGACGCGGATGCTGAGGGTCTGGTCGAGCTGCGCCAGCGAGCGGATGAAGCCCGAGATGGCGTGTTTGGAGGCGATATAGAGCGGCGTGGCGAAGCCGGGGGTTTGGCCGGCGATGCTGCTGATGTGGACGATGCGTTTGGGGTTCGAGGCGGAGGCTTTGCCGGCTTTGCTGCCCGGGATGGGGTTGAGGAAGCGGGAGATGGCGAGTTGCGTGGCGCGGATGGGGTGTGTGATATTGAGGTCGAGGGTGAAGTAGTGGCCGATCCCTTCTTCTTGAGTGCCGGCGATGGGGTCTCTGGCTTTGGGTTTTCCAGGGGGGACCCAGAAGTTTGAGAAGTGTGGTTCGAAGACGCCTGCGCCTGGGCATAGGATGTCGAATCCGCCGAAGTGGGTGTCGGCTTCGTTGAAGGCGTTTTCGAGTTGCGACCAGATTGTTACGTCGGTTTTGACGAAGATGGCGCGGGGTTTGGAGTTGTCGTTTGAAGAGTGGTCGTCCACGAGGGTTTGGGCTTCGGGGCGGAGGGCGATGTCGGCTATGAGGACGTTGCACCCTTTGGAGAGCAGGAGGCGGGCGAAGCAGAAGCTGATGCCTGGTAGCGATCGTCAACAGATAGACTTGCTACTTATGTTGTAGGTGAACTCACCAGACCCAGCACCCGTAAGCAGCGCAGTCTTGCCATGAACAGAGAAAGGAACAGTATCCGAAGGAGCAGCCATATCTAATCAACAAGACACTCGAAAACAACTTACGGTCTCGACATGTGGTACGAGGGGTCACCCCATTTTATGTTCGTCAACTGACATCGGGTGAACTACTCGCAGAAGCAGCCGCGGATGGCTTATTTTAAGCTCGTTAGCTATTCCACATAGCTAGAAAAAGCAGGAATCCCGTCACCGGAGCCATCGGTGCGCGCGTGTGAGAGCAGAGCTCCAACAAGTGAAGCGGGGTGTCTTGGATCGTGGAGAAAGTGTGGGTTGGCGAGGTGAGGTGGTCGGGTGAAAGGGGCAGGCGGAGCGAGCTCGTTGGACCTTCCTTGTTCAGATTGAACATTCACTTCAGGCGTGAATGGCCGGCGAGGGAATCTTGTATGTTTTTCTCCAGGATCAGATGCCATGCTTGTAGGGTACTTGTTTCCGATGCAACTTGCAGCGGGCTCACATCGCCGTCATTCCTGGCACCTCTCGTAAGAATCTCTCAATTTCCTCCACCGAAATTTGTTCTTGCCCCTGGATCAACTTACGTCTGTGTCTATCCCCTCACAGATGGAAACATCAAAGATCAAGTTCAGCCAGAAAGTATCCTCAGAACACCGGCGTTTCCACCATCCCTCAGCTCATAAGCAGTATAGCGGCAAGCTTGTGACGAATGTGAAGTACTCCGTCATGTTCGTCTTTCGCAGTTGTCATGTCGTTGAGTAGAGGTGAAGAAGTCAGTCGCCCAGTGCGAAGGCCGAGAATGTGAGAGTCTTCAATGAATTTGCCCCTGTGAATGTGTTGATCGGTTTTGACGCAGATCCGCCCTGGTAGGAACGATGATGTTTCACCTGGGCACATAGTATCTGCCGGTGGATCTTGAGACGCGACTGGTCTTTGATGCGACGTCTTTATCATATTTTTTGAATTACTACTTGCAGCTCGGGAAAAAGACCAGCATCGCTCTGTCTTGATGGGATCTCTAAGGACGGTACCTCGACTCGTGGTTGCCGTATGATGCTGGTCCTTGTCGTGTGTAGCCTCGGCACAATTTCACATCGTACCAGCCAGAATGAAATTGCAGCCGTGCAGTGTGGGACACTGAGTAACGTCATTGATCTTCATCTTCAGTCAATGTCCCACGAAGCTGTTTCCAGTGCCGTCTTACACGCCTCGCATACTGAGTATCATCCCCCACCGTAAAACGCTCAAGCCTTGGAGCATGACGATGGATCTCACCAGCAGCAACGCGCGCCACATGTCCCGTAATGTCCGGATCCGCCGGGTCCACGACATCCATGTCGAGTGAATGGAGAGATGGGAACAAGGGTGCCGCAACATTCTTCAGCTTTTCCAGGTAGAACGTACCTCCCAAGGAACATTTCTCTAAGTCAGGACAGTTCTGCCCCAGTGCCGCCAGGTATGCCATACTGTCTTCGAAGTCTGCACCTAAATTGAGGATTCGGAGCAGAGGCAGACACTTGAAGACCTCGTCCACAGTTTCGGGCGTCGCAGATATTTGAGCCTCTCCTCCTCCTGCTATGTCGAGGCTGCGCAATTTTGGGAATGTTTTCAATGAGATGAAGTCCTCCGTGTCGAGGGCCCCAGAGAAGTGGAACTTTATGATAAGGACCTCAAGGTCTTGCAAAGGTGATATGCAAGGGACGACCTTGAGTACTGTGTCGGTGTAGATCTTCAGCTCGAGCTCCCTTACTCGTTTTATTACAGGTACGATCACTGGCAGAAGACTTGACCAAGTGTAGAGATCTACAGTCTCCAGACTGCGGAATGGCTTTTCGACGGTCTCATTCATCAGACGCACTGCGGACGCCGACAGAAGGTTCATCAGCGCCAGGGTACGCAGTGAGTCGAGTCCAGCAAGATAGCAGAATATGTCGTCGGGAACCTCCTCCCCTTCACTGTAGTGCAAGCTGATGTCGTCAAGCTCACGGAAGTGCTTCAGAAATCCGACAAAGTCAAGCTCGCGGACATCAGAACCGATGTTGTCGATGACCAGCTTCCTCAGTCTCGGACAGTGGTCCGTCAGAAGCTGTTGTAAGTCGACATTGACATCTCCGCCATAGAGTTCGAACTCTCTGAGATTTGGCTGAAGATACTGTCTTATCCAAGGAGTAGTATTTCGAGTTCTGTAAGTGTCTATGGCAACGTAGCGCAATTGAGGGAACCGCAATTTGGCGTATTGGGTGTGGGCAGTGCAGTCCCGGTATCCATCGAATGCCAGAGCCTCGATACGACTCGCATACTTTTGTCGGCCTTCTTCTGGGAGGTTGAGCAGGGCTCGGGATGGAGGTTCTCGCCACAGCACCTTGACGCCGTGCTCGTTCCAGAAAGATTTGACACGGATAGCTGATGACAACGAAAGATGGTCGTCTTCCAGGAAATCGAGGATGAGGGCGAGCAACTCGGGCAGGACCAGAGCGCGCTCGACTGCAGTTTCACCCATGGTCCAGACCTGCGCACAAGGAAAGCTTGAGAGTTCGAGTAGCGTCCTCGATGTCGTGCAAGAGAGTGTCTCTCTCAGCAAGTCAGGGCAACGACGTTGGACAACGCGTGCCTTTCGCTCCCTGGTCTAGCGTAAACTCTATTCGACGCAACTTCTACGCGTCGACCTTGGCGTCATGGTTGGCGACTACAATTCACATCCTCCATCCCGAGACAGCTGACATTCGACTGCACGGTACCTTCAGACCAATACGAGCTCATGCCTTCCAAGAGGTATGCGGATCTGGACGTGGTTGACCTCGCCGGTACATCGACTAAACGCGCCCGCGTCTCAAGAAATTCAGCAAGACCTCCAAAGATTCACCATCCGAGACATATTTACAAGAACCATGCGAAATCTGGAGTAGGAAAAGAGTTCCATTCCGTGCCGTACCCGCTTTCGCTGCTACCGAAGAAGTCATGGGCAGCACTCAATAATGGCGCAGCCGAGGGCGCAGTATGTTCCAAATGCGAAAAAGCACGAGCATCCACCGCACATCAGCGGAAGCTCTATCTTGTGGCCGAACGACTTTCGTGGGAGATAGGAGCCACCAGCTCTGCGGCGAGGAGTTCGAACGAGGTCGCCTTATGGGCCGTCAATGCTGAGCTTGATATCTTCGAGCCCGCGGTAGACGACGATGAGGTCGTCATCGGCGGTCGGAATTCCCGCCACAACGATTGGTTTCCTTTCAAAAGCCAAGTCGAAGCCGAGACCGCGATGGGTGTCGTGGCGAGGGCAGACGTGCTTAGTGGGGAGAGCTGGAAATTATGGAAGGAGAACATTGACAGAACACTGCAATCTTCGCTCAAGGCAGAAAGTTCGTGGACGGAGGAGCACCCACTTGATCTGAATGCCGATGATACTAGGCCTCCTTATTCTGGACGATCAGCTCTGAAAGATCTGAGTCCAAATTCGAGGCAGAGACAATCTCCTCGAAAGCATGGCAAGGAGCCTCTTCGATCAGCGTCATCACTGCCAACGCCGCCATCGTCTGGGAGTATCGAACCTCCCGAAAGAGATACAGAAGAGCCGCCTCCTTGCAGCTTCAAGACATTATCAGACTTCTACGGCCTCCTCGACAAGATTGAGCGGACGAGCCCAATGAGGGCGAAATTTCTTGAAGCATATGCTGAAAGGTTGCACAATGAGTTGTGTAAGGATTGTTGGTTTGAGAGCAGTATCTTGAACAGTGTCATGGACGATGACGAGGAGTCAGAGGCCGAAGATCGACCAGAGCAGTCGAGCAGCAGAGCACCGACTCTCCAACAAACTCATGGCCCGCCGCGATATCCCATACCTCATCGGCCAGCTCCGCCGAGCACTGCACCGACGCTCGCAGCCGGTCGTCGCATTGCTCACGCCGCGCCAAATATCTCTCACGCCCATCCGCCAAGCCAGCCTGGAATTCTCAATGAAGCCGAGTTACTCGGGAGATATCAGTGGGTGAATCAGCAAGACCTCCGTCGGGCGCACCCCATTTCACAAGCCAGAGCAAGAGAAGCCACCCAAGACCACAGATCTCGACGGGGTCACGAGAGTATCCTCAGCCCTGCACAACAAGCCGAACTAGCGCGTGCTCGCGGAGCTATACAGCAACACCAAGGTCGTCGGAACGTCCCTACCGCCATAGCACCCGCCCCTAGTCTGCACGCGCCTGCGCATGAGAGGCCGCTTCCACCTGGCTGGGAGATGCAGACCACTCCGGATGGCCGCCCGTTCTTTCTCGACCACTCGAGGAAGATCACAACATTCATAGATCCACGCTCAGCTGGTATCCCGTTGCGAAGATGAGGTTGAATGTTGCACAGATGTCTGCTGCTCGGCGTAGGCGTATCCAAACATCAACAATATCTGCAGCCGCAGAACCCAAGGCGTAATGCAATTATACAGCAGGATCTGGTCCACGTCGATGTTCCTCCGATCTGGCTTGAGATTGTCCAGGGTCTGCAAGTTCGAATGAATCTCCCATTTCTTTGCCTTGATGTCAAAAAAACCTTGCGAAAGTAGCAAATGAAGAACGACACAATGATCAAGACGGAAACTGCGATCATCATGCCTCGATTGGCCGCAATTCTCGGATTTTTACATGAATTGTCGCCGGCGGAGGTCTTGGATTGAGCGATATATGATTCCGTCTGGTTGTGCATCATGAACTGCTTTGATGGCTTTGTCGTTTGTCCGAAAGGATATTGCAGGTGATGTACGTGCTGGGTATTGAGCACCATGGAAGCCCACTATATAAATGTAGCCTGAGCGAACTGTGCCGCACGGTTGCATACGCGCCCCTTTAAGCGCAGCGACATCTCTTCGTAGCTTCTTGTCTCATTTCGCGCTGGTCAGCGAACTCTATGCACTCCTCCAGCGGCGAAAAGGCAGGACGTCCACGCCTGTCTTCGAGATCTCCATAGAGGCAAATGCATGCATTCTCCCCAAACCAAACCAGTCCGTCCCGGAAAGGGGAAACAGTGATCCAAGTGGAGGGCGCCGAGTCACATGCACATCGGAGAGCCTCAAAAGTCCTGTACACCAGTCTCGCCAGTAGGCAGCCCCTCGCCGACAAACTGCGCATCTTCCCTCCCAACATAATCCTCCAACTGACTCCGGTCCTCCTCCGCGCGATCATCAAACTCCTCATTCCGATCCACAACCGCATAATCAAAATCCCGATCATCCCCCCTCAAAAACCTCTGCTCCATCACATCCGTCCACATCGCCCAGGCGTCCTCTTTCGTCCTCGGTCGAAACTCCTCGTCCGCTTCGACGCCCACGATCGAGCCGTCCTGTGCGCGTTTGTACACCATCGGGCTGTTCGGATCCGGATGCTGGAGGGCTTCCAGTTTGGCTTCGGATCGGACCAGGTCGGTTTCCATGGAGCCTGTGAAGCCTCGTTCGCGGCCTTCCTTTTCACGCTCGGCGGCGGATTGGAAGCGCCGCACGAGGCGGTCGTAGAGGAGGGGATCTGAAGGACAGTGTTGGTTTTCTTTTTCGCTTTTTGACTGAGGCTGAAGGCTAGGATGGTTCGAGGCCGGCGCACCTACCTGCGAGTTCTATCTCGGCGGTTTGGAAGTATTCGGGGTGGAGGTCTAGATAGCGTTTTCTACGGTTCTTGATTCGGATGCGGTCTGGTTGAGGATCTGTGGATGGGGCTTCTATAGGCTGCTGCGGGCTCCTTTGGCGGATAGTCATTTTCATATCTCCAGTTGCGTGTGGCATTTTGAATGGATGGATGTTGATGTGTAGATGGCCAGACTCAGCAGTTGAAGTCGTTGGTGGCAAGAGAAGTTGGAGCAGGCTCTTGCGCTCTCATTGGCTCAATGTGAGCATATACGCAGTATTTTAAGTCACGCTAGCTTATGTCCTCCAGTGCGAAATTCCCTAATTCGTTCGCTCCCTTCCTCCTTCCATCAACTTTCACCAGACACCGTCCGAACAATATCTGTGAAATTTGGGACTGAAAAGGTCATCGATCAGTTCCAAGTGGTCTAATTACAGGAGCACTACTTCAATCCTCATATTCTTGACGACAACTTGCTTTCGACCTTACCAATCTCAAATGCTACCCCCTTCTATATGGCCCAATCTTGAGCACACCATCGTCCTCCTGCTCGGCCCTTTCTCTGTACTCCGACGCAGTCGCATTGCCAGCTCGGAAATTCAACATGACAAGGCTGGCCACGTCGAATGGTACCCGGACTGATTGTGCTTCACCGTCCTCCTCCTCAGGACCCTCGGCAAGCAACAGCGTATCATCCCTGATCGATCTCTCGTCCATGATGGCGAAGCAGTCATAGTCGATATCCGATCCGGTGTCTTCCAACAGCTGCTGGAGAAGTTCGTAGCACTCATGTGTGCTCTTGCCTATGAAGGGCGAGTTTGGAGAACTGGCATTCGTGACGGGAGCTTCGGATGGCTCGTCGTATTCCTCTGTGAGGCTGTCAACGAAGACGAAGAAGAAGTTGTTTTCATCGTTGGCTTCGATGAAGCGTGTCATGACCTGCATATATGGGTCAGTTCCATCTCGCCAAATCGCCAAAACTGTGGCTCACTTCGGCGGGTATCTCGGCTGTGCAGCAAACTGGAAATAGGCGTCCACGAGAAGCCATGTTGAAGTTGGTTGTGATGGTTTTTTGTGAGTAGGCGAGTTGAATATGGATTGCTGACGGCAACGTCTTCGCAGCTCTCAAATTTCAGCTGCTGGCGAATGATGTCAACGGTGTAACCAGTATTGCGAAAGGGGATGCGAGCTGAAGTGACTGAAACAAAGTGAAGGAGTATGAAAGACCTTCTGGTGTCACAACAAAATTCCTTGTGTGCTTTCACGGTTTTCCTCCTCTCTCCGAGTGAGGCTGAGGAAGCCTTGTGCGACTGACGAGTTGCTGAAAGTCGTCAGCGGCAGACAAGATCGACTTACAGATCAAGACCGAACGATCACGACCACAGCCCCTGCCTAGCCCTGCTGGAACAAGCGTCCGACTTTCCCGCGCACCGCTCTCTTGTTCTGGTCACAGTATGGCCCTGGTTCAACTGTTGAAGCTCCGCCCCTGGAGACAGACACCTACCCGAGATTCAGCACCCTAAGAATGAATACAGGTCGAGGAAATCCAGATTGCTCCTGTCTGCAATGCCTGCACCAGAAAACCTCCTCTTTCAGCGCCGGAATGATACTCAACCATCCCGGATCCTCCTTTCATATGTCTTGCGTGTTCGCATTGCTTCATTCCTGTTGAAGGCCGATCTCAAAGAGGCATGCTGGGTCCTGATTGTGCAACAATTCCTTGAGGCTGAAGGCTATGAGCTACATCGTGACACTTGCCCCGTTTCTTTCTACGAATAAGATACACTTACGAATACGTAAACACCAACAACAGTCGATGAAGCAACCCTAAGGTCTCACATCGCTCGATCGTCTGCCTGGGTTGCTACAGATCAACGATATGGCCATGCCCGAGGATTGCAACCATCGCACAATGTGGCACAGCGTGCTTGGAAGATCCGACTTCGATTCTTCAGTACTTCAAGGACTCGTGGTTCAATACGCTTGCGGACGACAGCCCCACCTGCTTGTGATACCACACGTTGCGAAAGAGTAGCGGAGGGAAGCAGAGCGCATCCTGCGATTGTCTAGCAGCAATGAAGACTTATAAAGAGCAAAGGGGAGAATGCCTGGAGTTCAAGAAAGCAAGCCACAACGACTAAGCAATACTCGAAGATGTTTACCGCTCTGACATTCATCCTTCTTCTCTTGGGCCTTCTTAGTTCTATCCAACAAGTCTCCTCCTTCGCCCTTTTCAACGTGAGCTGCGAACTCTACCCCGGACCATGCAACAACAACTGCTACGCCATCTTCGTCGCCAACAAGCGCAGCAACTTGAACTGGGACAAGCCCACCAGCCAGACCAAATCTAAGAGACGAAGGGACGCCGGGTGCGATCCCAACCCTTGCAAGAACGGGAAGATGGACAAGCCTTCCAGCGATGAGGACAGCTGTGACGAGTATCCCTATGCATCCACCGTCGAGGGTGGTACGGGGGCCATCATCAGATGCACTGACGAAAACGAAAACCTGAACGAAGGAAGCGCTTTGGGGGCCTTTCTCACGTCCAACGACGGGTGTGGTGGCCAGCAGTGCACGTTCACGGTCATGAACACTCGTGCCAACCGGGATACGTATGTACTTACTAGAGCCGTTTCGTCGAACAAAGCTGACCACTTCACAGACCATATTGCTTGGACGAGGGAGGAGCCAACGACGGCTACGAGTACAGAAAGTCGAGCGGGAACTACATCCAAGCCAAACGAGGTAAGCTCCGTATATGATATACAGGCCCAGCTCCGTCTGATATGTGCAGACGCCGATGGCAACATGTACCACGAACGCCACGTGCCTGATCCAGCCGACTACTTCCCCCTAGAGAACCGCCGCGAGTTCCTCTTGGACAACGGCGAGACCGGGCTTCTCATGTCCCGAGACTTGGAGACTTCTTACGAGGGCGTCAAAGTTGTCACTGGGCACGTCAATGGTACTGCATCTACTGCGAGGGTCATACGTGAGCTTCACGGTATTGACAAGAGCCCTGCCCTTCGACCTCGCCATTTGAAGTCGAGGGTCGCTGGGGCTCAGTGAGTACGAGAATGGCGTGATGAGGTGTTGAGGTGCTGGCAACTTTGACATTCCAGGGGGATTATGAATTCATGAAGACGTACGTTCGTTACCAATGAAAGAGGCGTTCGCAGTCATTATGTTTCGTTTGAATCAAAAAGGTAGAGGAAACCATTCCTTTTCCTTTCGGGACATCCATTCCCCTCGATCTCTCACCGCCTTCCCTGACTCTACTCGGTACGTTTATGCAAGCAACATGTTGAGAAGAAGCACAAGACCAATCAACCAGAGAACGCAGCAACAACCGCCTTCGGAAGAGGCCAGTCTAACGAGGGTCCACAGTCAGCACACAGCAACCCCAAGCACACATAGCACCATCGAAGAACTCACCAAAAACAGGCTGCTCCCTAACCCTCTTCGTCAACACCGCCTCATCCCCCACCCCAATCGTCCTCCCCACATCCCCCAACCCAGTATAACTATACTTCCCAAAAACCGGCCCATACTTCCACCCCGTATCCACCCTTCGGTCCTTATTCAGCCTCTTCCACACCTCCCCCTCCTCCCCTTCGGCTCTCTTGCCCGTCTTTAGATCCACCGTGATCGCCTGACATCGCCAGCATGTCCCGCCGAAGTCCATCTTCAGATTACTGGGGAAGACGAGCTGCGCCCAGAAGTCCTCGTCGTAGGGCGTCGGCGAGCCGGAGACGATGCTGTTGGGGCGGAATTTGTGAATGTTCATCTTCTGTCCATCCGCGAGGCGGGAGGAGACTTCGTCGTTGGATTCTTTGGTCACGACGAGATACTGTCCGATGTCTTGGAACGTGATGGTTTCCGTGGGCGTTTTGAGCAGTTTCGGGAGGAGTTTGCGGAGGGGTGCGAGGGTTGGCGAACGTTTTGCGATTGCCATGTCTCCGTTGGGAGCGCCGGAGCCTAGGACTACGCGGGCGTTGTTGCCGATGTACATCAGTTTGGTTTCGAAGTTTAGGTATTTGGTGAACCAGGCGGAGATGATGGGCCCCATGTCGTAGACTTCGCAGGCGCTGCCGTGCATGTCGAGGTATCGTTTTTCGAGGGTGCTGACGTCTGGTCGGAGGGGGAAACGGATTTGATGTTCGGAGTATCCAGTGAAGGTGTGCTGCTCTGGGTTTGGATTCTCTGGCCCAAGGCGAGTGACGGTGATCGAAGCGCCTTGGGGGCCTTTGTCACGGTCTTCGACGATGGCTTGGAAGAGGACCATTTGCAGATTGAAGCCGCTGTACATGGTCTCCAGTACGGTGATCTCGCCAGTGTCCTTGTCACGATGGATTTTGACGAGACAGAATGTTCGATCATCTTCGAAGCCTTGCCGTCCGATGGTCGCTTTGTCGACTTTGATGCCCCCGAGGCCCTTGATGGGATACAGTCAAACCTCTTTATAGCGATATTACATATAACGATATCCTTGCTATAGCGATACTGCCAGCTGTCACCAACTTTCCTACTGCAAAATATCGTTCCTCCTGCCTATTTCTATATAACGATAGCATCTCAGATTTACTTACTAAACTATCGTTATAGACATGCCTCCGAGAACTGTATTTTTAGAGGCTAAGAAGCTCGCACTACGCTAGTAGTATTAAGACTGCTCTTTACTTATATAGAAGGAGCTCTATACTTAGTTTAAGAGCTAATTTAACAAGCCTATCCGATAAGTAATAGTCTCTAAGATCCTTAGTACCCGATACCGTTACCTTAAGAGCGATATAGTAGTATAGCTAGTATGAAAGAAGTAACGTAGTATCTACTACGTAGAGCTTAAAAATACCCTCGCCTAGTAGGTAATACGCTATTAGTACTTACTCGTAATTAACGGCGACCTTTTAAAGTTAAGAGTAAAGTAGTACTAGTATCGGCTACTTTAATATTAAGGCTTATAGGAGCTAGCTTTTAGTAATAGTTAGCTTACCGGTTTTAAGAGCTAGTATAATATTAAAGATAGGAGAAGATACGGAGAGGCTATAGGAGTTAATAAATAGTTAATAATAGCTAATATTATAATTCTTTAAGTACGCCTTATACGATACCCCTTTAAAAATTAGTATAACTATAATAAAACTAGCTTATTTTAGAAGATAGTACCTAATCGAGCGTTATTAATAGTACCGGCACCTAGCTATAAGAAGGAGAAGGTCCGGATAATAGTATATTACTATATAAATATAATAGGCAGTTATAAGCTTTAACTATAGATTATTAGCCGCTATTAAAGACTACGTTATTTTACTACTACTAGAGTATAGATTAAAAGACTAGACTATACCTACCGGGCTAATAAGAAGAGCTAGATAACTAGCCTAATTATACTATAATAGCTTCGCTAGTTTAATAGCTAAATAAGTAGCCGAAGGGTTATTTTAGTTATAGATAACTTTAGTACTTATAAGACTACTATTAACAAGTTTAATTGTTAGGATCGGTTCGTTAATCCTAGAATCTTACTTAGTACGGGTACTAAGCTTAAGTCCTTAGTTAGAGCTCGTTAAAGGGAGAGAGTTAGTAGACTACCTAAGATAATCTTAAAATAGAGGTTCTAGTATAATTATAAACTAAATAGTAAGATTAAATAGTAAGTTAAACGCTATTATATAAATAATAATATCGTTCCTATATATAAAGGAGATTCGTTCCTTATCTAAGTAGTCTAAGTAGTC